GACATGACTCGTGGAATATGTCTAGGCTCGTTCTTCGAGTCCCTTGTTGCAAATGGCGCTGAAACGCATTATGTTACACGATTCGTGTACCAATGGTAAAATGGTTTTTTTATCTTAAATATTGGATATCAGAAGCCATTTTTTTCCCGGTAGGATCAGAACATTAATGTTGATTTCAATTGACAAATAAATCGTGTTTTCAATTCGAAGACTTTGGATGATATTGAGTTAGAGATTTAGCTACTTTAAAGGACATAAAATATAACAGCTAGCTTTATAGATGACATTCAATGCTTGATAACGGTGAGCAAAAAGTTGCAGTTAAAGGAGCATTAGGTAAGGTTTAGATAAAGAGCTCACAGTTCGTGTTATAATAGTTAAAAATAGATAATGGAAACAAAATAGCCTGTGATATTTAGTGAATTTGAATACATTTTGTGATGGATAAATAAACTTACAATGGATAATCGAGACTTTGTTTATTATCGTACCAACGTTAGTAATGGCGATCGAGGCTAGTCTAGAATTGAATCTCTAAAATATCTCGGTTCAGAGTGCAGCAATTTGACTGAGATTTTCAGCATATTCTGTTTTCATTATCTATTTTCTTAAGTATTATAGCCAGAAATGTCAGCTCTTTCTTAATCTTACCTAATTCTCCTTTACCTGTCTGTTACACAATTTACATTAGTTTTATACGCCAATATTACACCATACTAAACTTAGGCTGCCTGTCTACTGTTAGCTCCGCTTGAAAACAGACACTAAACTAGTTGGCCGACATTTTAATTCCTAAATCCACGATTTTAGTCGAAAACACAAAGTGAACTTCGAGGATTTAGTTAAGGATTTATTCTGCCTCTATATAATACAATTGAAAAAGTTTATTTAGGCTTTGTGTGTGAAACGGTGTAGAACTGCATTACAAAACAGTATACTACTAATGTTTGGATATGGCGGCCATTTTGGGCAGAGATCTATTCTCGAAGTATGACGTAGATGGATCTCTGCGTGCAGAATGATATTACACGAGTTCTTGAAAAAAAATATGGATGTACATTTTGGAATACATTCCTGTGACGAAAAGTTCATTGAGTGTTGAATAATAAAGACAAATGAAATGAAATGAAATGAAATGGGATTTAACGTCCTACTGTTCTGCTCCTAAACTGGGCTAATGAAGACGGGCATACTCCATACAGTGTGCTATGGGGGAAATTTTGCCCGGGCAGCGGCGCTACGGCCTACTCTTATATCGAATTCCAACTGCCAAGGAATCTTTTACGTGCACGCATATATGTACACGGGACTTCGGTTTTTCGTCCCATCCGAACGACTAGACAGCTGTCCTTGTCAGGCCCTCCGTCCTGCATCACTGACAAGGCGAAACCACGCAGAAAAATATGAATGAACTTTCTCGGCCAAAGCCGAGATCGAACACCCGACTCCAGGCTAGCGAGCCAGCGTCTTACCCACTTAGCCACGTGATCCTCAACAATAAAGACGTAGTATGGTTTGTTATTATACTATCATTGGTACCTTAATGTGTTAGCATTTTACAATTAACTGTCACCTACAAGGCATCACTTATAATTATTGGCGGGAAATTGAAGCACCCCAATCCAATCAGACGTGATTGGCTTACAGCCGTAAATCCCCGATCGTCTGGGTTAACTAGCGATATATTTCCTATATAGTTCAATGGTGTGAACAACTGTGCGATATATTTCCTATATAGTTCAATGGTGTGTACAACTGTGCGATATATTTCCTATATAGTTCAGTGTTCTATACAACTGTGATATATTTCGGGGGTCACGGTGGCTAATTGGGTAAGGCTGGAGGTCGGGTGTTCGATCCCTACATTGGCCGAGAAAGTTCATCCAGATTTTCCGGCGTGGTTTCCCCTTGTCAGTGATGCAGGACGGAGGCCTGACAAGGACAACTGTCTAGTCGTTCGGATGGGACAAAAACCGAGGTCCCGCGTACATATTGGCGTGCACGTAAAAGATCCCTTGGCAGTTGGAATTCGATATAAGAGTAGGCCGTAGCGCCGCTGCCCGGGCAAAATTTCCCTCATAGCACACTGTATGGCGTATGCCCGTCTTCATTAGCCCAGTTTAGGAGCAGAACAGTAGGACGTTAAACCCCATTTCATTTCATTTCGTTTTATTAAAATGAGTCTGTTATATCTCGCTTTTCCTATACTATCTAACGGTATTCTAGAGTTAGATTTTAATTAAATAAGACTGACAGTTTTATCGAGACTTTTCCCAACTTTGTTTTTATCGACTATTACCAGAATATTCGTGAGTGACAAGTTTATAATAAAACGATCGATCGATCCGACATGTTTGTAGACGAGGGAAAGTTGATATGATAATTAAACACGCGTTCATTCTAACTTCAAAATAAACTAAAAAATACAAAATACCCGAGAGATTAGAGAAAGAGGGAATTAGAGAGAGGGAGGGGGGGGGCTAACTAAATTAACAACGCGTCTGTTGATACACACTTCAACCAGAACGCGGGTTATATAACAACTCTTCCAGATCCTAGTGTAGTAAAGACAAGTAAAATGAAATTTTGAACTATAATAAACGAAGCGAAATAGGATCTGTGTTTTAATCAGCTTGTGGTTGTATTGGAGATTATCAGAATCCATATTAGCTGTAATAATGCGTATATTTATAATTAAACACTCTGTTAACATTTCATCCCATTGTTTATATGATATACCGGTTTATTTTATAACATAATTAATTTGTTTCAAATTAGTTTATATTATCCATTGTTTTGTCAGTGTAACGATACACGGCTTACATATTGTTTAATTTACTTGCTTAATATCCATTATCTAAAGGGCTAAGTTGGGTGTCGCTGATTTTTAAATGTGGAATTGAGTTTACTTTATGTAAGAACTAAATCTGCCTATTGCAGATCTTTCTTTCGACCTGACATGTTATATAAACTATTAATTAGACATTTATTAACATGATGTACAAGACTATAATCAACTCTCGATGCCATCGGATGGGTACGATTTTAAACAGATTTGAATCCAACCTGCGATTCATCGGCTGTTCATGATTAACCGTAACCTTGGTAACAATGACAATCGAGGCGACAATGTTTTTGAAATTCCGTTTTCTCGGCTCAGAGTGAAGTGAGAGAGAGAGAGAGAGAGAGAGAGAGAGAGAGAGAGAGAGAGAGAGAGAGAGAGATGGGGTTTAACGCCCACTCGACACAAACTAGTTCATTTCGGGATTAACACATGGTTCAATTTTATTTCAATAATTCGCTTGCGCGTAGGGGTCTTTAGCAGTGGGAGGAAACCGGAGGACCTAGAGAAAACCCACGAGTGTTGAACAGACGACCCTACTCCTTGTCACATACAACCGTCGAATCGAAACCACGCCAGATGACTCAATGACAGACTTTATTATACAACGCGCACACGCTAACCATTCGGCCATCTAGCCCCGCTCCAGATTGGAGAACCTTTGTCTTACTCATTGAGGGAATAACGGTGGCTAAGTTGGTAAAACGCTGGCTCGCGAGCCTGGAGGTCGGGTGTTCGATCCCTGCATTGGCCGAGAAAGTTCATCCAGATTTTCCGGCGTGGTTCCTCCTTGTCAGTGATGCAGGACGGAGGGCCTGACAAGGACAGCTGTCTAGTCGTTCGGATGGGACGAAAAACCGAGGTCTCGTGTACAAATTGGCGTGCACGTAAAAGATCCCTTGGCAGATGGAATTCGATATAAGAGTAGGCCGTAGTGCCGTTGTCCGGGCAAAATTTCCCTCATAGCACACTGTATGGCGGATGCCCATCTTCATTAGCCCAGTTCGGTGCAGAACAGTAGGACGTTAAACCTCATTTCATTTCTGTCTTACTCATTAATTCACGGGGGCTCCAGGTCATTTTGAACCTGTATATACAATTATTTTCTTGGTAAGAGTTACAATGACTCTTTAATGTTTAATATATGAGCTTTGGTCTGGAAGTGTTGCCAACAATAGCCTTACATTCTCAATTCTGTTAAAACGTTTCAATTATTTTTAAGAGGCGTGACACACAATACCAGACAAATCATGCCATGAAAATCATTTATTTGACTAGAACTTGAATAGTTATTTATCTGGAATATAGAACAGACAATTCATTTCTACATGTTGCCCGGGTCATCGTCGCTAACCAGGGATTTAAACATTTTATAATACAGAAATGAAATGAAGACACGAATATGCCATACAGTGTGCTATGAAGGGATTTTTGCCTGGAAAGCGGCACTATGGCCTACTATTATATCGAATTCCAACTGTCAAGAGATCTTTTACTTGCACGCCAATGTCTACACATAACCTCGGTTTTTCGCCCCATCCGAACGACTAGACAGCTGTCCTTGTCAGGCCCTCCGCCCTGCATCACTGACAAAGGGGAACCACGCCGGAAAATCTGGGTGAACATTTTATAATATGAGTAGGTTGATGCATCCTTGACATATTGCAAAAAACCTTAACAGAGAGAGAAATGGGGTTTAACATCCACTCGACACAAACTAGGTCATTTCGGGACTAACATATGGTTTAATTTTATTTCAATAACTGTGAGAGAGAGAGAGACATGGGTTTAACGTCTACTCGACACAAAGTAGGTCATTTGGGGACGAACATAGGGTTCAGTTTTCTTTCAATAATTCGCTTCCGCGTATTGGTTTTTAGTAGTGGAAGGAAGCCGAAGAACCCAAGGACCCGGTGAAAACCCACGAGGTTTGACAGGCGATCCTCCTCCTTGTCATGTACCCGGTGAAAACCCACGAGGTTGCACAGGCGACCCTCCTTCTTGTCACGTACAATCCGGGAATCGAAAGAACACCCTTAAGATTACCGATGTTTTGATATCGGGTTATTCACCCTTAGGCGCGCGTGTCTATTTCGTTGACTGGCAACGCTGTTTATTTTTCCAGGATTTATAGTATTAATGTTGATTTGTATTTCAGACAGAGAAAGAGTTGGATAAAAATGAAGAGACAGAATCCAGTTCTGGTGAGTTTATATACATACCACATCATGTATCGTTATTTTCAGTAGCGGACTGGGTCTGAAAATATTGGTTGCCTGGAGACAAAGAGGCCCCACCCACCAATATAATTCTATCATTTAATTTTTAAAATGAATAAATTTTTAAAAAATATATAAGTGCAAACAAAAAGATGTAATTAGAATTTTCCCGATTTTGTTTTCTTTACATTTTTGGATAATTTATATTTTAAATATATTGTCTAATGTCAAAGGATCCCACTTCCTCAGGGGCCCACTTGTCATTAGGCAAGCTCACTCGGCAAACCTCGGCAGATTCCGTTACTCAACATCTAGCCTCGGCTGTATGACGGTAAGTGATATGTACCTACGCCTATACAATTGCGATGCAGCACCAATTTACTTATTAAGAAAACTTGCCGCTTTCAAAAGGAAGTTATCAAAATTGCGTCGTTCCAAGCGTGTGTAGAATTTTTAGTGCAAAGTTGTTCTTGTTTGAAGGAAATCGGATAAACTTAAAAGAAAAACAGCTTTAGAATTCTATAGATTTGTATGATAAAACATTCTTCAAAGGCGTCGTCATGGGCATCGCCGTTGGTAATCCAGGAACTTAAATGTAGTTCCAATGGCGGACTTCGTCATACAGCCGAGGCTAGATGTAAGCTACTAGAATCTGCTAAGGTTTGCCGAGTGTAGGGAAGCTGACAACCTGGCCAGTACGATACTGGTTATTTTATATGAGGTGTTATTTTCACGACTTTCCACAACATTAAGAAAAAAGAAAATAAGGTGGGGCAAAATGTATCTTGGTCAAAATCGGGTGAAATGAGGGGCCTAGTCAGGTCTACATTGATTGACATCCTTATACCCTTGAATGACCCAATCTGATCAAAATACAGATCTATATTTCGTTTCGGTTTTTTTTTAAACTTTCGATGGCCTACACTACATGAAGATCTGACAAGTTGTACTGGTAGTTCGCGTCACGGGTCGTACGAGCGGCTTTTGACCTTATGAAGTTAGGCATTGATTAATCAATCAGCGTTGACGTTTCTAGTGGTTTACCCACAGTTCCGTGCATGGCAAGCCAAGAAGTCGCCTTAACAGACCGTTTCATTGGTTTATCTCTCACTTCAGCCAAAACGCTGATAATATAACAAACCTTCCAGATCCTAGTGTAGTAAGGACAAGTAATACGGAATTTTGAACTATAAAAAACGAAACGAAATAGGATCTGTGTTTTAATCAGAATGTGAACGACCCACAAGTCTTTCAATAATAGTGAGCGATACGGTCTACTAATCGAGTTATCATGGGAAAAGTTACGTCAATCCTGTAAAACACTTCAACCGTGAAGGAATGTTGTCATTGTTAGCAAGGTATTCAGTTCGATGAATCACTAGAATAATGAATTTTTAAAACATGAAATTATACTAATTAGCATATATTACCCAATTTGACTATTTTCCGCCAAAGATATTTTGGAACATTTTTGGGTGGTTGTTTAGGGGACTATACTGAAATGTGTCCCAGTGAAATTAATTTTGTTGCAATTTGTTTTGGGTCTAACCTAACCCCAGATTGACTGGACTAAAACGGCAGTCTGTATCCAAGTGACGTGAAGGGACGAAAATCTGACGTCACATGTGAAAATTACTAGCATTCCGCACACAGAGATCCATCTACGTCATACTTCGAGAATAGATCTCTGCCCTAAATGGCCGCCATATCCAAAAATTATTATACTGTTTTGTTATGCTGTCCCACCCCTTTTCGCATCTACCATACACACAAAGAACAAAAAAACCTTTTCAATTTTATTGAATGAATACTTCTCAAAATTCTCGAAGTTTCCATAGTGTTTTCAATTAAAATCGTCGTCGGTTTAGGACTTAAAATGTCGGTCAACTAGATTAAGTCCACCATTGTATTGTAAACATAAGATTTAACTTATTCTTTGAATGGCATTTAGTAATTGGAACTTAATCAAAAACACACTTTTATGGATAAAAAAAATGGATTTTTTGTGTATATGCTTGATAACGACTTGTGAAACCTTGTTGAAACGTCGCAGTGAAATAAACAATAGTAATTGTTATCCATAAAAGTGTGTTTTTGATAAGATTTAACTATTTTATATGTTTGGAGAGAACTTATATAGGCCTTTGACTGTTGTTCAATCCAATTCAGTTTATTGAATAAAATATTGTTTAAACTAGATTAGTGCCTGTTCTCAAGCGGAGCTAACTGTAGACAGACAGCCTAAGTTTAGTATGAATTACTAGTGCACATGAAATATCCCTTGGCAGCAGTAAAGGATTTTCCTTTGTCGTCAAATTTGTTTTAAAAAAAAACAAAAACAAACCCCTTCCATCTTCCTCTAGTCTTGAGGGAGAAGGGCTTGACAGGCTACCAAATAGTAAGATCTTATATCCTTTAGCGGAGAAACGTGAAATTTAAACACCATGTTGTCGTCATATTTGTTTAAAAAAAGTCTTGAGGGAGGAGGGCTTAAGCCAGAGAGAGAGAGAGAGATTGGGTTTAACGTCCACTCGACACAAGCTATGTCATTTCGGGACTAACACATGGTTTAATTTTGTTTCAATAATTCGCTTGCGCGTAGGGGTCTTTAGCAGTAGCAGGAAACCGGAAGACCCGGAGAAAACTCACGAGGTTGGACAGTCACGTACAACCGGGGATTCGAAACCACTCCAGTTGACTTAATGACAGACCGTATGAAACAGATCGCGCGTGCTAACCATTCGGCTATCCAACACCCCGGATGGCTTAGGAGGAGCCTCAAAACTAAAATAACCTGAGGCCTCTCTCCATTTAGATATGGCAGATGGGATTCGAACGAGAGTAGACGGCAACACCCCTGTCCGTGAGCAAGTGTTGAATGGCTGAAGTGGTGTGTTGAAGAGATATTTAATTTTATTCCCGCCCTTTCACAATGAGATGAACAAACGAGAGAACCAATTATTATGCAAGAAGTAATCATATGTTTTACAACGAAATTTATTTCAGAAACCGAATATGACCCAAGATCAAGTGACGTCACTGGGACTGTTCCCGAATCCATGTTTTCTAATATCAACAACGTCATTCCAGCATTTCCCTACGACAGGAATCCAGAAAATGTAAGTATTCCCACAGACTGGATAAACTACTCTAAATAACGTCCCACTATTCAGTGCACAGCTGGCCTTAAGTTGAACTAAACAGACCATTTCATTGGCTAATCTCTTGTATGAAGGTAAACGCGGGTTGCTGTATTGGTTGTTAGAATTATAGATGTAATAACTTTTAATGTTTGTTCCTGCAACCGAGGATTCGAAACCACGCCAGTTGACTCAATGACAAACCTTATGATACAACGCGCACGTGCTAACCATTCGCCATCCAAACCCCCCGTAATAATATAGTATTGATCTAGGTCTGAAACTGGAATATTGACCAACTTACACATCTGGACCATTTCAATTCACTAAACGTTTACGATTTTGTCAGATTTAATCGGATTTCGTGAAATCAAGCCTACGCGATTAGGGAATAGGATACGCACGAAGCTGAGATAGTCGACAAAAGGAAATGGCAGCTATTACACGATTTATTTCGTCTTAATTATAAAATATAGTCCGCTTGATGGAAGCCAACATGGCTACTAAAACAAACAGTGAAGATTTTTATGAGATAAATCTAATAAAATGTAGTATTGATCCATGAAGCCAATTAACTAATCAATTATTCACGGCAAGTGATACTCAATGTAAAATATATCTTGTTGAGTTAAAGGGAGACCATAAAAAATGTGTTAAAGGGAGACCATAAAAATATCTTGTTGAGTTAAAGAGAGACCATAACAAGTTAAAGGAGGGGGGTCATTCAAGTAGCTAAGTCTCTTAACTCAATATCATCCAAAGTCTTCGACATTGAAAACACGAATTATTTGTCAATTTAAATCAACATTGATGTTTTGATCTTACCGTGAAAAGATGGGCTTCTGATATCAAATATCTAAGACAATAAATACTATCGGTGTAGACTGGAATGTCCAGACGCTAGAGATTGCCATACGATTGAGACTTCTGCCGTATTTCGCCGAACATAACGGATTAGATATTAGAGTAAAAACAGAAACGATTGAATGTAAATCAGTTTAAATACATTCATATTACATTATTATATGCATTGCGACTCATTTGTGTCCATTTATAAGCCCCAAATATTAGCGATTTAGCTCCTTTAAATATATTTTACTTTGTAAAAGGGAGAATCGCTGAATTTTGAGACAAAATGTTTACCAGTTATTGGACAAGGATCTCTAAGATCAAATTTACAACAAGTTATTGGACCACGTTCTCTGGGATAAAATTCATAAAAGTTATTTTGATAAATTGCGAGACAGAAAATCTAGGTTTAACGTCCACGCAAAGCAAACTTTGCCATTTCGGCATGTAATAAAGTATAAAGGAGATTTATTTCAATAATTTGTTTGTGCGCAAAATCATGGCCTACTTTCCTGTATCAACTGGGCTAATGAAGACAGGCATTCGCCATTCAGTGTGCTATGAGGGACATATTGTCCGGACTACGGGAGAGCGAGCGAGAGAGGGTGGGGGGGTAACGTTCACTCGACACAAACTAGGTCATTTCGGGACTAACATTTGATTCAATTATATTTCAATAATTTGCTTGCGCGTAGGGGTATTTAGCAGTGGGAGGAAACCGGAGGACCCGGAGAAAACCCACGATGCTGCACAGGCGACCCAACTCCTTGCCATGTACATCCGGGGAATCGAAACCACGCCATTTGAAATAATATTGAATCATATGTTAGTCTCTCTCTCTCTCTCTCCCTCTCTTTGTTGTGATCGGTTGTTATTACAGGAGACAGTATTCTGAACCTGATAATATTGGTCGCCATAAACCTTCTTTATGAGTCTAATAAAACCATAATATAGTGTAGTATCTGTCCATCCATGCACCATGGATTCTTTTTGTCAAGGATATTTAATTCCAGATAAAATTCTGATAAATAAAATACTCATAACAAAACACAACACAGGGTATATATGGATATAACTACTTCTCTGTTATTTAATAACGACGTTTCGTAACACATACAGGTCACGTTATCAAGTTAATGATAAATATCCACTTTTATTTTATGATCAGTAGTGGAATACCGCGTTTTATCAGTGAAATAAAAGTGTTATTCCACTGGCTAGAAGCGGACAAAGTAGTCCATGTTGTTTTTACCTAAAATGATTGTAAAATCATAAAATAAATAGAACATTTGTCGTTTTGTCGTGAATAACATATTTTATTTCATCTCTAAGCAAGAAAACGTTTATATTTTCACTCATGCTACGCATTCGTGAAAATTTAAGTTTTCTTGCTTCTCGATGAAATAAAATATGTTATTCACTCTAAAACGACAAATATCCTCTATATCATTAAATTGAAAACGTGACCTGTATGTGTTACGAAAAGAAGTCGTTATATCCATATATACCTTGTGTTGTGTCTTCATTAGCCCAGTCGGAGCAAAACAGTAGGACTTTAAACCCCATTTCATTTCATTTCATTTCATTAGCCCTGGAGCCACGGTAGCTAGGTGGTTAAGACGCTGGCTCGCTAGCCTGGAGGTCGGGTGTTCGATCCCTGCATTGGCCGAGAAAGTTCACTGGGATTTTCCGACGTGGTTTCCCCTTGTCAGTGGTGCAGAACGGAGGGCCTGACAAGGACAGCTGTCTAGTCCTTCGGATGAGACGAAAAACCGAGGTCCCGTGTATACATTGGAATGCACGTAAAAGATCCCTTGGCAGTTGGAATTCGATATAATTATAAGAGTAGGCGATAGTGCCGCTGCCCGGGCAAAATTTCTCTCATAGCACACTGTATGGCGTAAGCCCGTCTCCATTAGCCCAGTATAGGAGCAGAACAGTAGGACGTTAAACCCCATTTCATTTCATTAGCCCAGTCGAAGCAGAACAGCAGGACGTCAAACCCCATTTCATTTCATTACCTATATCGTTTCTTTTCATTTAACGTCCATTTGTGGCGAAAAGCCGAGGCCCCGTGTACACATTGGCGTGCACGTAAAAGATCCCTAAGCAGTTGGAATTCGATATAAGAGTAGGCCGTAGCTAAATTTCCCTCATAGTACACTATATGGCGTATGCCCGTCTCCATTAGCCCAGGTTAGGAGCAGAACAGTAGGACGTTAAACCCCATTTCATTTCATTTCATTCCATGCCCACTTCTGATCTTACATGGGAGTCACAGTGACTCAACGTTTAAGGCTTTGGTCAATTTACGACATTTGGGGAGGGCTGGGGGGGGGGGAGAGGACTCGTTTCGATGCAGGTGTTAGGCGAGGAATTTCAGTGGTGCAGGACCGAGGGCATCTGGGTGTTCGGATGAGACGAAAAGTGTAATAATATTGCTAGAATTTTTGCTCTTGAAATAAGATGCCTTTATATTTCATTAATTAATATTTTTGGCAAGTTAGTAATTTCAAACATATTCACATATATAGTGTGCACTAAATCAACTTAGTCTGTAATTGACAGTTGACATATAAAAAAGAGTTCTTTATCGAAAACATATGTCAATTATTTACCACCAGAATTAAACGTGAGAGGAATTATTCTAATTGCATCATTTGATTTAAAGTAACCAATCATTTTGTTAATTACACGCTTTATGGTGCATGATATTCATTTACCTTTAAAAGAAACCGGGGAACCCTGTAAGTCAGACTTGCATTAGATTCCAGAGATCGCGGGTACATCTGAGTTCCTAGACAGCTGAGAGGCTGGATAGGGTGGAGAAGTGGTTTTAGCTATATAGTATTGTAATTTGTGCTATGCTTGTATACCTGTATTCAGTTATATGCTATATAAAATGTAGAAGCGAACTATGCATTATTGTTCCTGGTAAGACAAACGTCTTAAGAAACTGGAAGAAGTAAATACACAACGTGAAGCAGAAGTAAAGACAGCTAGAGACAAATTCTAGACGATCACAAGGCTACAGAAATATGTAGTAAGAAAAGATGCATGGGTCGTATGTAGGATGTGGCGACCGGTTTGACAATGTACGCTCTCCACGTCAGACAAAAGACCTATGGTGCTACAAAAGTCGAGATCCCGCGTACACGTTGTGACGTGCACTTAAAAATGGCTTTGGCATTATGATAAGGAGTTAGGGCAGTGGTTCTCAACTTCTCTTTGCCAACGGCACACCTTGGAACACATGAAAAAATAGCGGCACACCTGGCTAAATATATATGAAAAATATTTAAAATGTTGCAAAATAAAACCATGGTAAGTCATACGGCATACAACCGTAGAGAGATATTAGTCATAGACATATAGAATGACTCCAATTAAATAAAGAAAAACTAGTCTCTCTGTCTACGGTTGTATGCCGTCTGACTTACCATATTTTTATTTTACAAAATTCAAATATTTTTCATATATATTTAGCCAGGTGTGCCGCTATTTTTTTCATGTGTTCAAAGGTGTACCATTAGCAAAACAAGGTTGAGAACCACTGATTTAGATGCCCCCCCCCCTAAACTTGCCACATGAGAATAACCCCACGATAGAAATGGTGAGGCAAAGGCCGGTAGTCAAAAAAAAATGGTGTTTCCTCCATACTTATAATTAAATCACCCCACCCCACCCCAACACATATACCATCAACCCCACCTCAACAAATACACCGTCACCCCCACCCCAACCTCAACAAATATACCATCACCCCTACACTCACACCATCACAACCCCCACCCCCAATACATACACCATCTCCCCTACCCCGACACATACACCATCACCCCTACACTCACACCATCACAACCCCCACCCCAATACATACACCATCTCCCCTACCCCGACACATACACCATCACCCCTACACTCACACCATCACAACCCCAACCCCAATACATACACCATCTCCCCTACCCCGACACATACACCATCACCCCTACACTCACACCATCACAACCCCCACCCCAATACATACACCATCTCCCCTACCCCGACACATACACCATCACCCCCACCCCAACACAACCCCGCCCCCAACACATACACCAGTATACTTGATCTTAGTTTTTTTTTAAAAAAAGGGAACACAAGAGTGACAAAGTTGAGAGTTTTATTAACTCCTTTCTTCTATTCCGTTACAGGGTCAGCCAGGTAAAGAAGACATTCAGAAAATTGCCGAAGCCCAAGAAAAATACAGTGAAGCCAACCCTTTCCTAAATACTCTGCCGTTATTCAACAGACTTCCTAACCCAAATAAAGAAAACAGTAACCATGACGACGTCCAAGAATCACATAACAACATTGTTGAGGGTGTTGGAAGTGGGCCTGTCGGTTCTAATGACAACCTTCCTAATCCCAGTAACCATGACGACCAGTCCGTCACCAAAACTAAATACGATATCAAAGAAATCAAACACGTTCCTATCGAGGAAGAATTGGTGTCGGAGGTTCCACCTTCCGAATTGGCCGAGAAGAAGGAACTACGAGACGAGGCCCGTGATGTTTTGCAACAGACTGCCGAACAGGCCTTAAAAACCGAAAAATACCAAAAATCCCTTCTGCAAGAATCCCTGCTCCAAAAGGCGGGATCTAAGAGAAACCCCGATTCCAAGGAGCATCCTTATAATTACATTTATTACTACTACGATTATGATCAAGATTTGAAACCCGAGGAGTTTGGAAGCCATGAATCTAATGATGACATCGGTGAATCGAGGGAGTTTGGAAGCCATGAATCTAATGACGTCAGTGAATCGAGGGAGTTTGGAAGCCATGAATCTAATGACGTCAGTGAGTCTAGTGAGTTAAATGAATCAAATGAAGACAGCGAATCATCGGAAGAAAATGAAGATCATTCGAGTCCCGAAGAGGAAGACGTCCAGGATGAAGATCATATCTCAGAAGAAACAGACGACAAACATGACAAACACAGCCACGAAATGAACAGTCAGGTAAAATTAGATCGCTGGACTATGGCATCCTGTCTAGCGAAATGTCGAACTTTCATGATGAAAATAACAATAATAATAGTCTTATTTATTTGATGGGGGGTCACGGTGGCTAAGTGGGTTCGCTTATAGCCTGGAGGTCGGGTGTTAGATCCCTGCATTGGCCAAGAAGGTTCATCCAGATTTTCCGGCATGCCCCCCTCCCCTTGTCAGTGATCCAGGACGGGGGGTCTGACAAGGACAGCTATCTAGTCGTTCGGATGAGACGAAAACTCGAGGTCTCATGTACAAATTGACGTGCACGTAAAAGATCCCTTGACCGTTGGAATTCGATATAAGAGTAGACCGTAGTGCCGCTGTCTGGGCAAAATTTCCCTCATAGCACACTGTATTGCGTATGCCCGTTTTCTTTAGCCAAGTTCGGAGCAGAACAGTAGGACGCTAAACCCCATTTCATATTGTTTTGTAGAACAGATGGCGGTTCATATGTATCTCGTGAGCTTTGGATCAGCGGGTATCCTTGAATACCGCAAAATAATGAGTTGACGTGATATGACATAAAAAGTGTCCATGCTAGTATATCCGAGTCCGTTCATTTGTTGAGTCTGAGATTGACTTCACTACATCAACATCCTCGCGTGACAGTATTAAGACTTCACTACATCAACATCCTCGCGTGACAGTATTAAGACTTCACTACATCAACATCCTCGCGTGACAGTATTAAGACTTCACTACTTCACGACTTGGAATTGATGTAGAACTGTTTCCATGAAGCTTGGTTCCGTGAAGATGTAACATAAATTCTTGTAATTTCAGGAAGAAGAGCTCCAACAGTTGGTCAAACAGGTCAAGCAACCACGCCCACAAGCTAAGACCCAGCACATGTAGATGCTATGTTTTCTAGAAAGACCAATTGCCGATATCTGTTGCTTATCAAATTACGAAACATTCGTCATTCCACCTCCTCCAACTTCCTGGTTGGCGTAAAAAGCTCTCCGTTCTCCCATCAGCTTCTGCCTTGAGCATCGCGGGTCAACGATGTGGGCCAATGGAATCTCCAAGCGTCCCATGTGGCATTCATTCGCAGTCACTTGCTGTGCTAATATATGATCGTTCATGTCCCGATTTCAGCAAGTATTCTCAGACTGAAGTTAAGAATTTACTCAACTTTCAATCACTGTTTATGAGAAATATCTTTGATCCACAAACACAAAACTTTGTACATAGTTTCTTATTGATGTATTTGATACATTAAAACAACAAAAGTTTTATAAGGGCTATATTTTAGTTAAAATAAGGCAAACAATTTTGAGTAAATTCTTAACTTAAGTCTGAGAATGCTTTGTGAACACGGGGCCAGATTCCCTTATCCCGCCATATGGTAGCCTATGTTTGCTGATTCCCTTATCCCGCCATATGGTAGCCTATGTTTGCTGATTCCCTTATCCCGCCATGTGGTAGCCTATGTTATCAAATATGGAATATAAGAATTCCATATTTATACATTCATCTGAGATTTCTCATAATGAAGCAGCAGCTTCGCAATGGTTATTAAATGTATAGCTCTGCCTGTAATGGCAGCTTACGGTTCTCGAGAGTAAATGTCCAATTTCGAATGACCAGGAGAGCTTTTTACACCAACAACTTATCATCTCCTTATCCCACTTTCACATGACGTCATCAATTAATAACGACTTGTACTTATGTAGATCTGACACAGGGGCGTGGCTAGGGTATGTATCGGTTCCCATTCCACCCCCACTCCCAAACGTAAAGCACAATACACATCAAATAGCCGGCAAAAAGCAGTGTCTTCGTGAAAAAATATAAATGTGTCCTGCTTTCACGACAGAACTTTATTTTTCAATGCAGTAGAACGAAAGTGCCGCCTCTCTATCCCAAGCACAATTTAGATTTGTATGTTTTGGACCAGGAACGGAGACCCAAGCGCTACCCACTTTGTTGTTGTTCTCGCCCTTACTCTTGCGCCGTTTTGATTCCTTACATGTACGTGACAACCTCTTGGGTTTTCTCGGGGCTCTACCGCAGTTTCGCCCCACTGCTAAAAACCTCTAGGCGCAAGCGAATTATTGAAATAGCATTGAACCTTTAAAGCCTAAGGCTCCTCCGATTTAAATACGATCAATTCCAAAATGGTGGCCACGACGTCATGGTCGGTCCCTGGTCTATTGTACGTTACTACTTGTTAATCATATTGTAAACAGCTTGATACCCAGACTGCATTAGCCACCTTTATTGCATGCAGTCTTTCATTTTCCCTAAAGCCGGCGCTGTTGTTAAGGAGAATGAAAGTGGCAGTCGTAGCGGTTGGGCGTTAAACTTCTAGACAACTACTTTCATTTTCCTAAAGCCGGCGCTGTTGTTAATCATAATGAAAGTAGCAATAGTAGCGGTTGGGCGTTAAACTGCTAGGCAACTACTTTCATTTTCCTAAAGCTGGCGCTGTTGTTAATCAGAATGGAAGTAGCAATAGTAGCGGTTGGGTGTTAACTACCGGTACTAGACAACTACTTTCATTTTCCCTAAAGCCGGCGCTGTTGTTAATTATAATGGAAGTAGCAATAGTAGCGGTTGGGCGTTAAACTATTAGACAACTATATGTACTTTCATTTTCCCTAAAGCCGGCGCTATTGTAATGAGAATGTAGCCGCACTGTTTACTTCTGAATCCATTTTATTATTTCACGTGTCTTTATTGATCCAATCTGAATAAAACACACATCCTGTTTCGTTTCGGTTTTTTTTATAGTTCAAAATGTCGTTTTACTTGTCTTTACTACACTAGGATCTGGAAGAGTTGTTATATTACTGGCGTTTTCGTTGAAGTTAGGATTAGCCAATGAAACAGTCTGTTGCGGCGACTTCTTGACGTGCCATGCACCACTAGAAACGTCAACGCTGATTGATTAATCAATGTCTGACGTCATAGGGTAAAAAGTCGCTAGTACGACGCGACCTCGCACTACAACTGGTCAGATCGTCATGTAGTGTAGGCCATCGAAAGTATAAAAACACGAAACGAAATATAGACCAGGGCCCGGCCTGCTTCTCAAAATCTTAACTAAAGATATAATCCCAATTTTATTAGATACTTCAATTTTGATAGGCTAAGCACTAAAATCAATATAATATTATCCAATCAAATTAGTAAAATTTTGATTTTATGTTAGTTAAAATTTCGTAAAACAGGCCCCTGTATTTTAATCAGATTGGTAATGATATTATAAATGATTTAATATTTGTAAATATAATAAATAATTTATTTCAATATTTAAATAATGGCAGTGGCTATTGTTACGACCAGTCGTAAAAATAGTCCTCAGGCTTTTGTTACGACGATGCTTTCTGAGCCCTCCATCGGCAAAGTTTAGGGTTAGGGTTATCGGGAGGTGAGGGTTCTTTGCAGATCCCCCCACAGAAAGCACGGGTCGTAGGTCTAACGTTTCCCAACCCTTGAGGGAATCGAACCCATTGACGGCATCCATTCGCCTCGCAGTTGCCGGTCCAGCGCTCTACCCTCACAGAAAGCACGGGTCGTAAGTCTACCACTGAGCTATCGCACAACCATACATTGGAGCAAAGGGTAATCATCAGAGTGCCACATGCATTAGTGGTTTGCATAAGTGGCGTGAGCTGGGGTGGGGGGGGGGTCACGGTCCCCTGGATTCGGGCCTGTAGTGAAGTTGAAATCCATTGATTCAGAGGAGTAACAGAAATCGTAACACTAGCCACTGCTTTAAATAATTGCCATTCAGAGTTCTATATATATATATATATATATATATATATATAAACATGTACACGTAGTAATATTTTATAAATGCTTTATCGTTTTGATGTGGCCATATTGTTGACAATGGAGATTTCTGTTGATTATATGCGAAGTTTGTCACCCAAAAAAATGCATTCCACACTCTGTTGACTATTCGTTTTCTTTCCTCCAGTCAGTCTCGGTCACCCAGAACCCCCTAGACTTCAACGTACGGAGGGTCGGGAATCGTTGTCAATATTTGACGAAAAGTGCCATTGCACATGCGTAACCTGGAATTTGTTTTTTTTATGCGGTTGATTATCCAGTATCTTTGGTCGAGTCAAGTAAGAGTTCCCCCCACTGATACAGACTCCTACGCGCAAGCGAATTATTGAAATAAAATTGAACCATATGTTAGTCCCAAAATGACCTAGTTTGTGTCGAGTTGAAGATAGACCCCATTCCCCCCCCCCTCTCTCTCTCTCTCTCTCTCTCTCTCCTATCTGTTTCTAAACGGAGCTAATTGTAGAATCGGTGCAGAACAAGGGCGTTAAACCCCATTACATTTTATTTCAATCCCTGTTTTATATTTTACTGTTCTCAATTTTACTTAAAGGGACATTATGTAAGATTTAGACACAGGCGTACGAGCCGGGGGGGGGGGGGGGTAAAGTGAAAAGAATATTTCATCTACTTGGCAAAATAAATTGCCCGAAAACTAATAAAACACTAATTTTACTTTTCTTTTAATTGAATACCACGAATTTGTACTGAGTTTACTATGGATTAAAACATTTTATCTGGAGTCACTCTACTTTGTACGACATTTTTCGGACATCGATTATTATTTGTGATTTATGAATGCAGCTGCAACAGTCTGGATGGTTGGAATTCAGGTCGGCATAAAGTGGGATTTCGATTACAAAGCCATTGGACAACTTTGGGGTTGCTTAACTCACGGGCTAGAATAGCAGAAAAACGCCTGTGTGGCGGTTAAATTTTCAAAATGTTCTCCGGGAGGGCGAGGTCCCCGTAACCCTCGACGATTGATTGGTTGTTTGGGATTCAGGTCAGCCAGGTAGGCTATATTGGACCACATTGAAGTTTGCGGCCGTCAAATATTCCAAAAATGTTTTGGTGGGGGCCGGGTGGGGGAGGAGGGGGTCCATACACCTTCGCCTCTCGCAGAAGAACGGCGCCGCTGTCTGTAAACCCGATATTTTTTTCGGGGATTTCGGGTTCTGCCCCCTAACTGTCATCGATCCCGCACGCCTAGATGAAGAGCTGGTCATTGTCGCTATACTATTTCAAAAATGAATATATTGAAAATTTCATTCAAATTACTTTATATTGAGCGAAGTTATTAATGGTTGTAGGTTTGATGAGATGTGTGCATTGATCGTAACTACTGTAGTGGTCATTCGAGTCTTAGCCTCGCTTCTCCATTTTTAAATTAAATCATTAAATGGCCGAACCGCTCAAATCTACTTAAAATCGGAGCCAGACGATGACATCGAGATTTGATTATGGTCTTGTCAATGTGATAAAAGTCTAATGATTAATTCATATAACATTTAAGGCCCAAAGAAAGGCTTGCACTAATCAGATTCAGGCCCGTAGCCAGCTTGCTAGCTTCGGAGGGGCAGTGAAGTTTTTAGGGGGGGGGGGGCACACCCGGCACAGTCTACAGTAGGTATTTTAGAGCTATAGTTGGCCCCCCTCTGGCTACGGGCCTGGGCAGATTTAGCTCGTACATAATGTTTAATAGTTGACAAGTGCTATTTTTGAGTCGTGCACTTATGTGGACGTCACAAGGTACAAACAGGTGGTCAATCAAATGACGCCCCCCCCCCCCACCCAAAAGACTACTACTGACGGGGCTCAATGAGTAAGACGTTGTTTTCCGACGTGGTTCTGGCAAGGACATTGTCTAGTAGTTTGGATGGGACGAAAAACCGTGGTTCTGTGTACACATTGGCGTGCACGTAACAGAAATTTGGACAAATGGAATTTGAAATAAAAGTAGGTGGTAGCGCCACTGTCCGGGCAAAATGTCCCTCATGCACACTGTATGATGTACGCCCGTTTTCTTTATCCCGGTCGTTGCAGAAAAGTAGGACATTAAACGCCATTTCATTTCATTTTCATTACAGTGTGTACTACTACTACTGACTGCTTCTACTACTACTGCTACTACTACTACTACTACTGCTACTACTACTAGGTTTTATACCCCCTTGATCGTAGGATGCCATCGCAGGCTTATAGCAATCGGTATTTTCACTCTGTTTATTTTTGGTTCGCGTTCCATTAAGATCTAGACACAAGTTAATAATAACAGTCGTGAGTTCAATTACATAATCAATCAAATCACCCAGACAATAATTCTCTATCAATAAAAGGTCGTAACTAGCCGATATTTCGTGGAATTGATTGTGTCGAGGGTTTTGATTGGTCTTTAGATTTGTCGTTGGACAATCACCTACATGTTACCAATTCTTTTGTGTTTTGAAATAAATTTTTTTTTTTTTTTCATGACGTACTTAAAGATACATTATGCAAGAGCTAAATCTGTCTGTTGAAGTTCTCTCTTTTGGACATAAATGTTATCTAAATTATTAATTAGACATTAATTAACTTAACAAGACCATAATCAACTCTCGATATCATCGGATGCCTGCGATATTTAGTGGATTCAAATACGTTTTGTGCTCGATGCGGTTACCATAAAATTGGATAATTTAGTGTGTTGATTTGAAGTCGGTTTTTACCTATATTTAAAATTTCAGACTCTCGAATATAGCCAATTTTGGGATATAACATTACGTATTCGAGAGTTTAAAGATACATTACGCAAGAATGGGATAAAGAGCTGGTCGTTCTTGCTATAATAGTTCAAAAAAAGATAATGTAAAATGAATATGTTGAAAATTTCATTCAAATTACTTAATTCTGATCGAATTTATCACTGTTTGAAGTTTTGACAAGATGTCGCATAGATTGTTCATTGTTGTAGTAAAGGTACTTGTTAATCGAGACTAAGCCTAGATTCTCCATTTTTATATTAAATCATTAAATGGCGATCGTATTCCAATCCGTTTAAATCGCCGCCATTCGGTGGTGTAAAGAGTTGACATGCGAATAATAGTTTATAATAACGTTTGAAGCAAAAAAAAGAAAGACCCGCAATAGGAAAAATTATCTCTTACATAATGCATCTTTTAGCCAACATGAAATTAAATTACTAAACAAAACAGCTTCCATTTAATTTTTCGTGCGACAATTTGAGCTTGTCCTGCGTCCTTACAATTTATTTTAACCTTAATCAAGTTTAAGTTTCTTTAATAGGGTCCATAGGTTTACTCAAAATAAATTTAATTTAATTAAAGATACATTATGTAAGATTTAAATAAAGAACTAGCCATTCTTGCTATAATAGTTCGAAAGTAGATGATGTAAAATGAATAATTTGAAAATTTCATTCAAATTACTCTATTGCAAGCGAAGATATTAGCCTTTGAAGGTTTGATAGACGTGTGCAATAATTTCAACCACCGTACTGGTTGATCGAAACTATTTCTCGGTCCTCCATATTTGATTAAATCAAAGTATCGCTGAACCATTCTAATCTATTTAATATCGGAGAAATCTGATGCCATCGAGAGTTGATTAAGGCCTGGATCAGTTAATTAATGTCTAATTAATACTTTAGAAAACATTTCAGGCCTAAAGAAAGACCTGCAATAGGCAGATTTAGCTCTTGCATAATGTATATTTAATAAAAGAATCAAGTTAAGAGAATAATAACCATCTTTACAGATAAAATATAAAAAAAAACCCATAAAGATGTCATGTTTAAAAATGAAAGAAAACTATGGATTGTTTTGGGTAATTAAAGTTGTTTGTGGTTGCTTTGGGTAATTCAAGTTATTTGTGGTTGTTTTTGGGTAAATCTATGGACCGTCTTTAATCCTCTTCAATAGAAGACTTAGTCTCGCTTTAACTACGTCCATCTTATCAAGGCCTTCGCGTAATACCCCCTCCCCCTCCGTTTTTCGGCACTAATTTCGATTTGGTATTCACCCACCTTGTGAGCCTCGATCAACGCGAATACCAAGTCTCGCACTTTCCAGCTAACATGTCTACCCAGATGTAAAATTGGCAGACATTGCTTCAAGAACATGGTCTTTAATAGGCCTACTATAGACCACACTGATCAGCAGTGAATTTTCGGTAGGCCGCTACGATCACTGATAAGGATGACATCGATGCGACTTAATGAGTTCCAAATATTAACTTTTTTCTTCCGTCAAATTAAATTCTAAGACATTTTTTTTTTTTCATTTATTAGAAAAATAAATAAAGACGTGTGAATTGTTTGTAGGTAAAAATCATTTCCTATTTAGTGTAAATGGGTATTAAAATAAGTAAAATTCACCATTTAGCCCAAATCAGTAATGCACGCGCTATTGAGCCAATGATTGACCCCGCGTGATGTGACGTCACGTGTCGAAACAGTCATCTCTGTGAAACAGATTGACTATAGACCTGTGTGTAAACTTGTGTTGTTTATATTATTAATGTATCTTTAAACTAACTGTGATACGATTGTCTCCAGTCATTATTTATTTATAGACGAATAAACGACACACTGGGGACATATTATCCCTTATACGATTCAGATCTTTGTGTTTCGCCCACCGAGACAATTCACTTGTATAATATAGCACCATGGAGAGACCATGATCAGTTGATAATTTTATTCATTCCTATCTCAGTGAAGCCAGTGTGTCGCATATGAGACTGTAAATGATTGTCAACACAGTTTTGAGTTTAAAGGAACCGCCCCAGAGAGAGAGAGAGAGAGAGGGAGAGAGAGAGAGAGAGAGTTTAGCGTCCAGTCTACACTTAACTAGGTCACTTTCGAACAAAAACAAGCTATTTGGGCTATTACTTCACTTTTTCGGGTTTAATATATATATATGCATACTTTAAGCCACAGCGATGGGCTGTGCAAAATCTGGTAGTGCGCCTTTAAACAAAAACCGTGAATTGTGTGTGAAAGTCTCGCGAAAACATTTGTCCTAGTTGGTGGTGAAATGTTGTGTGATTGAGAACCAATATTCTTACTTGTATATACAAAGGCAAAACACACACACACACACCCACACCCACACCCACACGCTCCTCTAAAGGTTTTATAATAATTTATATTTTCAATAGAAGCTCAGAACCTCGTTTAAGGGAGGCAACTCTTCTAACGCACGCTCCTATTTTTGCTATAGTAACGAATCGATCTTATAGTACCTAATTAAAGTTAACGTGTATTAAACTATAAATAGACGTCATAGAAAATCAGTTGAACATTATGCAGGCCTTTCTTCGGGTCTGAAATGTTATCTAAATTATTAATTAGATATTAATTAACTTATCCAGACCATAATCAACTCAAGATGTCATCGCTAGCCTGTGATATTTACTGGATTAGGATCCGATTTCTGCTCAACTTTCATTAAATCATGAAGTGGATAATCGAGACTATGTTATTTATCGTACCGACTTTACTAATTATGATCGAGGCTAGGCCGAAAATTCAATCGCTAAATTCTCGGTTCAGAGTGAATCAATTTGACTGAAATTTTCAGCAAATTGCCTTTGCATTATCTAGGTTTTAACTACATGTATTATATAGTGAGTACTGCCAGCTCTTTATCAAATATTCCTTAATGTTTCTTTAAATAGCAAGCATTTGGAGAAAAAAAAACAGATGACGACATTTCCCGTAATATTTTTCTTAGGGGATTGGGTAATTGCATTACTTTAGATTCTTGCTTTATTTAAAATTTAGATAGATGTGTTTAAACATACAGTCACAAGCATTTAATATCACTATCCAAATCATCAGACCGTTTTAAGGCCAGCTCAGTTTTTGTCAAGGTGATTGAGATGTATTTAAAGTTAGCCCACGTGATTGTTAGCGAGATTGTAGGTTAGTGTTAGGGTAAGCATTGGGACTAGGTTAGGGTTAGGGTTCGGATTAGCGCTAGCCCTGTTTACATCTCATGACCAAACCTGTTTCACAGAGGATTACGAAAGTCTTCTAATATCTCTGTAAAAGATGACTGCCTTCAACACGTGACGTCACATCACGCGCCGTCAATCATTGGCTCAATGGCGCGTGCATTGTTTAAATAAGGCGTTACTGGTTCGTGCAGATTGGTGCCTTTTACTCATTTTAATACCCATTTACACTAAATTAGGAAATATTTTTTACCTACAAATACTTCAAACGTCTTTATTTATTTTGTAATACATCAAATAAATTGTTTTAGAGTTTTATATATCGGAGGAAAAAAGTTAATATTTGTGGATCATTAAGTCGCATCGATGTCATCCTTATCAGTGATTGTAGCGGCCTAGAGAATATTCACTGCTGATCAGTGTGCTCGTGACCTATGACGAAAAATTGAGCTGGCCTAATCATTTAGTCTAACCATGATCAGATTTATAAATAAGATAAATTGACAATAGTTGGGAGACAACCTGTCACGAGTTTTAGGGGGGTTGGTTAGTGCGTGCGCACTGTATCATAAGATCTTCTCCTGGTCCTCCGGTTTCCTCCCACTGCTAAAGACCCCTACGCGCAAGCGAATTATTCAAATAAGATTGAACCATGTGTTAGTCTCGAAATGACCTAGTTTGTGTCGAGTGGACGTTAAACCCAATTTTTTTCTTTCTTTTTTTCCGTTTCATGTTATAAAGCACCCGAACTCCAACATGATGCTTGCTTAAATCATGTTGAATAACACTGGGGGCGTTCCGATTAGGCTTCTCAAATCATTAATTATTCTATATTCCATAGAATTTTGACCTGTATACTCCAGTTCAATTACTAAATGCCATTGAAACAATTTTGGTCAGGGCTAGGGTTCAATAGATGCTACATTTTGACTACCGAAACGTTGTAAATTCAGTTAGTTGTTAATAATTACATAGTAATTATAATTTAGTCCCCATTTCAAATAGGACAGTCTTACTATGTAATAGTACTTTAGCGTGAACATAAAAATCACATAAAGAACAATTTGATTAAAACACAGTTCCTATTTCGTTTCATTTTATATAGTTCAAAATTTCGTTTTACTTGTCTTTACTACACTATGATCTGGAAGAGTTGTTGTCATTGACGTGTTCTGGATAGTGTTAAGGATTGCCAATGAAACGGTCTGTTACGGTGGGCTTTAGGCGTGTTTTGCACGGAACTGTGGGTAATCCATTAGAAACATCAATGCTGATTGGTTAATCAAATGTCTGATGTCATAGGGTCAAAAGTCGCTCGTATGACCTCTGACGCGACCTATCGCTACAACTTGTCAGATCTTCATGTAGTGTAGGCCATCGAAGGTATAAAAAACGAAACGAAATATAGATCTGTATTTTAATCAGATTGAAACAAGAATATTTGGATTTAATATTTAAAATTAATTTTAATTAAAGTAGCCAAGTCTCTAACTCAATATCATCCAAAAACATTGAAAACACAAATTATTTGTCAATTTAAATCAACATTGATGGTGTGATCTTACCGGGAAAAGATGGGCTTCTGATATCCAATATTTAAGACAAAATAAACGTTTTACCACTGGTACACGAATCGTGTACCACAATGTGTTTCAGCGCTATTTTTGATAACAAGGGAGTCGAAGAACGGGCTAGACATATTCTACCAATCTGTTTCACAGAGAATTCCGTCGCGGCCAAGCAAATATTCACTGCGGATCAGTGTGATATTCTACAAGTCATGTAAAACGGTGACGTTAATATTCTTATCTGGAGAGCATGCGAAATAAATACTACCGGTGTAGGCTGGAATAATCAGACGCTAGGGATTGCCATTCGATTGGGACTTCTGGCGTATTTCGCCGAACATAAAGAATTTCAAATTAGAGTAAAAACGGAAACGATTGAATGTGAATCAGTTTATATACATTCATATATCATTATTATATGCGTTGCGACCCATTTGTATCAATTTCTAGGTCCCAAATATAAGCGATTTATTAGGCCCGTTACATCTGAAAAAAGACATTGAATATTTCATTGAATTTTCTTATCCTATCCTAAAATGTCCTTCGATAATCCGTGCATAAATTTGGGCAAAATATGGCAGAATTTGTTTATTGTACATTAACTTCGACTGTAACTATGTTTTGCTTCTATTTTTGTCACACACACTAGTCCAAACATTTAATAACGCTAACATTGAAAAATAAAATCAATCCAATATCTGGTCTCTTTTTGATAAAAATCAGGTTGGATTTCTTTAAAGGCTCAATACCACTCTTGTTGTAACTGAATAATATGTCACAATCTTTATTCTGGTCAACAAATTGTACTATTTTACAATATTCCAATTAATTGGTGATGTAAATTTCATCTTAACACACCTAATTTAAAAAATTGGAAAAATTCAACTAAATGATTTGAAAAGCCTGACGTAAAGCTTTTTAAATGTGACTTGGATTTAAAAATATTTTTGAACCCTCTCGACAAGTAAAATAGGGTTTAATGGATAATTTACACAACAGGTAAGACACTAACACATCTAGTACTTAGAATAAGGCTATTTTTTATTTTCTGGAGCTGTCAAGCCAGACAGAGTGTTATTGTCCCTTTAAAGCAAGAAATGGGGAAATAACGCCAGCTCAATGGGGTTGGATACGTCCCCTGTGACAAGTCCCTGTGATCTATAGAGGTTGGAGCGGTCCTATCACGTGATGTGCATCACATGACTTTTCAAAATGGCGTTGACTTGTATCCAAGTTTTGTTGATGATTGGGATGCTTGTCACTGGGAGCATAAATACAATCAGTAAAAAGGCACAGAATGATTGCACGTGAGTAGAACAGGAAATGGAACGAAAGGGACTTTTCAAATTGATAATATCTGAGTGCTGACATGGTCTGTTGGCGGAAAAGAAAGACTTTTAGTCACTGACATTTGTGACCTCGTATGACCAAATTAGGTTTCAATTTCCTGTGTGATTAATAGTCAGCACAATACTGTACAGGGAATCGTTGCCTTCATTGTGGATTAGTGATCGGATTTTCATACAAATATTTTGTATTAAAATATGAGAGAGAGAGATGGGGTTTTAACCTCCACAGGACACAAACTATGTCATTTCGAGACTTGCACATTGTATCATTTAAGGCCTGTCATTGAGTCAAATGGCGTGGTTTCGAATCCCCGGTTGTACGTGACAAGGAGTAGGGTCGCCTGTCCAACCTCGTTTATTTTCTCCAGGTTCTTCAGCTTCCTCCCACTGCTAAAGACCCTTCAAACAAACAAATTATTGAAATAAAATTGAACCATATGATAGTCCCGAAACGACATAGTTTGTGTCGAGTGGACATTAAACCCCATTTCTCTCTCTCCCTCTCACTTCTGCTAGCTGACAGCTGAAAGGGTGCTTGTTTGCGTGAACAGAGTTAAACTGTTTTGAATATGATATCGACATAGGCCTACAAGTTTAGGAGGGACCTATGGAAGATTAGTTTTTTTTTGCAAACTAAATACGTTGCCTCATTAAATAAAGTTTTTATTATTATTATATTATTATAAAACATTTGAAATATTTCAGAGTAAAATATTTGAATTGAATTATTTCAGAGTAAAATATTTGAATTGAAATATTTCAGAGTAAAGTATTTGAATTGAATTATTTCAGAGTAAAAGGTTATCCTGGTAAAAATGGAACAAATGAAGAACATGATTTTGATCATCCTTGGTTTCAAACATGGATTATGTTTATAGGTAACTACCAAGATCTGTATCTTTAAAGATCCTCCTACACTGTCCACCGTCATGGATAAATCAGAATGAAAAGTGCCGAGAAACTTTCACTGATCTCACTGAACCCAGTCATTGTTGTTTGTATTTTAGAGGAGAGCCGCAAAAAGCTCCCCTTAATCAACTCCCTTAATCGCTCCCTTAAAAAGCTCTCCCAGTTTCGATAAGAAGAGTGATTTAGAAATTAAGGAGAGTGATCTGATATTAAGGAGAGTGATTAGTTGTGTGTACGGAAAATGATTCTGAAGATCAATAACTGCATGTTAGGGGGTCATTCCTGGATTCATAAATGATAATAAACCCCCCATAACTCTGTAATAGTAAGTGCAGGAGGACCGTACTACACGTAAAACAAAAATCTACAAGATAAACCTGCGGACAAGACAGCGATTTTCAATTTTAAGGAGAGGGAAAAAAAGCTCCCCTCGGTCGACATTCAGGTGAACGGCAGGCGCTTGAGAGCGATAGCTCGCCTTAAAAAACAATGACTGTGAACCACAGTGGCTCCTGCTCAGTTACTGTAACCTTAGTATTGTGTACACATTATATAGTGGTTTTACAAAACCTGAGCGAAGATTCGTAAATACAAGCCAGTTTTTGGATGCTTGATAGTTAGTATTTTTGTATTCTGAATATGAATATTATAATTCCAGTGGTGTATTGGTATGCTGAATATTTTCAATATGATATTATATCAAATTAATTAAATTTATTTCCTTGTTGAAAGTTTTAAATCTGGTTTAAAGTTCAACTATAAAGTCTGCATATCAAATCCTGAGTTACGGGGACAATTTATATAGCATATTACTTGGATTATAGGCCTATATAATATATCGTATCTCCTAGACTTTAGGCCTATATGATAATGCTCCTATACAATAGGCCAATATAATATATCTCCTAGACTGTAGACCTATATAATAGATTATATCTCCTAGACTGTAGGCCTATATAACATAACGTATATCCTAGACTTTAGGCCTATATGATAATGCTCCTATACAATAGGCCAATATAATATATCTCCTAGACTGTAGACCTATATAATAGATTATATCTCCTAGACTATAGGCCTATATAACATAACGTATATCCTAGACTTTAGGCCTATATGATAATGCTCATATACAATAGGCCAATATAATATATCTCCTAGACTGTAGACCTATATAATAGATTATATCTCCTAGACTGTAGGCCTATATAACATAACGTATATCCTAGACTGTAGGCCTGTATAATAGATTATATCTCCTATATAGACTATGTGCCTATATGATAGATCGTATCTCCTAGACTGTAGGCCTGTATAATAGATTGTATCTCCTAGACTATAGGCCTATATGATAGATCACATCTCCTATACAATAGGCCTATATAATAGGTCGTATCTCCTGGACTGTAGGCCTATATAACATAACGTATATCCTAGACTATAGGCCTATATTATAGATCGTATCTCCTAGACTGTAGGCCTGTATAATAGATTGTATCTCCTAGACTTTAGGCCTATATGATAGAACGCATTTCCTATACAATAGGCCTATATAATAGGTCGTATCTCCTGAACTGTAGGCCTATATAACATAACGTATATCCTAGACTATAGACCTATATGACAGATCGTATCTCCTGAATGTAGGCCTATATAACATAACATATATCCTAGGCTATAGGCCTATATTATATATTGTATCTCCTACACTATAGGCCTATATAATCTATGTCATATATCTACAGGTGAAATGTTTTGTTTGATTGGTCTGCTGATCGTTAGAAGAAAGGAAATACAGACATGGAAAAAACTGGTTTGTAATTTTTACGATCAGTTGGGTTTAAAGTTTGAGTTCAATATTCTGTACTTCAGACAGACACAATTTAACTAGTGATGGATCAATCATTGTTTGTATGGTTGACTAACAGAGTGGTCTGTATGGTTGAACGACAGAGTTGTCTACAGTGAGATCTGTATGGTTGAGTGACAGAGTCGTCTATTGTGAGGTCTGTATGGTTGAGTGACAGAGTGGTCTATTGTGAGGTCTGTATGGTTGAGTGACAGAGTCGTCTATTGTGAGGTCTGTATGGTTGAGTGACAGAGTTGTCTATTGTGAGGTCTGTATGGTTGAGTGACAGAGTCGTCTATTGTGAGGTCTGTATGGTTGAGTGACAGAGTGGTCTGTATGGTTGAGTGACAGAGTTGTCTATTGTGAAGTCTGAATGGTTGAGTGACAGAGTCGTCTATAGTTGTAATCTCCTGACTAATCCTCTTCTGTTTCTTCCCACTGATCAACACAGAAATGAAGATATATAATTACCATGACCTAGATGTTGAGTAGATGTCTAACCTAATTTCTCTTCTTCTGATACATAAATAAACTGTCTATACCATGGGTTGCACGTTGGCCGTATATGCCGGTCAAGACCTAGGACTATGGAAAATGACTGTAACTAGATCTGACCCAACTGTTATTTTGCAATCCGGAAAGAGAGCTTTTTTTTTCAAAACCCAATTTTCAAACATGGCTACGATCGACCTCCACTATGTAACTATACAATTATACGGCCAGTACAGAATAATGCACATGTATAGAAGCCACATAATTTTGTGTTTGGCGTTATAGAGTTGTATGCGTAGTCGTCAACATATTATATTGAGTGTTGTGTTGATAATTAATGATGAGTGTCTGGTGAAATGAAATGAAATGAAATGGAGTTTAACGTCCTACTGTTCTGCTCCTAACCTGGGCTAATGAAGACGGGCATACGCCATACGTGTGCTATGAGGGAAATTTTGCCCAGACAGCGGCACTACAACCTACTCTTATATCGAATTCCAACTGCCAAGGGATCTTTTACGTGCACGCCAATGTGTACACGGGACCTCGGTTTTCCGTCCCATCCGAACGACTAGACAGCTGTCAGCCCCTCCGTCCTGCATCACTGACAAGGGAGAATCACGCCGGAAAATGAGTGTCTGGTAGTAGAACAATAAAAGTTAATTGATATGTGGGAATCTAATCTAGACTCTATACAATCAGTTGACAAATTTTCAGTTCATTTTATCTTTGTAAATACTCAACAGAATTTAACTTTTTTGCGGGTTGGTATTCCTTTTTTGCGGGGGCTGGGGATGGTATTCCTTTTACAGATGCACCTTTCACACAATTATTACAAGATTAGAAATCTCCGAATTAGAAATTTTAACACGGTAATTTAGTTATTGAGGATATGGACAATGATATTCCACATTATATCTTTTATTATTTGTTATTTTTTTTTTTGTAGTCCAGTTGGACAGAGAAAGTGGGAGGAGCCCCATTAGAGCCACCAACCCATAAAAGGTTTGTCCAGTTATATTTACTAATAAATATATGGTATTAAAAATGATCCTGGTAAAACTATAGTATTAAACGATCATGGTAAATCTGTAGTATTAAATCATCATGGTAAATCTATAGTATTAAATCATCATGGTAAATCTATAGTATTAAATCATCATGGTAAATCATGGTAAATCTATAGTATTAAATCATCATGGTAAATCTATAGTATTAAATCATCATGGTAAATCTATAGTATTAAATCATCATGGTAAATCTATAGTATTAAATCATCATGGTTAATCTATAGTGTTAAATCATCCTGTTTAAACCATGTTTACATGTGATAAGGATGGGGTACATTCCCTAAATTCTCGAGGTAGCCGTGCATAGCTGTTACTGGAAAGTCAAATTTTGAAATCTTTGAATCCTACTGCTCCTCAACAAAATCCAGTTTTGGGGGAATCAAACCATATAAGAACTAGGTGAAGTTTTAAGTTTATGAAATGAAATGGGATTTAACATACGAGTTGAAATGAACCAACCAGATTCGATTACGACAGGTGTCATTATATGATCAAGACTGAGGCAATAAAGATACATTGGGTTATGTTATAGCCCGTTCAGACGCTTATTTTTAAACCAGTTCATAATCGCTGGGGTTTTTAAGACAGCATCGTGTTGCGTTCACACGTACTATAAGCCAAACCAGTTTAACTATTCTGACCTCTTCGGTCGGAGGTTAGAGTTAACTGCGCATGGGTGGCTTCATATTCTTTATTCGGTTCTCGCACGCTTTCGATAACATTGGCACTGTCTGACCCCAATATTTCCACAGGAATGTAACTAACTGCGTACTGCGCATGCTCAAAGCAAGCTGGAGCTGGGTTTTTTAAGTCAACCCGTTCAGACGGCTAAGATGAGCCAGTTTAAAATAAAAAGCCTTCTCGAAGACAGGTCGCGAGCAGGGGTTTTTAAACTGGTTTATTTGACCCACATCTGCGTTCAGACGCTTAAGTTAAACTGGTTTAACGATCCCCAGGGTTTTTAAACCAGTTCAACTTAAGCGTCTGAACGGGCTATAAGAGCTGTATCTGCCTATTGCAGGTCTTTCTTTAGGTGTCGGAGGTGGATGGCTGAATGGTCAGCATGTGTGCGCTGTATCATAAAGTCTGTTATTGAGTCAACTGGCGTGGTTTTGATTCCCTGGTTGTGCGTAACAAGGAGTAGGGTAGCCTGTCCGCAATCTGATTAACATACAGATCTATATTTCGTTTCGTTTTTTTTATACTTTCGATGGCCTACACTACATGAAGATCTGACAAGTTATAGCGATAGGTCACGTCAGGGGTCAAGAGACCGACTTATGACCCTATGATGTCAGACATTTGATTAACCAATCAGCATTGATGTTACTAGTGGATTACCCACAGTTCCGAGCAAAAAAAGGTCAAACACCCGACAGACCATTTGATTGGCTGACCCCTCATTTCAAGCAGAACACAAGTTAAATAACAAGTCTTCCAGATCCAAGTGTAGTAAAGACAAGTAAAACGAAATTTTGAACTATAAAAACGAAGCGAAATAGGATCTGTGTTTTAACCAGATTGGTAGCCTGTCCAACCTTGTGGGTTTTCTCCAGGCCCTCCAGTTTCCTCGCACTGCCAAAGGTCTCAAATGTTATATTATTAATTAGACATGTATTAACATGCCAAGCCTATGATCAACTTTCTAGAACATCGGATGATTGTGATTTTGAACAGACTGTAACACGATTGCAATTTAATAATTTAATTTAAAAATGGATAATCAAGATTTTGTTTGCTATCGTAACTATGGTAGCAGTGAAAATCGAGACTACGGTATTCATCAAATAGTCATTCTGTTTTATTACAGGGTTTTTCAGTGGATATTCCTGATTCCCACTGTGTGTGATTTGATCGGAACATCTTTAGCAGGTAATATTAGTTTAAGTATAAAATGTGTTGTCATGGATGGAGGAGAGGTTTTGATAAAATATTATTCATGCGAGAAAGAGAGAGAAATAGAGTTTAACTTCCAATCGACACTACCTAGGTCTTTTCGGGACTAACACATGGTTCAATTTTATTTCAATAATTCACTTGGGCGTAGAAGTCTTTAGCAGAGGGAGGAAACCAGAGGACCCAGTGAACGCCCATGAGGTTGAACAGGCGACCCTACTCCCGGGGAACCGGGGAATCGAAACCACACCAGTTGACTCAATGACAGACCTTATGATATAATGCGCACCTGGCCATAGCCACACCCCTTGACCATGTGACAAGAGTAAACATAGCCACGCCCCTTGACAACAACATGACAAGAGCAATCGTGGACACGCTCCCTTGACAATGTGACAATGCCTCTTTCTCTATGATAGCCTATGTTTTATGTTGTATATTACAGGTATTGGGTTATTATAGGTATTTGTATATTACAGGTATTAGGTTATTATATGTTGTATATTACAGGTATTGGGTTATTATAGGTATTTGTATATTACAGGTATTGGTTTGTTATATGTTGATGCTTCAGTATGGCAGATGTTAAGGGGCTCTATTATAATATTCGCTGGTATTCTATCGGTAAGTTGATGTTATATTATTTGCTGGTATAAGTTGATATTCTGTTACAATATTTATGTGTAATATCACTTAGAAATATATTTTAAAAAACAATAATGTTAAAAATTGTCACATTTGTTGAGGTAAACAAAATTCATAAAAATTGACTAACTGGGAAAATTTTAAATGAATGCTCCGATTGGAACTAACTTATGTTCAAAATTTTATTGTTTGAGGTTTGGAATGATTATTAAACTTCTGTTTTTATTTTCAGAAAGTATTTTTAAAGCGTAAATTAGTATTAAAGCATTGGGCTGGTATGTTGACGGTGATGATTGGTTTAGTGTTAGTTGGTTGTTCTAGTGTGTTTAAATCTAGCGGAGATAATAAAGGGTCTAAAGCCTTATTAGGTCAGTAAAATAAATAGAGAGAGAGATAAAGTTTAAACTCCCCTCAACCTCCACTTGACACAAACTAGGTCATTTCGGGAATAACATATGGTTCAAATTTATTTCAACAATTCGCTTGCGCATAGGGGTCTTTAGCAGTGGAAGGAAACTGGAGGACCTGGAGAAAACCCATGAGGATGGACAGGCAACCCTACAACTTGTCACATACAACCGGAGAATGAAAACCACACCAGTTGACTCAATGACAGACCTCATGACACAGTGCGCCCGCGCTAACCAATCGGCCATCCAACCCCCCTCCACTCAACACAAACTAGGTTTTTTCAGGACTAACATATGGTCCTATAAACAATTCCTGGAGAAAACCCATGAAATGAAATGAGAATGAAATGAAATGGGATTTAACGTCCTACTGTTCTGCTCCTGACTGGGCTAATGAAGACAGGTAGACGCCATACTGTGTGCTATTAGGAAAATTTTGCCCTGGCAGCGGCACTATGGCTTACTCTTATATTGAAATCCAACTGCCAAGAGATCTTTTACGTACACGCCAATGCATACATGGTACCTCGTTTTTTTGTCTCATCCGAATGACTAGACAGCTGTCCTTGTCAGGCCCAAAAACCCATGAGGTTATGCAGGTTTAAAGTGATTTGAAATTTAAATGGGGTTAAAAGTCCTAATTTTCTGCACCAGCCGTGCTATTAAAGACGTTTATTCCATGTATTGTGTAGACCTATATATGCCATGCAGTGTGTAGACGTATATATATGCCATGCAGTGTGTAGACCTATATAAATTATGTCATGCAGTATGCAGACGTATATATGAGGTGGACACAGCACGGTGCCAGGCACGACACAGTTGAATATTAGTAGTGTAAACGCTATCCGGTCTGACAACAATTCTTAGTACGGATTACAGCGCATGCTTCAAATGAACCATGACCTTTTCTACCACGAACTTTGACATTTCTGTCATCAGTTCTGTCAAAATGGCTGCCCAAACTAAATCAACCGCCATAATTGTTTTCATCCGTGTGATTTGCACAATTCTGGTTAAACATTTGGCGTGCCTAGTACGGTTCCGAGATCAGTTATTTTAGAGTAATCTAAACGTGTCAATTTCTTGAAATTTATCACGGGTTGGTACCATGCCGGGAACGGCACTCTTATCATGGCCAAGTGCAAACGGGGCTATAGATGCCACCCTCCTGACAAGTGAGGACCACAGGTTTCCTCTCAGCTAATGCCACGATAGTGATAATCATTATGCCTCTGTAACTCTTTGTTCTGTTTTTCAGGAATTGCTTTAATTTTAGGAAGTCAAGTTGTTAGTGCCAGTCAAATGGTTATAGAGGAAACGTTTCTCAAAAATAAAAGTTATCATCCTTTACAGGTATTGAGTTAATCTTTATACAAGTTATTTCACTGGAAATGAAATGAAATGAAATGGGGTTTAACGTCCTACTGTTTTGCTCCGAACTGGGCTAATGAAGATGGCCATACGCCATACAGTGTGCTATTAGGAAAATTTTGCCCGGGCAGTTGCACTATGGCTTACTCTTATTAAGAATTTCAACTGTCAAGGGATCTTTTACGTGCACGCCAATGTGCACACAGGACCTTGGGTTTTCGTCGCATCCGAATGACTAGACAACTGTCCTTAGCAGGCCCTCCATCCTACATCACTGACCCTTGCATCTGTTATCACTCGTCACTTCAGTCAGTTATATAGAAGGATAACTCATGTTTTCCTTTTGTGTTTGTCACTTCCTTTTGTAGAAACCTTCATTACGCATCTATCATAGCAATGATCTCTGTGTTAAAATTATATTTGGAACGTATTTATGACAGACACCAATTAATATTGTCCTTTAACACCCACCGATTGAAGGCCATTTTATCCGATGTTAATTGTACGTAAATCGTGTGAGGGGACCGCTGATTGATGTCGTAATTAGGAATATTCAGAATCCGGATTACTCAAAACTTTTTTGGCTGAAATAATAAGGAAATAAATCGGGACAGGAAAATGATGACGTAGTATTCAGATGTTGGATGTGACAGAGTCTACTGTACTTCTTGACTATATATCTTTATACAATGTTTATCAACATTTTTATGGAGACTGATGGAGAAATGAATCTTATAAGATATTTTTTGAGGTGACTGATGTAGAAATGAGTCTTATAAGACACTTTTTGAGGTGACTGACTGATGGAGAAATGAATCTTATAAGATATTTTTTGGGGTGACTGATGTAGAAATTGATCTTGTATATTTCAGGTCGTAGGTATGGAAGGTACATTTGGTTTTCTACTTATGTCTGTGGTAAGTAAAAATATATATAGTTATAGTAGTTTATATCTTGCTATGGGGGGTTGGATGGCCGAATGGTTAGCCCGTGCACGCTGTATCATAAGGTCTGTCATTGAATCAAATGGCGTGGTTTCGATTCCCCAGTTGTACATGACAGGGAGTAGGGTCGCCTGTCCAACCTCGTGGGATTTCTCCAGGTCCTCCGGTTTCCTCCCAGTGCTAAAATCAAACCATATGTTAGTCCCGAAATGACCTAGTGTGTGTCAAGTGGAAGTTAAAGCCTCTCTCCCCCCCTCTCTCTCTCTCTCTCTCTCTTGACATGGCCTTTATTGTGTTATGTACTGTGACATATATGGTAAGTAAATATATATGTGCTACTACGATCACAAGTTCTACCTGTGATATTACAGGCCGTGTTACCTGTAATGTATTTGATACCATGACCACAGGTTGATAATAATTATATATTTATAATTACAGGTTGAGTTACCTGTAATAATAGTTATATATTTATAATTGCAGGTCGTGTTACCTGTGATAATAGTTATATATTTATAATTACAGGCCGTGTTACCTGCAATGTATTTTATACCTGGACCACAGGTAGATAATAGTTATGAGAATAGTTTAGATGCGATATATCAGATGGGTAATAGTGTTAGATTGTTGATATTCTGTCTGCTGTATCTATTCTCCATTGCTTTCTACAATTATTTTGGTTTAGCAGTCACCAAATCTTTAACAGGTTTGTAACATTTACACATTCATTTCTTACTTATTTTAGAAATGAAATGAAATGGGGTTTAACGTCCTACTGTTCTGCTCCAACTGGGCTAATGAAGATGGGGATTCGCCATACAGTATGCTATGAGGGAAGTTTTGCCATGACAGTGGCACTACGGCCTACTCTTGTATAGAATTCCAACTGTCAAGGGATCTTTTACGTGCACGCCAGTGTATCATGTTTTTTATACTACTCTGATTACCATAAACTCGATGACTTGTATTTGCCAGGGGTGTTGGATGGCCTAATGATTGATCATACACAGGTAGTCAAGGTTGTAGTCTGTCTGTATTTATTTCAGATGTTCATAGTACATTGATTATACGCAGGTAGTCCGGGTTGTAGTCTATTAAATCGACAAATAACGTCTGTCTGTATTTATTTCAGCTGTTCATCGTACATTGATTGATGCCTGTAGAACTATATTGGTTTGGGTAGTCGATCTTTTTATTTATTACGCCTTTGATAAAGTAAGTACAAGGAATTAATGTTTATACTCAGACCAGTCTTAGAATTACTTTTACTTACAATCCCATCCTTTAACTTACAATCCCATCCTTTAACTTACAATCCCATCCTTTAACTTACAATCCCATCTTTTTACTTAAAACTCCATCCTTTTACTAACAATCGCATCCTTTAACTTACAATCCCATCCTTTAACTTACAATCCCATCCTTTTACTTACAATCCCATCCGTTAACTTACAATCCCACCCTTTAACTTACAATCACATCCTTTTACTTACAATCTCATCCTTTAACTTACAATCTCATCCTGTATCTTACAATCTCATCCTGCATCTTACAATCACGTCCTTTAACTTGGAGCCAATGTGAATCATTGAGTAAGATGTAGGCTCACTAACACGATCCCCAGTCTGTATGATTTTCATACACAACTTGTGATGTATTTTGTGTGGTTGAATAGTCCAACACATGGAATATGTCGTCAATGTAAGCCATTGACTCGATGAAACTATTAAGTGACTCGCAGCAGTGTAACCTGTCAAACCTTCTGTGATTTCTCAATATTTTTACTTCCGGTTTCCTCCGACAGCTAAAGACCTGTACATGCAAGTAAATTATTGAAATAAAATTGAACCATAGATTAGTCCCAAAATGACCTAGTTTGTGTCAAGTAGACGTTAAAAACCCTCCCTCTCTCTCTCTCTCTCTCTTCAATATTTACTGGTAAAAAGCCCTGAGCACATCTAACGAAATGTCAGGTGTTAGTCTCAACTTCACCCAGGAGGCTATACTTAACTTTCCATCGTTATACAACTTCACCCACAAGACTATACTTCACTCTCCATCGTTATACAACTTCACCCAGGAGACCATACTTCACTCTCCATCGTTATACAACTTCACCCACAAGACTATACTTCACTCTCCATCGTTATACAACTTCACCCAGGAGACCATACTTAACTCTCCATCGTTATGTTTATATTATTTTGTTTTATTTAGAATTTTGGTGAACCATTTGATAAACAGTATGGAATATTACAAGGTATAGTCGAATTAAATATCCATTATAACCTAATTAGATTTATATGACATATTATGCCTAATTAGATTTATATGAAGTATGCCGTGTTAGATTTAATTACCTCAATTAATTTAATATTCTTCATTGAATTAAAGTCTAATATTCTTAAACATACATTATGGAAGAGCCAAATCTGTCTATTGCATGTCTTTCTTTAAGCCTGAAATGTTATATAAACTATTAATTAGAGATTTATTAACAAAACAAGACCATAATCAACTCTTGATGGCATCAGATACTTGAGTTTTTAACTAGATTAAAACGCTTCCCCATTTAAAGATTTAATTTTAAAATAGGTAAGCGAGGCTAAGTCTCGAATATACCAGTGCACTGGTTATCCCTATGCACACATCATGTAAAAACTACAAACAGTAATAACTTGACTCAGAATGAAGTAATTTGAATGAAATTTTCAATATTTTCATTTTACATTATCTATTTTTGAGCTATTATAACAAGAATGGTCAGCTCTTTATCTAAATCTTACATAATGTATCTTTAATTAACTTAAACTCTAATATTTTTCATTGAATTACAGTCTAATATTCTTAATTGAATTAATGTCTAATATTCTGAATATACACAATTTGATTGGTCCGTAAGTTTGCATTAATGGTCTGAACACCGTCTAGGGAGAGGGGTTTAATATAGGCAATGCCTGTTTCCCAATCCCTATTCAGATACAAATCTGAATAAAAATATTGCTTTAAAAAAAACCCCACCCTCTTCAATGAAATGAAATGAAATGGGGTTTAACGTCCTACTCTTCTGCACCTAACCTGGGCTAATTGAAGACGGGCATACGCCATACAGTGTGCTATGAGGGAAATTTTACCCGGGCAGCGGCGCTACGGCCTACTCTTATATCGAATTCCAACTGCCAAGGGATCTTTTACGTGCACGCCAATGTGTACACAGGACCTCGGTTTTTCGTCCCATTCGAAGAACTAGGCAGCTGTCCTTGTCAGGCCCTCCGTTCTGCATCACTGACAAGGGGAAACCACGCCGGAAAAACGAGATGAACTTTCTTGGCCAATGCAGGGATCGAACACCCGACCTCCAGGCTAGCGAGCCAGCGCCTTACCCACTTAGCCACGTGATCCCCCGTCTTCAATGAAAATATGTCAGATGTTAACATAAACAATATAACAACACCTGATTTTATTCATATTAACGAATTTATTAATTCCGTTAAATTCTGTTTGTTTTTTTCAGTGGATGGTTTTATATTTTTAATGATTGGAACAGCTTTATACAACAATCTAATAGATTTATCATTTATACCTTGCTGTAAGGCGTCGGAACAGGAATTACAGGCCATCAATAGAAATCGCACGATACAGGATGACGATTCTGCTAGTGATGTCGAAGATGAGGAAGAACCGTTGATTAGAGAACGACCAAATGTTTATACTTAAAATATTTATAACCACGAATATCATATTCATGTTGTCATGGTGATCATTGAGCTTCCAAGGCAAGAAACAAGTTACCTGTCACAAACACTGACTCGGCACTGATTTGTCTTTTTCTAGTGTTATTATTTATGGTTCAACACAACTAAAATCATTATATTCCAGGCCTTTTCATTAATCATGCATTATACAAGAGCTAAATCTGCCTATTGCAGGTCATTCTTTAGGCCTGAAATGCTATATAAACTATTAATTAGACATTTATTAACATGACAAGACTATAATCAACTCTTTATGGCATCGGATACTCACACCCAACCGTGATAAGTATATACTCACACAGTTATCATAATATCTTTCTTAAAACATACATTATACAAGAGCTAAATCGGCCTATTGCAGGTCTTTCTTTAGGCCTGATATATTATATAAACTATTAATTAGATATTTATTAACATGACAAGACTATAATAAACTCTCTATGGTATCCGATACTCATGAGGAGTATAGCATCCATGTTATTCATTGTAACATTGTATTTATATACCTCCCAGTTAGTTATATTTATCAATTGTGAATTTTATGTTTTTAATATATACATTCATCCATCTGTGAATTTTACGTTATATATTCAGTTATTAGGTTGTTATGATTACTATTGAAGACACGTAAAAATGGCCGCATGAAGTCAAACAGAAACCAATATGATAAGATAGGTAATATAAGATGTTTATTGCATCAAAACGTCCGTGAAGGACAGCATGCATACATATACACTTAGACATAGTCATATACATTCAATAATACATATTACATAGACAACTCAATACATTCATACAAACAGTATACTTTATGTACAACTGTACATGTACATGTATATCAAATAGTAAGTGGAGGAAGACCGCACTACACACAAAACAAAAATCTACAATATGAACTTAGTAATATAGCTCACTACGGTTGTTTTAGGTTGTATCAGATTGATTTATTGTGTAATACTCGTACCATGTGTGTTCAGGCCCGTAACTAGGGGTTGCAAAAAGTTTTGGGAAAAAATAGATATACATTGTCCGTCAATATTACAGCACCCCCGAGAACACTACCCGCCCCCCTCGTTGCTCCAAGCTAGTTACGGCCCTGTGTGTGTTGTCTAAATTCTTGTATGTTAAAGTAGCTAAGTCTCGACTCAGTGGTTCTCAACCTTTTTTTGCCAACGACACACCTTGGAACACATGAAAAAATAGCCGCACACCTGGCTAAAATATATATGAAAATTTTTTTTGAATTTTGCAAAATAAAAACATGGCAACTCATAGACAGCATACAACCGTAGACAGAGACTAGTCATAAGACACATAGAATGACTCAAACTAAATAAAGAAAAACACAGCTATGAACTTATCAGTAGACACCAGTTAATACTCAATTGGGATCATGTGTTTTTTTGCATTTTCTTAGTGTGCCGTTCAAAATTCCACGGCACACTGGTTGAGAATCACTGCCCTAACTCAATATCATCAAAAGTCTTTGACATTGAAAACATGAATTTTTTGTCAATTTAAATCAACATTGATGTTGTGATCTCACCGGGGAAAAGATGGGCTTCTGATATCCAATATTTAAGACAAAATAAACATTTTACCATTTTTTACATGAATCATGTACCATAATGCGTTTCAGCGCCATTTGTAACAAGGGACTCAAAGAGAATGAGGCTAGACATATTCCACAAAACATGTCAAACTGAGACGCCATATTCTTATCTGGAGAACGTGCAATAAATACTATCGGTGTAGACTGGAATAACCAGATGCTAGAGATTGCCATTCAATTGAGACTTCTGGCGTATTTCGCTGAACATAACTGATTAGAAATTAAAGTAAAAACAGAAACGATTGAATGTAAATCGGTTTACATCCATTCATATTACATTGTTATATGCGTTGCGACCCATTTGTGTTAATTTCTAGGTCCTAAATATTAGCGATTTAGCTCCTATAATACATTTACTCTCATGTTGTAATAATTTTGTGTTTTTTGATAAAAGTATTGAATTTAGAAGAGGACATAGAATATTTCAATGTTTTTAGTGGCTACCTCAGTGTATATATAAGGTGAAACAGCTGCTGGTTTATTTTTTTAAATTTATATCATCATAATTTGTACATTTTATATGTTTGAAACTATTATAACTTGAACTCAGTAACTAATATGTAAAAATACCATTTCATTGTTGTATATACTGGGACTGCACCATGGAGCAGTTTCATTGCTCTATATATTGGGACAGTAACTTTGTATACTTTTTGTATATAAAATATTTTTTTCAAACTCATTATTTAATTGATTCTGTTTTTTTCCATAAATCTTTTGTTCTGTATGTTTATTTTTATACACCCACATTGAAATGTGGTCGCATATTGTCCTCACCCCCATCCTTCCGTCAATCCGGCTTCCACAATTGCCAGTGGACGCTCTAGAGACTAAAGTGAATATCTGATTAACTTTAAATTTATACACAGTGTTTAAGGTCATTTTTGATTACTGCCAGAGTTATGGCCCTTGATCACTTTGGAAGATCTTGTGGATGTTTTAGAGACAATAGTTATCATCTGATTGATTTTATATTTATACACCGTGTTTACGCCTATATATAATCGCTTTGATTGACATTAGATTGATACACAGAGTTTTAAGGTCTTGAGATGAATAAGTCTATTGATTTTCAATAATTTTTGAACAGCTAAATCCATGATATTAAATGTTTTGTATACTAAACGTTAGCATGGGCCAAACAAATTATAATGTTTTTCAGATAATGACTTGATGAGTTGTTACTCTTAATCAGATTTTAGTGTATTATAAATGTTTCATTACCGACAAATAAAAATATGCGACAACTCTTGTTGACTGCTCTTGTTGACTGCCCGGACGACTTTAGCTGCTGTTAGCATAGGTTTTGTTGCCTGGCAACCTATCTTTTTATGCGTGAGCCATTAACAGATTAAAACTGTAACATTAATAAAGATCTAATTTAAATGAGAAAAAAATTTATTGTTTATTCCAGTCAAATTAAACATGCATTATGCAAGAGCAAAATCTGCTTATTACAAGTCTTTCTTTAGGCCTGAAATGTTATCTAAATTATCAATTAGACATTAATTAACTTATCCAGACCATAATAAACTCTTGATGTCAAGGCTAGCCTTCGATGTAGGCTGGATTAGATTCCTATATGCCGCTAACGGCCAAAGATAATTAAATCAGAAAAAGTGGATAATCGAGACTATGCTGTTTATATTAATGATTTTAGTAATGATAACCGAGACTATGCAAAAATTTCACCGGCTTCTTTCTCGGCTCATAGTGGATCAATTTGACTGAAATTTTCAGCAAATCACCTTTACACTATCTAGTTTTTAACTATTATAGCGAGAAATGCCATCTCTTTATCTTATCTCCCATAATGTATCTTTAATAGGGCACCTACATAGTTTGGAAATCGCGGTTAGTAGATTTGAATGGGCATAATTTGACAATATGTAGATACTTCTGCTTGTGTTCACCTCTAGTAACCTACCATCTCTAGTGCTAAAATTGAAATGAAATGAAATGGGGTTTAACGTCCTACTGTTCTGCTCCTATTCTGGGCTAATGAAGACGCGTATACGCCATACAGTGTGCTACGAGGGACATTTTTCCCAGGCAGCCGCACTATCGCCTACTCTTATATCGAATTCCAACTGCCAAGGGATTTTTTACGTGAATTCCAATGTATACACGGGGCCTTGGTTTTTCGTCTCATCCAAAGGACTAGACAGCTGTCCCGATGAACTTTCTCGGCCAATGCAGGGTTCGAACACACGACCTCCAGGCTAGCGAGTCAGCGTCTTAACCAACTAGCCACCGTGGCTCCCTCTCTAGTGCTATCCCCTCCCCAACACTTCTCCAGTTATATCCCCCCCACCCATCTCTAGTATACATGTAATAACCCCCTCCCGCCCAACCGTGATAAGTACATACTCACACAGTTTTCATAATACCTTTCTTAAAACATACATTATACAAGGGATAAATCTGCCTATTACAGGTCTTTCTTTAGGCCTGAAATGTTATATAAACTATTAATTAGACATTTATTAACACGACAAGACCATAATCAACTCTCGATTCCATCTTATATATCTGAGTTTCATTAGATATGAATCCGATCTGCGGTTCAATGCCCACTGTTAATTAACCGCAAAAATGGTTAATCGAGACGTTCTTCATTATCGTTACAGTGGTAACAATGACAATGAGGTTTTCTGGGCACCGAGTGAAGTAATTTGACTGAAATTTTAAGCATATTCTATTTACATTATCTATTTTTTAGCCATTATAGTGAGAACTGTGAGCTCCTTAATCTCCTATAATGTATCTTTAATCTCCTATAATGTATCTTTAATCTCCTATAATGTATCTTTAATCTCCTATAATGTATCTTTAAGTATCTATGTTTTAACTATTATAGTGAGAACTGTCGGCTCCCAAAATACATCATTAAGTAAATAAACAACATTTTTTTTATTTAAAATGAATTGGGAGGGAGAGAGAAATGGGATTTAATGTCCACTCGACACAAACTAGGTCATTTCGAGACTAACATATGGTTTAATTTTATTTACATAATTCGCTTGTGCGTAGGGGTCTTTAGCAGTGGGAGGAAACCGGAGGACCCGGAGAAAACCCCGGAGGTTGGACAGGCGACCCTACTCCTTGCCACGTACAACCGGGGATTCAAAACCACGCCAGTCGACTCAATGACAGACTTTATGATACAGCGCGCGCATGCTAACCTTTCAGCCATCCAACCCCCCCAAATGAATTGGGTATACATGTGTATGTATAGCCTCTTTAACAACATGTTATGTTTAGTAATGGATAATCAAGTCTCAATTCACTTTACTGTAGTCTCTAATAATCAGCCTCTTCATCTGCCCAGTTTATTTGATCATCTTCTTTGGTGATTAAATCTATTATAACGTTCATCAATTTGGATTCCTTACTTCCCGTCGACCAATCAGTCGATCCTGGACGAGTTATCTTTCTTTCCAACAGACGATCCAACTGAAATCTCATATCTTTCACGAGTTGAGCAGTTTCGGGAGAGGCCTTGAAAACTATCCAATCATCAACAGACACACAATCACCCTCGTCATAAATTAGCCGAATATCCCCACCAAAAAACAACAGAGGATACGGAGAAATCGTTGTACAGTCGTGGACATAAATAGCACTAGTTTTTAACATCTGGTGGAAAATAACCCACCGCGATTTAAACGAACTACATTTTGCGTTAACTGACACGGGATGCATGGCGGCCTTTTGACCGCCTTTTAGATTCAATTTTACAGTCGTTGTCCCTTTGCCTGACGCTCTGGGTGTTTTGCCGATTTTTGCAACATTTGGATACAGTCCGGCACACACAACTGCTTTGATTAGACTCAGATTACTAGAATGGATGTTGGCAGACGGATCATTGGGATCCGAACTTGTAGTAAAACCAACTTCCTGTAAAAGTTTAGCCAGTTGTTTTTTCATCTCCTTTAATAACCTGAGAACATTTACCGACAGAAAGAATTCCCGACAGAATTGGTATTCGTTTCCATTGGATTTAGCTTTCTCCCATTTTTTAAGCGCGTTGATAAGGAGTATATGGTCACTATGACTGTCAGCGGAGAGCAGACGACGAGCTTCGTCTGCTTCCGATTCTTTACCAAGTGGCGTATAGAAAGCATTCTTATAACTCAAACTGGCCGCGACTGATAATACTGGATCGAGACATCCAAACATTGCTCCAAATAGAATCATTTTACCGGTATGAGGATCTACAGGCATTCTCGCTAGATGATATCCCAAGGGCAATAACTCCTCGTGCTTATCGAGAGCGTTCAAATCTTGAAGTGTTGTAATGGCATGATCTAGAGCTAGAATTGAAGGTGGTTCCATGGCTTTACTAACAAACGGTAAAATCTTTCCTAATTTCAGGATCTTTATTTGGAGACAGACTTCCTCTAGTCGCGTTCGGAGCATCTCCGGAGGAAAACAATCAATCATCATGGATTCTTCTTGTCGTGTGTAGAGACGATAACATACCCCAGGCTGCACTCTTCCTGCCCGTCCACGTCTTTGTTTGGCGTTGGCTAACGATACTTGTTTCGATTCCAAAGTACTCAGGTTGTTCTCGGGTTCGAAATCTTTAACTTTAATTTTGCCAGCATCGACCACGTACACAACATCGTCTATGGTGATACTAGTCTCCGCGATATTTGTTGCTATGACGATTTTACGTACACCAGGGGGAGGTCTATCAAAGACCTGTTTTTGGTTCACAGTTGGCATGAGGGAATGAAGGGGGATAATTCTAAAGTTACTAGAGTTGAACATTGGTTGATCCAACAGACATTTGTTTAAATTACTGATTTCACTCCAGCCGGGAACGAACACAAGAATAGCGCCATCTGGTTTGTTTTGAACAATATACGTAATTAAATTAGAAATTAGATTTATATTGACTTTATCCTCATCAGCCATCAAGTTGCGTAAACTACTGATTGTGTTATAAGAGTAATCTCCCTTTATTGTTTGCAGCCAGGATTCTTGAAGCTGAATTCTGTTTTGTGCCTCATGTTTCTTCAGTCCAAATAGGCGTTTTGGACGAGACTGAGCCGCTTCAACGCGATAATTAAGCATTTCTAAAACATCCTCAACAAAATATTCTTCAACGGGAAACGTAAATCCGGGGATATGCAGCATCGGACAGTTGTGGAAATATCCAGAAAACATCTCCGCATTCAGGGTGGCGCTCATTAGAATAACTTTAATGTCTGGTCTTTTGGGAAGAAGATCTTTGAGAATAATCATCAAAAAATCGGAGTGTAAATCGCGTTCGTGGATTTCATCAAGAATAACATGCGTAGCTCTGGTCAAGGATGGATCAGATTCAAGAAATTTCAAAACACATCCGGTTGTACAGAAGAGGATTGAACCGCGAGGTCTTGGCAAACGACTTTCTAACCTTATCATATACCCTACATCCTCTCCCCCACATCGGACCGCACGTTCTTGAGCGACCCTTTCGGCAACCGATATAGCACTGATTCTACGGGGCTGAGTACAGATGATGTGACACTGCGACCCGCGACCTTGACGTATTTCTTCATCCAAAATAAACTGGGGAACCTGAGTTGTCTTTCCGCATCCTGTCTCACCGCCGATGACAACCACCTGATTTCTAGCCAACGTCTCGATTATTTCATCCTGCATCTTAAAGGACGGGAGTTTTTCACGAAATTTCAACATTTTTTGATATTCTGGTCGCATATTTTTGTTTTCCAGTTCAGATTTATACAAACTATCCAACTCACTAGACGGACTGAAGGCGTAAAATTCACTGACGTCAGAGTCCAATTCGATGAAGTCTGATTCAAATTTAGAGAGTTCTACCATATCTTTAAAAGCTGAAATATCTAAATCTTCGTCATCTTCCTGTGTAAAGCGTGTATGAATACCTTCCGATTTATCACCGCTGTATTGTGATCCTATGCCTAAACCTTGCTGTGATGCCGCTGAATAACTACTGGAAGCTGCTCCCGTTTCCAGATTCAATGGTTCTGAATATTCTGATTTCTGATCACAGTTGTCGAACCAGTCACTACCGTAGGATATCTTTGTTTCAGTTGGCTCGTAGGAATTTTGTTTACTCTTGGATGTGGAATCCCTTAGATTGTAAGAATGTTTTTTTAAAGATACAGGTGGCTTGATGTCGAAATTATTTAAAACAGATCTGATTTCCTTTTCTTCCGTTCTGTTCATATGTACGACTGGTCTATGACAACGTTCTGTTTTTTCTTTCTTGGCCCTTGATTTGGCAGCATACCACAACCCAATATCTCGTCCCTTCAACCCAGGTGGTCTTCCTCTTCCTCCTCTTCCTCTATCCCCTCCTCCTCCTTCATGCCTATGACCTTGACCTTCTTCCCTGTCGTAACCTCTGTGACCTCCAAATTCATAGTCTCTTTGTTTATTTTCTGAATATTCCTTATCATTATATCTGTAGCCGCGACCTCGACCTTTGTATCCCCTGTAACCTTGACCTCTACGTCCATAACCATCACCATATCTTCCATAGTCCGACATGTCACAAACTGAAAAATAATGAAAAATAAAAACAATATTATTTCAGTAAAAAAGCTAAGATGAAATAAAATGGTGTTTAACATCCTACTGTTCTGCATCGACTGGGCTAATGAAGACGGGCATACCCCACACAGTGTGCTAAGAGGGGATTTTATATCGAATTCCAACTGTCAAGGGTTCTTTTACGTGTGGGGGGAACTATGCCAGAAAATCAAGAGTAAGTTTTTCGGCCAGCACTGGGAGCGAACATGGGACATTCAGGCTAGCGAGCCAGAATCTTACTCAATGAACCACTGTGCCCCCCCCCCCCCCGACCCCTTTGTCTAAAAGTGCTTAAAACTCAATTATCATTAATTACCCACAGGCTCTGCTACGGTGCATGAACCATGAATTGGGGATAGGCACTCTGTATTAAGCCTAATTCCTTTTACAACAGTCTTTCACGGGCAAATTTATAGTCTACAGATTGGTAATAATCCAACACTATATTAAATATACATTATGCAAGAGCAAAATCTGCTTATTACAAGTCTTTCTTTAGGTCTGAAATGTTATCTAAATTATCAATTAGGCATTAATTAACTTATTCAGACCATAATAAACTCTCGATGTCAAGACTAGCCTTCGATGTTGGCTGGATTAGATTCCTATATGCCGCTATAAAATGGCCATTGATAATTAAATAAAAAAAAAGTGGATAATCGAGACTATGCTGTTTATATTAATGATTTTAGTAATGATGACCGAGACTATGCAAAAATTTCACCCGCTTCTTTCTCGGCTCATAGTGGATCAATTTGACTGAAATTTTCAGCAAATTACCTTTACACTATCTAATTTTTAACTATTATAGCGAGGACTGCCATCTCTTTATCTTATCTCCCATAATGTATCTTTAATTGTAATTTCAAGTAGAATTTTGATATTAAAATACATAAACAAAATACGTTTGAATTAGTTCTCTATTATGAGACTCGCATCCTCCATCTGGCACTACGGACAATGGAAAACCACGCCAGAAAAACCCAGAGGGACTTTCTCAACTAACAGTAACACCTGGAGCGAACCTGAGATCTCCAGGCTTGTGAGCCATGAGTCACCAGGCTCCCTAGCATATAAGAGAGAGAGATAGTTGAAGTCCACAATACACAAACTAGGTCATTTCGGGACTAACATATGGTTCATTTTTATTTCACTAATTCACTTGCGCATATAGGGGTCATTAGCAGTCAGAGAAAACCTGAGAAAACCCGAGGTTAGACAGCAGGGAATCTAAACCACGCCACTTGACTCAATGACAGACCGTTTGATCAAACGCGCACCCATTCACCATTCGGCCACCCTACACCCCCTCTAGTCTATTAGAGAAATGGGCACACGACACAAAATCATTTCGCGACTGACATATGGTTCAATGATTCGCTTGCGCTGTAGGGGTATTTAGCAGTGGGAGGAAACCGGAGGGCCCAGAGAAAACCCGCGAGGTTGGACAGGCGACCCTACTCCTTGTCATGTACAGTGGGGAAGCAAAACCACAAAAGTTGACTCAATGACAGATCTTATGATGCAATGTGCACGTGCTAACCATTCGGTCATCAAACCCCCTCGTAAAGCTGCGAATCAAACCACACCACTAGTTGACTCAATGAAAGTCCTTGATCTAAAATGCAGCCATGAGACCATTTGATCACCCAACCCCCATAATATGGGCCATTTATCAACAAACCTTTTTAAATTTTGTCAGCTGATGAACTGGTGAAGTTTGATTTGTGAAAACTAAAATATGGTAGGTCTATTCATGGTAATCTACTAATGTATTTGATCAGGTACCTGGGGGAAAGAATTTGCTTCCAATAAAGCCACTTCCACTTCTATAAAAGACGAGTCGAAATGGAAACATTAATTATGATTAGGCCTAATAATCGAATTGTTCCATCTTACAAAAAGAACCCAGCGTTTCACAAACGGAACATTCCACATGGAAGCAAAACCTCGACCACGAGTTGTTTTTAATTTTTATCACACGAAATTTTATTGGCTAGCTATAAATAGCTTGTAATCAAATTTCTCGTAGCAAACATCTACGGTTATACAAAATTTTATGAGACTTAAATAATTTGCTTCCACAGCATATCAAATAATCGGGAACCTCGAATAATTTAATTCAACATTATTTATCGTGAAATAAAATCCTGCATAAATTTATCCAAAACTGCAAAAATATGAAAGACATGAAAATAAAAAATAAAATGTGACTTCGTTTTCCATCGACACCGTCTCGTGTGTAGCCTTCATCTTCCGTTTTGCTTCACCTTCAAGTTGGACATTTGACTTGTGTATGTTGGGTTGGTTACATGTAGGCCTACTTTTAGATTTTATTTAAGATGACAAATATGATATTAAACTGTATTCGAGAACCTGCGAACTGTAGGCCTTTCGGTACTGCTGTACCGAATACCATTATATTAATTAGGCGCAGCGCAATCAGACAATTTCAATGACCGGAGTCCGAGATTTTTCAGGCCCTTTTTTTCTGATTTGTCAGGCGGGGCTGACAAGAGATTGAAAGAAAAATATGCCTTGTCATTCGGATGGGACGATAAAATGAAGAACACCTGTTTACATGGGCATGCATGTAAAAGAAACCTTGGCCTTGACATTCCAGCTAGGAGTGGGGGAGTTTCATCATGAGCAAGTTGATTAAATTCCGAACTTTCAATCAATATTTAAGTCCAAATGACCCATTCAAATTCATGCATGCAGCCATTTGCAGGTTTTCTCCGGGCCCTTCAGTTTCCTTCCACTTTTAAAGACCCCTACGAGCAAGCAAATTATTGAAATAAAACTGAAGCATGTGTTAGTCCCAAAATGACCTAATTTGTGTCAAGTGGACGTTAAACCCCATTTCCCTTTCTCTCGATCACAGGTCTTGGCAGTGAATATTCGTCGGGATTTTCCCTTTGGCAGTGGTTTAGGATATTGGTCGTAGCAAGAGAAAACATATATAGTTGTTCAGATGGGAGGAAGAATTAAGATTCCTTGTGCACATTGGTGTGCACGTCAAAGAATCCTTTGGAAATTGGAATTCAAAAAAGAGTAGACTGTTTAGTGCTGCTGTCCAGGCAACATTCCTCTCAAAGCACATTGACATTGTATGGCTGTGTTCATTAGCCCAGTCAGTGCAGAACAGTAGGATGTAAAACCCTATTTCATTTCGATCGTTTCAGTTTAAATTTTACCTTATGCATGAGCTAAATCTGCCAATTTCAGGTCTTTCTTTAGGCCTGAAATGTTATCTAAATTATTAAATAGACATTAATTAACTTATCCAGACCATAATCAACTCTCGATGGCATCGCTAGCCTGCGATATTTACTGGATTATGATCCCATTTGCTGCTCGACTTCCATTCATAATTTAATCATGAAATGGATGATCGAGACTATGTTTTTTATCGTACAGACTGTAGTAATGATGATCGAGGCCAGACCCAAAATTCAATTGCTAAATTCTTGGTTCCGAGTGGAACAATTTGACTGAAATTTTCAGCATATTCCCTTTACATTATCTAGTTTTTAACTATACTATTCAAAAAAAGTAGGGGATATTTGATTTTTAAGTGTTATTAAAGTCACCTAATGAAACTGATGAAGAAACAAATGACAAAATGAAATGAAGTTCACATTCATCGATTTATTCCAAATGATCGTTAGACTAAGTAAGGCACAGACTGACCATTATAAGGGTAAAATGATACCCGGGGTCAAACAGCAAAGTTACCACAGCATCACAACCAAGTCAGTAACAGGTAAATCCTCCTCTGTTTGCCAAACAAGCATTGATCCGACGTGGCATACTCCTAATGAGACGTCTAAGATCATTTTGGTCCAGATTGTCCCATTCCTGTTGCAACGCAGCAGCAAGTTCTTGGACATTGGCAGGACGTTGATGACATTGACGTAACCTCTGTCCAAGCATGTCCCAGACATGCTCGATGGGGGAGAGGTCAGGACTCAGTGCTGGCCAAGGTAATGTGGTGATGTTCTGTTGTTGGAGGTAACCTGTAACGATCCTGGCCCTGTGACATCTTGCGTTGTCATCCTGGAAGATGAAACGGCGGCCATGACGTCGTGCGAACGGCACAACATGGACTGCCAAGATGTTGTCCCGGTAGTACTGGCCTGTAACACGCCCTGCAACAACATGTAAAGCCGTTCTTCCAGCAACAGTGATGCCTCCCCACACCATAACAGAACCACCCCCAAATAGATCATGTCTGATGACGTTAACGTCTTGGAAGCGCTCCTTTCGACGACGCCACACCCTCCTACGTCTGTCCAAAAAATCAACAGTGAACCTTGACTCATCTGAAAACATCATATTGCTCCAGCGTCGATTATCCCAGTGTTGACGATCCCTACACCAACGACGTCTTGCCTGAATGTGATGATCTCTCAAACAAGGGATCACGCGAGGACGTCGGGCGCGAAGGTGACCCCTATGCAGTCGATTCTGAATCGTCTGGCCACTCACTCTCACACCAGTGTCTGTTTGAAGACGAGCGCTGATCTGATTTGCTGTGATGACACGATTTCTCAAGGCCAAGGTACGGATAAATCGATCCTGGGCTTGAGTTGTCGCTCTTGGTCGACCTGAGCGTGGTCTGTCCTGTACAGATTGTGTATCACGGTATCTGGACCATAGCCTGCTTATGACAGACTGAGAAACATTCATCGTCCGCGCCACAACCGCCTGTGTTGTGCCGATCTGTAGCATGCCAAGGGCACGTAACCTTTCATTTTGGGTAAGCCGACGCATATCAAAATTTGTTTTCTGGTCACTAAAACAATTAAACTGATGTTTCCACCCTGGAATTCAATGCCACAGTGACTGTAACATTCAACGTCAGAGTCGTGCAAATCTTGGGTTGGACCCCCATGATGATCCCAAGCATCACCTGGATTCCATGCGGTAGCTATTGGTGCGTTTGGGCGTCACATGTAACTTGAAATGTTTCTTCTGTTAGGTTCTATAGTGACTTTTTTCGTAGTCATTTGCATATTTTAGTATTATGCCCCCAAAATCAAATATCCCCTACTTTTTTTGAATAGTATATTATAGTGAGAACCGCCAGCTCTTTATCTAATCTCCTATAATGTATCTTTAAATTAAATATTCATTTATTACAGAATTCAAGAAAATGTCGATAGAGGAAAGCCGCAGCGTCTTAGATGAGTTCAAAACTCAACAGTTTGTTTTCCAGAACTTTCAATTGTCTTCGTCAATTCTCAATCATTTTTACGAATGTCGAGAGAAGGATTTGTACACAGATGTCAAAATTAAAGTTGAGGATAAAATATTTTCCTGTCATAAAATTCTTCTTGATGCAGCGTGTCCATTCTTTGCGTCGTATTTCTCGTTTTGTAAATATCAGAAAGACAAGGACGATATGGTTGTTTTAAACGAAGTCAGTGCCGCGGCTTTTGGTCAGTTACTGAATTACATATATACATCAGAACTGACTATCACCTCGGAAACGGTCGTCGACATCCTTCATTGTGCCGACTTTTTGCATTTTAAGACAATTGTTAAAACTTGTAGTGGGTTTTTGCTACAACATATGAATTACGAAAATTGTTACAAAATTCACGAAATCGCTAATCGGCATCGGATGAAACATCTAACGTTACAAGCCTGGAATTATATCCTACAAAACTTTGAAAATCTGGCACAAACCGAAGATTTCTGTAAAATTCCAGGAAATGTTTTAATCAAAATTTTATCCAGTGATTTTCTTAAAGTGTCAGAAGAAAAGGTCCTATTAGCTGCCGTTGAGAAATGGATTTCGTATGATAATGAGAACCGAAGAGCTTTTTTACCTGAGTTAATCAAGTCTATACGTCTGGATAACCAGATGATAATGAACGTTTATCCAGATGTGAATCTAGATTCTAATTTTGAGAAGTTGGAAGAATGTAGTCCACGATTAAAACAAGTTCTAGTGGTGATCGGAAGAGATACTAATCAGTACAACCGTGATCACACACGATACAATATACTCTGGTATGATCCAGACTACAAACGCTGGGAAATGTTAACTAGTTTTCCATTTGATCGTCGTTATCTTTTTGCGGCCTCCGTTGTCGATAACAAAATTTTCTTAACTGGAGGTGTAGGCACGGATCTTCCTTTTGACGATCCTAACAGACTAGTCTACAATGAATGCTGGGAATATAATGTGAGATCATCCAGTTGGAAGGAGTCTAAACCAATGAAATTTTCTCGTTTTAATCATTCCTCGGCTGGTTTTCTCGGTTGTTTATATGTTGTGGGTGGGCGGGGCCAGCAGGGAAAATATTTTCATGCAGACGGTGCCCGGTATGATCTTGAAACTGATCAGTGGACGTTGATCGAATCATTGCGTGGCGTACAAGGGGTAGCTAACTCTGCATTGGTGCCACTCGACGGTCGACTCTTTCTCTTAGGAGGAATGTACAGCCATAAAACTGTAAGTAAAGATCTTGATATTAATACTTACAAAGAGAGTCAATATTACGATCCTGAGGACGGTTTATGGCATGAGTTACCCGCCCTTACTAGACAAATAGATCAGAATAAATTACACATCAACAGTCTGGACTGTTTATCAGTTGATGGATTTTTAGTTTGCGTAGATGACAATCAAGGGAAATATGTTCATACTTATAATCCTGTTACCAAGACGACATCCAAGTTCATACAATGTCATGGTTACCATAGGTATTCGGGTTGTGCCGTGTTTGAAAATAAACTTATTTTGATTGGTGGAATAGAGAGTCGATTTCAACCACATGACATGGTGCATTATTTTGATTTCACGAACCCTTCACAAGGCTGGACGATGATGCCTCCACTTCCTGTAGCGATGTCAAATCTTGTTTGCCTAACTATTTTTAAATAGTATAGTAGTGTTATAGTTACGAAAGCTCTGATTGTTAAAATGCTTAATTGATTTTGATAAGATCTGGATTATGTTACAGGACTGGATGATGATTTCTCTACTTTCTGTGCCGATGTCAGATTTTTTAACAGCAATGTTTAATACTAAAACCTGGTTGTTAAAAAAATGCTGAAGTAATTTCGATGATACACTGAGAATGTTTTTAGCACATTTTCAGATTCCTAGAAATTATCTTGGAAAAACATACACTATGGTAGCACAATTTTACTCTTTGATTTGGTTGATGATTACAAGAGGCATATTCTCTCGAACAAATAAATTATTAAACATACATTATGCAAGAGCTAAATCTGCCTATTGCAGGTCTTTCTTTAGGCCTGAAATGTTATATAAAATATTAATTAGACATAAAGATTTTAACTAGATTACAACGGTTCACTGTTTAAAAATTAAAAATTAAAAATGGGAAAGCAAGGCTAAGTCTCGAATATACCAGTGCCCTGGTTACCAATATGCACACATCTTGTGAAAACTACAAACTTTGATAACTTGGCTCAGAATGAAGTAGTTTGAATGAAATTTTCATTTTACATTATCTGTTGTTGAGCTATTATAGCAAGAATGGCTAGCCCCTTACCTAAATCTTACATAATGTATCTTTAATCATCCATCCATAGGTTTGTGTTAGACTGACTGAGTCATGTGATGATGACGTTAATAGTTGTGCGGCCCCTAAATATACAATCCTACAATACAGAGAGCTGTTGACATAAAGCGTGGACACAATAGCCAAATGATTCAGCCGAATCAATCGGGGTCGAAATTCGCCTAGTGTGTCCACTGTCATTCGGACGAATCAAACATGTTTGATAGATTCGCCTAGTGTGTGCGCTTCGCTGAAGTAATTGCCCGAATGTAGAATTTGTTAGCCAATCAGCACTCATCATCCACTCATATTGAGAAGTCATGTGATTGTCGCCGCCATGTTTAATCATGTGACATGAAATGTGATGCAATCGACTAGTGTGTCCACTGATTCAGGCGAATGATTCAGCTAATGTGTCAACTGCTTAACACATGTGGTTTGAGGGGATGTAGGAAACAGTAACTACACATTATATTATAACTCTTATTATTGGTATAGATGTTACAAGGTTTCAAGATATATGACCAATGTTTTTTTAACCCGATGTCATATTTGTTATTCAATTGTTATAATCTATGAAACAATATATTTAAATTACCAAGAACATGTTATTTTGTAGATGTTTTTAAATTGTTATAATCTATTAAAGAATATATTTAAATTATAAAGATGTTTATTGCGGTTGTCTAGGGTGTATGCAATTAATACACTCACTGTACAAAAATAGATTTAGAGAGAGAGGTGGGTTTAACGCCCACTCGACACAAACTAGGTCATTTCGGGACTATAACATTGTTTAATTTTATTTCAATAATTCGCTTGTGTGTAGGGGTCTTTAGTAGTGGGAAGAAACCAGAGGACCCGGAGAAAACCCACAAGGTTGGACAGGCGACCCTACTCCTTGTCACATACAACCGGGGAATCGAAACCATGCCAGTTGACTCAATGACAGACCTTATGATACATGCTTACCATTTGACCATCCAACCCCCCAAATAGACTTAGAGCACAGGCTTTCAAACTGTAGGCTGACAATGAGAATATCTTGCATTCTAAACCAACGTGGGCCGAATCTTGGTTTCAAACCATAAACCATGGTCTGACAAGACACTGTACACGCAATCTCATTTAAAATCCTGTTTCGTTTTTTATAGTACAAAATTTTGTTTTACTTGTCTTTACTACACTAGGATCTGGAAGAGTTGTTATATAACCCGCATTCTGGATGATGTGAGGGATTAGTCATTGAAACGGTCTGTCACAGCAAGTTTTTGGCTTGAGGTACATGGAACTGTGGATTAACAACTAGAAGCATTAATGCCGATTGATGATGTCATCGGGTCAAAAGGTGCTCGTATGACCTCTGATCTGACGCGAGCTTCCACTACAATCGTTCAGATCTTCGTGTAGTAGAGGCCATCGAAATTATAAAAAAACAAAACGAAATATAGATCTGTATTTTAATCAGATTGTTGTATTCCCGATGAGAATATCTTGGATTTTACACCCCACCCCCAACTTGTCGAGTAGTTTATGGGTTATGGCTCGCAGAAAAATAAAACTGACACAATTTAATTCTTCTAACTACAACAAAATATTTACGACCATTATTTTCCGTTTTTAGAAAAATAAAATATGAATATGATTATTTCTTTCATTACAAAAACAGACCTAACAAAAAAAATAGCCACCACATATTTGAATTTTACGAATGCAGGCTTTTGGTCCACATTGTCCTGAGCTGATTGTTTTAGTTTTAACTGATGAGGGTTATTCAAGGGGTGGTAAGCATGCTTTAAATCGTTTTTAACTGCAAGAGGGGAGAGAGAAATGGGGTTTAATGTCCACTGGACACAAAATAGGTCATTTCGGGACTAACACATGGTTCAATTTTATTTCAATAATTCGCTAGCGTATAGGTGTCTTTAGCAGTGGCAGGAAACCAGAGAAAACCCACAAGGTTGGACAGGCGACCCTACTACTTGTCAGGTACAGCTGACGCAATGACGGACCTTATAATACAGCGCGCATGTGCTAACCATTCAGCCATCCAATCCAACCCCCCAACTGCAAAAGAGGTAAGAATAAATTTACAAAGCTTCTTGGTGCTGCAAATCCCACACAATTTTAGACTGAACAACTGTAACTGGCTAGCCTCAATAATTTTAACTGTTCCAGAGATTGTTATTATTAGAAATTATTAGTCGGTTCTTTCCAAATGGATGATTCTCAAAAATAATTTATCAACAAAAATGTTTTTATAATTTAGAGAAGACAGCTTCTTTCTTTTCCATTCCTGCCGTCACTGCCTTCACTATATCTTCACTCTGTAGCATGCTCTGGTTCCATGTCGCCTGAAAGACAAATTATTTGATACATGTTTATGCAGTCAAAAGCATGAACAGACAAAGATTTACAACAACCTTGACCATAGCCAGCTTAGCTTGACAGGGGGATGGATGGCCGAAGGGTTAGCACATGCGCGTTGTATCATAAGGTCTGTCATTGAGTCAACTGGCAGGGTTTCGATTCCAAGGTTCTATGTGACAAAGAGTAGGGTCGTCTGTCCAACTTTGTGGGTTTTCTCTGGGTCCTCCGGTTTCCTCCCACTGCTAAAGACCCATACGCGCAAGCAAATTATTGAAATAAAATTGAACCATATGTTAGTCCCGAAATGACCTTTGTGTCGATTGGACTTAAGCTCCATTCCTCTCTCCCTCTATCGCTTAGCCTGACTTCCTGGGGCAGAACCGCAGCAGGACACCTGTTACCACTGTTTGTCGTGTATTTTGTACACGAGGAGCAGTCCATTTGCTGATTACACTATTTTGCTTTAATACACTATTTTGCCTAAAACGTTTTTTAGGACTTCGAATTCTGTCTTATGGTTTGGATTGTTCGTACTTGTTCGTTTTATTTTATGGTTAATCACGACCAGAAACACACCAAGTACAGTATGGTTAATGACAGCCAGAACAGGTATGTTTAATCCAAGAAAAGGCATACCCACCACAAATTTTCAATATATGAGATATACGGAAGGACGAACATTACTTTCTCCTCCGTAAATAAAAGCGGTACGAAAGGACGGACATACCTTTGTTCGGTATAAATGAAATGAAATGGGTTTAACGTCCTACTGTTCTGCTCCGATTGGGCTAATGAAGTCGAGCATACGCCATACAGTTTGCACTATGGCCTACTCTTATATTGAATTCCAACTGCCAAGGGATCTTTACTTGCACGCCAATGTGTACACAGGACATCAGGGTTTTTTTTTTGTCCCTTCCGAACGACTAGACAGCTGTCCTAGTCAGGCCCTCCATCTTGCTACACTGACAAGTTGAAACCACATCGGAAAATCACGATGAACTTTCTTGGCTAATGCAAGGATCACACACACAACCTCCAGGCTAGCAACGAGCAAGCGTCTTACCCAATTAGCCACCGTGAGCCAGTGTCTTACCCAATTAGCCACTGTGGCTCTCGTGATCGATATAATAATTAAACTTACCACATGATCGAGACCTTCCGGTACACTGTGATCGCGAGAATAAACCAAACTAATTTTACTTCCCTGTACAGCTATCGGACTTTTAGTTGCTATTAAACTGGCTGTATCCAATGCCCCTTCCACCATCGACTCTTTCGTGTCAAATATACGACTGAAGAATAAAATGGTTAAAATAATAAATGTGCAGGCTAATTGCTTTGTTTCTTTTTTTAACAGGCCCGGGGTAGTTAAGCAGTCAGAGCAGTAGTGTCATGTCAGTTGTCAGGACTCCCTAAACTTGAGGTAGTCGAGTCAATTTGTGCAAATTTTTAAAGATACATTATGATAAAGAGCTAGCCATTCTTGCTATTAGAATAGTTCGAAAATAGTTAATGTAAAATGAATAATTTTAAACATTCATTCAAATTACTCTATTGCGAGCGAAGATATTAGCCTTTGAAGGTTTGACAAGACGTGTAAAATTTCAACCACCGCACTGATTGTTCGAAGCTAAGTCTCGCTCCTCCATTTTAAATTAAATAAAAATATGGCTGAACCGTTCTAATCTATTTAATATCGGAGAAATCTGATGCCATCGAGAGTTGATTATGGCCTGGATCAGTTAATTAATAATTTAGAAAACATTTCAGGCCTAAAGAAAGACCTGCAATAGGCAGATTTAGTTCTTGCATAATATATGTTTTTAACGGAACAACGAAGAAAAAGAAATGTTAGATTTTACACCAAGAAATAAACACATGCAGGGGCCCAACACTGCTCTCAACAGCCCTAACCTCAAATACAATATTAACCATACATTATGCAAGGCCTGAAATGGTATCTAAATTATGAATTAGACATTAATTATCTTATCCAAATCATAAAAAACACTCGATACCATCGCTAGCCTGTGATATTTACTGGATTTTAATCTGATTTGCTTGTCAACGGTCATTGATGATTTAATCAAAAAATGGATAATTGAGACTGTTTTTTATCGTACCGACCTTTGTAATGATTATCGAGGTTAGGCCTAGAATTCTAAAGCTAATATCTTGGTTCAGAGTGGATCAATTTGACTGAAATTTTCAACAAATTGCCTTTACATCATCTAGCTTTTAACTATTAATGTGAGAACTGCCAGATCTTTATCTAATCTTCCATAATGCCCCTGTAACAAATAATTTCAGACGATTCAAAATTTTGTATTTCTGTGATTTTGAATTACTCTTACCTGACTAATCCAATCTCTTTTGCCTCATTAGAGTAGAATTTTCTTGCTGTATAAGTTAGTTCTCGAGCTAGACTATCGTTTCCAGTGATCTTTGGTAATCTTTGTAATGTTCCGACATCAGCAGCCAGGCCAATATCAACTTCCTATAAAATGAGAGGAAGAGAGAAATGGGGTTTAACCTCCACTCAACACAAACTAGGTTATTTCGGGGCTAACATATGGTCCAATTTTTTTTCTCAATAATTCGCTTGTGCTTAGAGGTCTTTAGTAGTGGGAGGAAACTGGAGGACCCTGAGAAAACCTGTGAGGTTGGACAGGCGACCCTACGCCTTGTCACGTACAACCAGAGAATCGAAACCATGCCAGTTGACTCAATGACAGACCTTATGATACAATGTGCACACCCTAACTATTTGGCCATCCAACCCCCCTCCTTGTCACGTAAAAGATGGGAATCCAAACCATGCCATTGAACTCAAAAACAGACCCTATGATCTTCAGAGCACAAGACATATCACTAGACCCTCCTCCCATCCCCCCAAGCAGCTAAATGCCCCTCCAATCCTCCAGACAGCTAAATGAGTCAGAAGTAGTAAGTCATTGTTTTATGATGTAAAAGAATTTTTAAATCTTTTTTTGCATGTTTCAACTTTGGATTGTACAAAACAACAAAACTCCCAGAAATAAACAACCAGGTTGAATGTTACCTTGATCTGAAACCAAGCATCAGATGTACAATATCTGATATCACACGCCGTTATCATATCAATACCACCGCCAACACATGCGTTATGTATAGCAACAATCACTGGTTTACTACACTGTAAAATATAAAAACAATCACTGTAAAATATAACAGCAATCACTGCAAAATACAACAGCAATCGTAACAATCACTGTAAAATATAACACCAATCACTGTAAATAATAACAGCAATCACTGCAAAATATAACAGCAATCACTGTAAAATATAACAGCAATCACTGTAAAATATAACAGCAATCACTGCAAAATATAACAGCAATCACTGCAAAATATAACAGCAATCACTGTAAAATATAACAACAATCACTGTAAAAAATAACAGCAATCACTGTAAATAACAACAATCACTGCAAAATATAACAACAATCACTGTAAAATATAACAGCAATCACTGTAAATAATAACAGCAATCACTGTAAAATATAACAGCAATCACTGTAAAATATAACAGCAATCACTGTAAAATATAACAACAATCACTGTAAAATATAACAGCAATCACTGCAAAATATAACAACAATCACTGTAAAATATAACAACAATCACTGTAAAATATAACAACAATCACTGCAAAATATAACAACAATCACTGCAAAATATAACAACAATCACTGTAAAAGATAGTTTTTATGGCAGCATGATTTCTTTATCAAGAATAATTCTCATTCTTTGGTTGTTTAAATATCTAAAATCTAAAATATAGGTATAATCATCATGCAGTTTAAAATTTACTTTCTTATGACTTATTTTTTGCAGTAAAATGAAATGAAATGGCGTTTATCCTCCTATTGTTCTTATCCGACGGGGCTAATTAAGACAGGCGTACACCATACAGTGTGCTACTCTTATATCGAATTCCAACTGTCAAGGGATCTTTTACGTGCATGCCAATGTGTACACAAGACCTTGGTTTTTCATCCCATCTGAAAGACTAGACAGCTGTCCATCCTGCACCAATGACAAGGGGAAACCACGCTGGAAACTCCGGATGAACTCTCTCGGCCAATGGCACAACCTATTTTTTTGCAGTCTGGCAATGTGTCAAAAGGCCTAAACCATGTAAATAGGACAAAAGCAGAGCTATTAAAATGGGGGGGAGGAGGAGAGGGATGGGATTTAACATCTGCTCAACTCTAAGCCGGTCATTCCACGACTAACATGATATCAATCTTTATATCCAGCATGATCAAAGCCTACACATAAACCATTTAGCCACCCACCCCTGATGAAAGAACTTAGGATCTAAAGCAGTACAGCCACCCACCCTCCCACTCTCAAATGGATAATGTTGGGTGATCTCACCTTTTCAATGACTGTAAATGTTTCTTGGTAAGCACGAATCAGTTTTCTAAAAATAAAAGCTTTCCGACTGACATCTGTATCTGACTGCATGATCTGAATTCCATCAAAATCCATCAAATCCAATCCTGAAATATGCGGTAGAGCCTACTCATGTTTGCATTAAATATTAAATAAGTATTAAAAAAAAGTAATTTTCTCAGCCAACCAGTGGCAGCGCCAGCCGTCGGTGATTGGAGGGGAAAAGCTGGGGCAAAGTCCAAGGTTAAGGGGGCAAAGGCACGAGCTTCAATTAGGGGTAGGGGGCCTCCCCCAGAAAATTTTGAAAAACAGGTTGCCGGAAAAGCAGTCTGGCAGTATTTCAGGCACTGATCGATGAGGTAAAGTGTCAAACGAACGGACTTGCGAATCACGACGAAGCCCACTTACGAGCGTCAAAGTAGGGAGTCCTCCCCCAGAAAATTTTGAAAAATAGACTGCCGGAAATGCTGTCTTACAGTATTCTGTCAGGCACCGATCGTCGAGATAAATAGATCTGCCCAGATACCGTTCGTCGCCTGTTCACTAGTTTATCCGACTAGAGAACAAAATGTCAAACGAACGGACTTGCGAACCTCAAGAGAGAGAGAGAGAAATGGGGTTTAGCGTCCACTCGACACAAACTAGGTCATATTTCGGGACTAACATGGTTTAATTTTATTTCAATAATTCGCTTGTGCGTAGGGGTCTTTAGCAGTGGGAGAAAACCCATGAGGTTGGACAGGCGACCCTACGCCTTGTCACGTACAACCGAGAATCGAAACCATGCCAGTTGACTCAATGACAGACCTTATGATACAATGTGCACAATGGCCATCCAACCCCCCTCCTTGTCACGTAAAAGCTGGGAATCCAAACCATGCCACTGAAGCCAACAGGGGGGGTTGGATGGCCGAATAGTTAGCCTGTGCACGCTGTATCATAAGGTCATCATTGAGTCAACTAGCTTGGTTTCGATTCCCTGGTTGTATGTGACAAGGAGTAGAGTCACCCGTCCAACCTTGTGGGTTGTCTCCGGGTCCTCCGGTTTCCTACCACTGCTAGAGACCCCTACGCCCAAGCATATTATTGAAATAAAATTGAACCATATGTTAGTCCCGAAATGACCTAGTTTGTGTTGAGTGGACGTTAAACCCCATTTCTTTCTCTTTCTTTTCCTAGCTAGCATTTTACTCACTGAGTCACTGCGGCTGGGTTTTATTCTACGACAAAACAAGACCCTACTCATTGTATCCTCCAAGTGGGGAATCTAATCCACACCACTTGACTCATTTACAGACCTTACAATCTAAAGCGAATGTCTCAGATCATTCGGCCATCAAACCCTCCTAAAATGAATGGAGAAAGAGATTTATTGGAATTTTAGTACGAGCCAAAAAGAATTCCCATGATATAAGCAATATGAAGTATTTCTAAACTGGAGGCACCCTATGACAGAACAATCTAGGTGTCACCAGATATACATACAATCACACACCACATAACACCCCTGCTACAAACAATCACACAGCACACCACATCACACAGTACACCACATCACACCCCTGCTACAAACAATTACACCACATCACATCCCTGCTACAAACAATCACATACCACATTACCCCCGGATACATACAATCACACAGCACACCACACCCCTGCTACATACAATCACACAGCACACCACATTGCACCGTACCCCTGCTACATGTACATACAAGCACACGACATTACACCCCTGCTACATACAAGCACATGACATTACACCCCTGCTACATACAAGCACACAACATTACACCCCTGCTACATACAAGCACACGACATTACACCCCTGCTACATACAAGCACACGACATTACACCCCTGCTACATACAAGCACACAACATTACACCCCTGCTACACACAAGCACACGACATTACACCCCTGCTACACACAAGCACACGCCATTACACCCCTGCTACATACAATCACACAGAACACCTATTTACACCCCTGCGACATACGATAACACCTCATTACATCCCTGCTACATACAATTGCACATCACATTGCACCCCTGCTACATACAACCACACAGCACACCACATCAAGCCTCTGCTACATACAATCACACAGCACACCACATCACACCCCTAATGGGGAGTATATCTCACCTGCTGTAAAGATTTTTCCTGCTCCTGTTAGCACGACAGCCCTACAATCACTATCTTCTGATATCTGGTTAAAACAGCCGACCATTTCCCTTTAAAATATAAAAACAGATTATAATCGTCTTCTATAATAATATCCTATAACTATTTTTATACTGGGACATAACGAAAGCCCATCAGATTATAATCGTCTTCTATAATAATATCCTATAACTACAGGTATATACCTTTTATTTACATGTGTATACTGAGACATAAAGAGAATGGGGTTTATGTCCACTTGACACCAGCTAGTTCATTTCGGGACCAACATATGGTTCAATTTTATTTCAATAATTTGCTTGTGCGTAGTGGTCTTTAGCAGTTGGAGGAAAGCGGAGGACCCAGAGAAAACCCATGAGGTTGGAAAGGCGATCCAACCAGGGAATCGAAACCATGCTAATTGACTCAATGACAGACCTTATGATGCAGCACGCACACACCAACCATTCGGCCATCCAACCCCCCCCCCCCCAACACTGAGACATAATGAAAACACATCACTGATTTGACTGGCAGTGGCGACCAGAAACAATGCAGCTGAAATATAATTTTTGTCAAGATCTTAGGCCGAACATCTACTAACACAAATTATGTAGCAACCCATGGAAGGTAAGAACAAGGGATTAAATAATTAGACGTCAGTAACACATTCATTTTTCTAACGTTAAGCTGTCTGAGTCCGGCACCAGCGAAAAGTGTCAGCCCTGATAAACCCATGTGGACCCCTGACAGGTACGATCATGCAGATCCTGTCCAGAAAGCCAGGATTAGAGCCTGAAGCTAACTTGCTAATTTCACCATATTTTCTCTGTTACAATAAGGAGGAAGTGGTTCAATCTGATTAAAACACAGATCCTATTGCGTTTCGTTTTTTATAGTTCAAAATTTCGTTTTACTTGTCTTTACTACACTAGGATCTGAAAGAGTTGTTATATTACCGGTGTTTTGGTTGAAGTGAGGGATTAGCCAATGAAACGGTCTGTTACGGTGACTCCTTGGCGTGTCATGCACAAAACTGTGGGTGAACCACTTGAAATGTCAACGCTGATTGATTAATCAATGTCTGATGTCATAGGGTCAAAAGCCACTTGTAGACCTCTGACACGACCTCCCACTACAACTTGTCAGACCTTCATGTAGTGTAGGCCATCGAAAGTATAAAAAAAATGAAACGAAATATAGATCTGTATTCTAATCAGATTGGAAGTGGCTAAAACTGATGTTAATGAAATTTTAAATCTAACCGCCAGAAAGCCTTGTTCATGGCATTCCTCTTCTCTGGTCTGTTCAACTCAACTTGGATGACATTTTCTCTCGGTTTCGTTACTTTTAATGTTTCAAAATTATAGGTGGATGAGCTACACGATCTTTTGGTAATATTGGACATAATAGGAGATGACAATCCTGAAATAAAACAAGTCCTTTTAATACACCATATCGTTGAAGTGGTTTCTGGCTGGGATGGAAGGAATGGAATGGAATGGAGTGGAAGGGATAAGATAGAATGGAATGAATGGATGGAATGGGAAGGCATGGTAGGGCTGGGAAGGCATGGTAGGGGATGGAATGGAATAGGAAGGGATGGAAGGACTGGGATGGGATGGAAAGGGATTCAAGATCTTCATTGATCAACAACCCAACACGGTACTTAAGTCATTTTAAGACCAACATATTGTAATTTCTTTTGGTTTATGTAATGAAAGACGGGAGAATTTTGTCCAGGCAGCACACAAAGGGCAGCAATGTCTCTGACTGTCATACCAGCCAAGGGCAGCAATGTCTCTGGTCAGTAACAACCCTGCACATAAATAAAACCTTGGCCTAGCAACAATGCATACCCATAGCGCATGACGTTACTGACTCAGTGTACGATATGCATTATGTAAGTAGTGCAAGTAGCTAAAGTTGTTTTTTTTTTTTAGCATGCCACGGCAGCTGAACAAACTGACGTCATGGGCTGGAATCGGCCCGCGGGCCGTAGTTTGGTGTCCCCCGATTTAAATAAATAGCCAATGCCATATTTTGGTCTCGAGATATTTTGAGTTGAAACATTCAGACAAATATGTAAAATATACAACAGTATAACTAGTATAAGAACTGACATTGATGAAAAGAAAGTGGAAAGATGCATTAATACAAAAATTACATAGGACTCTAGTAGAAAATACAATAAAATGGACTTTGCCCTGGGGGTAAAAATGGTTCAGCATAATAATCCATTCAATAGCCTAATTATACCAAATGGACTTTGCCCTTCACACTCCACAGGGCTTCAGTTTCTATGTGTATATAGGTAGTTGGCTTACCTAATACAGTCAGTTTTATAATTCTGATCCATAATAAAATACCAAATGGACTTTGCCCTTTGGTTTCTAGACAGTCAGTTTTATAATTCTGATTCATAAAATACCAAATGGGGATCGTTTTTATATAATTGCTTATTCATCAACTTATCAAATTCAATCAACTTGTTGTGATCAAAAACTGAAGTCTTAGAATTTGAATAAAAATAATAACTATCGTCATTATTTAGTGATCTGTATTGTTAAAAATTATTTTTTCAGCCAGAATTAGAAACTATTATTTAATTGCAATATAAATAAAATATCAATTAATTAATTACCCTTGAAAACTGCACGCAAAGATGTGTTCATAATAGATTATATACAAGTTACCAACCAATGTGAATGACTTGGTTGAAACACTACTTTCACTTCAAAACTTAGAGTTATCCCCCCGTTACAGTCTCAAGCCAAGAATGTGTAATTGAATTTCATTGGTTGTTAGAAGTATCTAGGGGCGTGTTTAATAAAGATCCCTTTAGGCTTTCAAAGATTTTGTCCCCTTGGACGAATTCACCCGAACTAAATTCAGACAATTAATTAACTTTACAGCATAGTTGCTTTTCCATCTCAAATAATGTATTTTTCCTGGACTTCGCCAAAAAGAGAGCGTATCCAGGAATTTTGTGTCTTTATAGATTGATAAATTTTATTACATAATAGGCCTACCCCCTTTTCGGGCAGCATGTAAATTATACATTACACAGTCAAGTGTATTAATACATTATAAAAGTGGATGAAAAATACATGTACACACAAAACATAAATGGATCAAAAATATATAAAAAGTGGATGAACATTTCATAAAAGTGGATGAAATGTACATTTATATACATTGAGTGAGCAGGCCTGTGTACAAAATATAAACCAAAGTTTTGAATATATGTCACAGTCGCTTGAACTAAACTTGAAGATGTCTTAAATTGTTGGTTATTTTATTTTTTGGGGTTTATATAGAAGTGGGTGCCACATCCCTTATTTTGAAAGCATGGATATTGCACAAAGTTGCTGAGTGTTTTTGCCAGAGCAATTAACGGCGGACTAAACATGTTTTCGATTGGGTCTCAAATGCCCCATGGCATAAACAATTGTCTTGCGGAGTTCCTCATAGCGGTTGGCCTCAATGAGAAAATGGTACTCATTTTCAACTTTCTGTTGAGGGCAGTTTGTGCAAAACCGCAGATGTGCAGGTATATTCTTGTAACGCCCTCTCTCTATTTTAAAGAGACAATAACACTCTTGCTGGCTTGAAAGCTCCAGAAAATAATATCTCTATCTAAATACCGTACTAGATGTTTAAGTGTCCTACCTGTTGTGTAAATTATCCATTACATCCTATTTTACCTGTCCAGAGGGTTCGAAAATATTTTTAAATCGAAGTTTCATTTGAAAAGGTTTACGTTAGACGTTTCAAGCCATTATGTTGAATTTTTCAAAATTTTTGAATAAGGTGTGTTAAGATGAAATTTGTATCATCAATTAATTGAAATATTCTAAAATAGTACAATTTGTTGACCAGAATAAAGATTGGGACATATTCAGTTACAACAAGAGTGGTATTGAGCCTTTAAGGGAATGTGTGCTTAGTCTAAGGCGGGACATGGCGGTTTTAGTTTTAAGATTTTTAACAACTTGCAGGTATGGCACCGTAGCATTGACATTCTTTTTAAGCCTATAAAATGTTTTTAGTTTCTGGGTATCTGAAGAGCATAGATTAGTATAAACTTCATCGAATTTGTTTTCAAGGCATTTAGTAATTTTCCATTCCAAAATCATCTATCGATGAAATATGAAATTAAAACCCATTCCGTGAAATCATCATTGATGAAATTAATAAAGGAACATCCATATCTGAGTTACGTTTCGCATTTAATAATCTCCAATGCAATAAGTCCAATGGACCCGATCTTATGCTCAATGAAATGCTCATGCCATCACGCGAAATCATGATCGATCAGTATTTAAAACTTTTTAATTTAATCTTATCGTCTATAATTCCTGAAATATAGCAATAATTACAGGGGAATAGCCCTTGCTAGTTGTTTGAGTAAATGCTTCTTATTAATCTGTTTCACAGAGAATTACGAAAGTATTCTAATATCTCTGTAAAAGATGACTACCTTCTGCGCGTGACGTCTCATATGCAGCGTCAATCATAGGCTTAATGGGGCGTGCATTGTTTACATATGACCTTACTGGTTCGGGCGGAATGGAGCCTTTTACTCATTTTTATACCCATTTACACTAAATAGGAAATAATTTTTACCTACAAATACGTCAAACGTCTTTATTTATTTTTCTCATATATAAAAAAAATCCACCCCCCACTGGTATCGAATCCTAGACACACAGGTGTTAAGCCATTAACCCCGCCCATGCAGGTGTTAAGCCATTAGCCCCACCCCTCCCCAGGTGAAGTGAGAAACAAGGAAGACTGAATATATTTATTATATTGAGGTGAGAATGGTTTATTTACATGTTTTTAGTTCAACTGTTTTACACACTCTATATATGGTAAACACGACACAAACAAATATATATATATAAACAAATAAACATAGTAACTATAGTAACAACAAGGACATTATTATTATTATAATTGGCACCAAGAGATCTAGAAGTTGGAGAATATTCCCAGTTGTGAACTTCAGGAATCAATATATGATCTTCCACAGGGGCCTATCATATTGGGCATCTCAAAGCTCTAATAGGAGAGCCCAATAGAATAGGCCGTTTAAATATATGATATACAGATATAATTAGTATTTATCAATAAAATGATGGGAAATGATGTTTCTACATACAAACTACTTGGTACTTACGTATTAATAAGATCTATATTTAAGCTCTGTTGCATAAAATATAAAAATACGCACAAGTTCAATGTAGATGCATTGTAAAATATTTTATATACGCGTATGCATTAGTGTTTTTTTGAAGAGTTTAATAAATAGATGGCCACATGTACTTTTTATTTGATTCAGACAGAATGAATAATTTTACTGCAAATCAAAGATCGAACCCATCCGATTCATTTTTTAATTTATTCCAAGAGAAGATAATTTCTATATGCTGCCATTTGTATGTAAAAAATTTACTGTGTAGATTTTTTATTTGGATAAAATATTCCCAATAATCTTTTTAGCGAAACCTAAAATCTCTCGACCTCGCGTCTAGATTCAAGATTTAATCTTTCTGCAATAAACTCTTGTTGTTCTGTATTCTGACGTAAAAGGATTATAAACAAACAAAAATGTGAAAACGTCCAAAGCTAAAAGCCAGAATCTATTTCTCCTTTATTGTTGAGTTATGTTCAGCGTTTAATATCTCTGTGCATATAGTTTATATGTTAAATTGCGTGTGCGTAAAATTAGAGTTATAATGTGAATATGACTGAACAATCAACGAGAAATAAACCCCTCTTACAAAATATTTAAATAATTTATAGACGATAAAACAAAATTCAGGGAATTGATCCAGAATAAATGGATAAATACCAACTATTATTACAACTTTGTATCAATTTCAAATATCTGAAATGGATAAAATAAAGTTTTAAATTAAATTTAAATGAGAATATGAATGATTCAATATATGGGCCTGATAACTGTTGAACAGGCCTATATATAAATGGCTACTCTACTACAAGTGGGCCTAGAAAATTAACAGGCCTGTATAACGTGTGCTGCACTGACATAGGCCTAGATATAAATGGCTACGATAGGCCTATATAACTTGATACTATATAAAATGAGTCTAAATGTAATGGACCTATAATTAATTATCATATATGTACTGAGCTATAATTGATATTATTATATAAACCTAGTGAATATATGAACACAATGTGTATAAATTATTATTATCATATATAACTTCATGATATTATATAATATATTATAAACATATACAAATAATCTATAACTATACCTAAATTAATCAACCTGTTTACATTCAGATATCCACCTGTTCACAATTAGATATCAACCTGTTTACAATCAGATATCCACCTGTTTACAATCAGATATCAACCTGTTTACATTCAGATATCAACCTGTTTACATTCAGATATCAACCTGTTTACAATCAGATATCAACCTGTTTACAAAACACCATGTTTTGTTTAGTTTTTATCTTGTATTCCATTAAAATATTGATGACTGTTCATCAGTCTCATTGCTGACGTTTCAATTTGATCCAATTTTTAAAATACATTTCAAATGCCAATTTATAAAACTATAAATGTAACAATACTTATTCTTTGAAATTTTAATTGAATGGCATGCCATATTGACTGACAGGATGGTTCTGCTGTCAGTCAATTTCACGATCGGTCAATCAAGACCAGTAAAACGTGTGTGAAATGAGAAGCCTGGTTTAGACATCATCATATCATTGTAAGATAAGTTATAGATTAGAATTTCTATATTGTGAATGTTTATTATTAATAAGAGAATATGCTGATCTTCACATTGAACCTTAGAATTATGTAAAAGTTTAAATTGTAAATGAGAAATAAGAGATTGCTGACTTTTAGGTCCCGCCTATTCAATATTTAAACGAATCTTAGAACACATCACAGGTGTATTCTTTTCTTAAACTGGTTATGATTGGTTGTTCCATATGATTGACAGACAAGTTGCCTTCATTGATTGGATTATTCCAGATGATTGACAGATGCCTTCATTGAATTATAAAACAAAACTATACATAAAATTCTCTTAACAAAAAGTATTGGTTTACATTTTAAAATTGAAAGTAGCGTCATAAAACTACCATACAAAGATATACAAATCACTTAGAATTTTCAGCAGATTGACTTGATTAAATGGAATTCAAAAATCAGGAAATCAAAAAATAAATCCTCATGATTTCCCGAGCTTAAAAGTTCACTAGATCAAGTCAACGACCAATCGAACAATCGAATTGAATTGTAAAGTTCACTAGATCAAGACAACGACCAAGGAAAGTAAATCGTAAAATAGAATTTAAATATAAGAAATTAAACAGTGATTAACCTGCAGTGAATAAAGATAAATTACAACACCCCTTTTATATAAAATAGACTGATCTAAAACAGACTATAATCAGTACCAAATTGAAGAATAGTCCACTACTCTTTAGGGGGGGGGGGGTGTTTCACCTACGTAAATATTAAATAGTTAATTACAATATATTATATTATAAAGATGAAAAACCAACATCGCGAATCAACATTCAAAATGGACAACTGTTCGTAAATGAGATACAAAATTGAAAAAAGTTCTGTTGTATTTTACGTACAAGATACATGGACCATAAAATGTGACAAATCTATTTACAAAAAAAAAAAAAAAACAAACAAAAAAACACACACCTCCACGTAATATTATTGCTTTGACAAAATTCTTTATGAAAAAGACTGAAATTTATTTACAAAATTGTCTTATAGATGTAAAAGTAGTTTGTAATTTCACTCCTGTTTCGATTCTCCGTATAAAAAGCTGTCCAACTACCCCGACTATATTAATATTAATAACTAATCACACTACAAATTCAACAACAAGGGTGTCAAGAGATACATTTCAAATTTCAAAAAAATGGCCACTTTCATGATATTTCTGAGAAATAGTGATTAAAATATGCAATAATTTAAATTACGAAATTTCCTGAAAGTGACCATAGAGCTCGAGAAGACAATAAATTTCTATTTTACAATGAATCTACGAATAAAAAAAATACAATGTATGATAAAGATATATAAAAAAATTAACTCTGAAAAAAAAAAAAGCTTATGTGAAATGTTGTCTTATGTACAGTTAATATAAATCCACCTTTCTCAATGACGTTATTCTATGTAAAAAGATTTAATTATTTAAAAAAAAACATGAACTGCATAGCACTATCGTTAAACTTACGTAAAATGAAATGTTTTATAAACAAAAGGATATATATCTGTTTATATAATTGAATAATGTACGTATATATGTTATGATGTATCCATAGTAACGGTGAAATCTAGGCAATATGATGAACCAAATCACCCACTTGAATAATAAATCATCTCTAGTATAAGTTTTTGTCGTTATAACAAATCTTTAACACTTGAGGTCCTGCTCTCGTATTGTCATTATTTACACAGACGCAGATATATATTTATTGATAAATTAAATGGAGAAAACTTCCTGTATTATTTTGTCTCTTTAATTCATCCATTTTCGACAGCAGCCCGCGCCGCAGCTACAAGGAATCTTGTGTTGGTCGTCTTCAAAATCAAATTTATAATCATACGTCAACTGAAATTATAAACATTTTATTATAGATGGAAATGAAATTGGGTTTAATGTCCTACTGTTCTGCTTCGAAGTTAGCTAATGAATACAGGCATACGTCATACAGTGTGCTATGAGGGAGATTTTGCCAGGACAGCGGCACTACGACCTACTCTTATATCGCATTCCAACTGTCAAGGGATCTTTTACGTGCACGCCAATGTGTACACAGGACCGCGTTTTTTCATCCCATCCGAACGACTCGACAGCTGCCCTTGTCAGGCCCTCTGTATATTGACCCCCAGACCACCGCAGTTCCCGAAATTACAAACATAATATATTTAAAGCACCGAGATCACATCATACAGATACTATTAAGCTTATGTCTAGCTCTCCACAATATTTCTCACAGAACTGACAAGTATTGTGACCCACACAGAGTATGCTGACTACATGAAGCTCATGTTAAGCTTATACCTAACTCTGAGGGAGCAAGAGAGAGAGATGGGGTTTAACGTCTACTCCACTCAAACTAGGTCATTTCGAGACTAACATATGGTTCACTTTTATTTCAATAATTTGCTCTGCGCATAGGGTCTTTAGCAGTGGGAGGAAACCGGAGGACCCAACGAGGTTGGAAAGGCAACTCTACTTCTTGTCATGTACAACCGGGGAATCGAAACCATGCCAGTTGACTAAATGACAGACCTTACGATACAACGGACACGGACTAACCATTCGTGACCCACACAGAGTATATTTAATGTTTTATCGTACCTCCTCTCCTTTGCTCAATCTTCGGTTTGTGATGATGATAATTTTACTGTCTTTTTCGAACGGCACGACTTCAGCTACACAGTTAGGAGCGCAGGAGTGGTTGATATAACGTGCCGGTCCACCAGCCATCGTGGCATCTATTACGCTATCTTCATCTATACGGAACATGTAGATACCGCGATTCTAAAACATAAAACATATTATTATATCTCCTCTAAATACAGATAAAACATCACCTTGATTCTAAAATATAAAACATATTATTATATCTCCACTAAATACAGATAAAACATCATCTTGATTCTAAAATACAAATTATATCATGATAGCCATGTCTTCAATTCATGTGAAATGAAATGGGGTTTAGCGTCCTACTGTTCTGCTCCGACTGGCTGAGGAAGACGGGCATACACCATACAGTTTGCTATGAGGGAAACTTTGCCCGAGCAGCAGCACTATAGCCTACTCTATATCGAATTCCAACTGCCAAGGGATCTTTTACGTGCACACCAATGTATACATGGGACCTCAGTTTTTCGTCTCATCTGAACGACTAGATAGCTGTCCTTGTCAGGCCCTCCATCCTGCACCAATGACAAGGGGGGAAACCATGCCAGAAAATCCTGATGAACTTTCTCTGCCAATGCAGGGATCGAACACGCGACCCCTAGAAATCCTGATGAACTTTCTTGGCCAATGCAGGGATCGAACACGCGACCCCTAGAAATCCTGATGAACTTCCTTGGCCAATGCTGGGATCGAACACGCGACCCCTAGGCTAGTGAGCCTAGAAAGTGGTGCTACAACCTATTTTTATTTTAAAAACTGACGGGATCTTTTACGTGCTTTCACTGATATACACAGGGCCTAGTATTTCCGTTACCTTTAAACAAAACCAGGAACTTTTATCAGTGAAAGCTGGAATTAACCTGGGTTAGGGCCATACTCACAGTCACCATTTTTACCCCCCCCCCCCATGCGCCAGTATTAATTATATATTTACCTGTTCTTCATACGTCTTCTCACGTCTGTTGGCCACTTCGTTACGTATTAAATCTCCGATATATTCTATCACCATCGTATGTTTCTCTAAATCTCTAGCAGCGTATAAACCCAGACCCTGAAATATAAACCCAAACCCTAAATAATATAATACCCAGCCCATGAAATATATCAGTATTATAACCATATTATAAACTATTATGTTTTAAAGTTAAATTCATTGAAATTTTAATTTACACATAAAAGCTAAACATTTAAGTGTATTTATCATATTTTAAATTTAATTTCTTTGAAATTCAAATTTTATGTGACATAAATTGACTGATGGTAAGTTTTTAGGATCGGTAATATAATGTGAAATATTCTATATTAAAAATACATTATGTAAGATTTAGATAAAGAGCTAGCCATTCTTGCTATAATAGTTCAAAAATAGATAATGTAAAATGAATAATTTGAAAATTTCATTCCAATTACTCTATTGTGAGCGAAGATATTAGCCTTTGAATGTTTGACAAGACGTGTGCAATAATTTCAACCACCGCACTGGTTGTTCGAACCTAACTCTCGCACCTCCATTTTTAGCTTAAATCAAAATATGGCTGAACAGTTCTCATCTATTTAATATCGGAGAAATCCGATACCATCGAGAGTTTAAAAATAGATAATGACAAATTACTTTATTCTGAGTCTCTGTCATCTGATGACATTGTGAGTTGATTATTGGCTTGTTATGTGAATAACGGTCTAAATAATAGATTAAATAAAGAAAACACCTGCAATAGGTAGATTTAGCTCTCACTTGATTTAGCTTAAACATACATTATGCAAGAGCTAAATCTGCCTATTGCAGGTCTTTCTTTGGGCCTGAAAACTGATCAAAATTATTAATTAGTCATTAATTAACTTATCCAAACCATAACCAACCCTCAATGTCATTGCTAGCCTGCGATATTTACTGGATTAGGATCCGATCTACTGCTCTACGCTCTTTCATGATTAAATCAAGAAATAGATAATCAAGACCTATGTATAGCGCCAGGCAGGGTAAGCTTACTCTTCTGGACACCTGTTACCACTGTTTGTCGTGTATTTTGTACACGAGGAGCAGTCCATTTGCTGATTACACTATTTTGCTTTAATACACTATTTTGCCTATAACGTTTTTTAGGACTTCGAATTCTGTGTTATGGTTTGGATTGTTCGTACTTGGTTTTATTTTATTATCGTATCGACTTCAGTAATGATAATCGAGGTTAGGCCTAAAATTCAATCGCTTAATGCTCGGTTCAGATCGGATCAATTTGACTGAATTTTCAGCATATTCCCTTTACATTATGTAGTTTTTAACCATTATAGTGAGAACTGCCAGCTATTTATCTTATCTCCCATAATGTATCTTTATGTAACTGTTAACTTTACACTTAAAGTTTTTCTTTTTCTTTTTATTAATTTAGATATTGTGTCAATGAAGCATATAATAATTTCAATTCAAACCTTACCTGAATTCTGGATCTGTCTAAATACACGTTGGTTTTCCATTCGGTCTTCAGACGACGATATTGTTGAGATTTAGAATGAACAAACTGTTTCATATATGGTGAGTTGACATCACCGGTTACCCCGGTAACAGACGATGGTAGGGAGCGAGTTGAGCTGCTGGTTTGTAAGGCATGAGGTCTAAAATTAAACAACAGATAAATGTTCTAAAACTTGAAAACACCACGATAATTTTTGTGAATTGAATTACGTCAGATTAATGTAACGAAATGAAATGAAATGAAATGGGGTTTAACGTCCTACTGTTCTGCTCCTAACCTGGGCTAATGAAGACGGGCATACACCATACAGTGTGCTATTAGGGAAATTTTGCCCGGGCAGCGGCACTATCGCCTACTCTTATATCGAATTCCAACTGCCAAGGGATCTTTTACGTGCATTCCAATGTATACACGGGACCTCGGTTTCTCGTCTCATCCAAAGGACTAGACAGCTGTTCTTGTCAGGCTCTCCGTCCTGCATCACTGACAAGGGGGAACCACGCCTGAAAATCTGGATGAACTTTCTCGGCCAATGCAGGGATTGAAAACCCGACCTCCAGACTAGCGAGCCAGCGCCTTACCCACTTAGCCACCGTGATCCCCAGATTAATGTAACATCTCTAGGACAATTATTATAAAACAACATCATCTCGTCCACTCAACACAAACTAGGTCATTTCGGGACTAACATATGGTTCAATTTTATTTCAATAATTTGCTAGCGCGTAGAGGTTTTTAGCAGTGAGAGGAACCCGGAGGCCCCGGACAGGCGACCCCATTCCTTGTCACGTACAACTGGGGGAATCGAAACCATGTCAGTTGACTCAATGGCAGACCTTATGATACAACGAGGAATGCACTAAACATTCGGCCATCCACCCCCCCCTGGTTATTATAAAACAATGACCGGCCGTCCACATGACAAGACAAGTGACACTAGGATAGTCATTATAAAACAACATTATCTCATGTTAACGACTACCCTCCCCCATGTTTGTAAACATACCTTCGGAAATGAGTTCTAAGTTTTGGTTCTGTTCTAGCGGAACCAGTTGGGTTTATGGCCAGTGGCATCTCAATTAATGGTGATCGGCCAAATTTGAAACTGTAGTCTTTCAGTAAATCTGTACCGGGAAGCTGGAAAAACAACACAAAATATTTATATTAAAATCTATTTTATTCATTTGAAGAGCGACCACTATAGTGTGTGTTATCTAAAATCTCCTGGAATTGACAGAGGGAATGAGACCATCTGTTTTAATATCGTCTGATCAAAAAGTAGAGAAGACATAATTTTTTAAACAATATAAAGGGCGATAATCCAGATGGAATTTTATAAAACACTAAAAATAAATAATAAAATGTAGTGAGCAAACATCTGGATAATAAATATCTCCGTGAAGCAAAACAGAGAGAGAGAGAGAGATGGTGTTAAATGTCCACTCAACACAAACTAAGTAATTTCGGGACTAACATATGGTTCAATTTTATTTCAATAATTCACTTGTGCGTTAGGGCCTTTAGCAGCCAGAGGAAACCGACAACCTAGAGAAAACACACAATATTGGACAGGCGACCCTACTCCTTGTCACGTACAACCGGGGAATCAAAACCACACCAGTTGACTCAATGACAGACCTTTTGATACAACGCTCACGCGCCAACCATTCGGCCAACCCCCCCCCCCCACACCCCCCACAGAAGCAATATAAAACATGTGGATGACATTTCAATATCTGATCATTTACAACACAAATCTAATAATCGAGTCAGAAACTCTACTCACCGATTCGAGAACTTTTACGATGTTGGTTTCCGTTAATCCAAACATTTCCTCTCCCGTAACAAATGATGGATAAAGTTTTACAAGGTCGTTCTTTCGCTTCATCCTCTCGATTGGTTCAAATACATTCATCCAGGCACCTGTTGATAGACAGAATACCAATTATGGATACCTCATTGAATCTTCTGGCCCCAATATCACAAAGCATTCTCAAGACTTCAGTTAAGAATTTACTCAAAACTGTTCGCCCTATTTTAACTAAAATATAGCTCTTTATAAAACTTTTGTTGTTTTACTGTATCAAATACGTCAATAAGAAACTATGTACAAATGTTTGTGTTTCTAGATCAAAGATATTTTCTCATAAACAGTGATTGAAAGTGGAGTAAATTCTTAACTTAAGTCTGAGAATCGAAACCACCCCAGTTGACTCAATGACAGACCTTATGATACATTCGGCCAAAATAAATCTTGGGCAGATTTAGCTCTTACATAATCTATGTTTAACTTCGTGAGAGAATTAAATATATAAAATTTACCTTTAGGATTAGAATCTTTGATGATGACGTCGTCAAATCCTGATTCGGTTATTTTAATGACAAATTCAGGTCGGCCTTCTTTATCTTGTATATAACAGGTGTATCGACATCGTTTATATAACGCCCTCATACTCCAATAAAATCGACTAGTACGGAATCCCACAGGATAAATATACTCCCGGGTGTTAAAGTTATTTGTCTGGATCTGGTGTGGTAATAGTTGTCCGATACAATGTAACGTTAACGATCCGACACGTAAAGTATGGTTTCCTTCCTCTTGATGGATCATACTGTAATATATAAACAAATAACTAATAATGTAGCACAGATCAGAAATTTCCTCGATTCTGATTGCTCAAAAAGTATTGAGAGAGAGAAAGAGAGAGAGAGAGAGAGAGAGAGAGAGAGAGAGAAATGGGGTTTAACATCCACTCGACACAAACTAGGTAATTTCGGGACTAACATACAGTTCAATTTTGTTTCAATAATTCGCTTGCGCGTAAGGATATTTAGCCATGGGAGGAAACCGGGACAGGCGACCCTGCTCACATACAACCAAGGAATCGAAACCACAAAAATTATGGTCAAATGGCCAATAAAACACCTCTATTTTAGCAAGTTGTATAAAATATCACTGTGTACTTTTTTTCATTTTTGTGCCGCCACTGGGTAAGACGATTTCCTTTCTGTACCAAAGACTGAGGAACTTTCTCACCGATGATAAAAATTAAAGGAGAAATTACCTGGCTATCTGTCTGTCGTCATCACGATTGATATAAACACGTCTGCTGACTACGAGTGACGTCAGTTCATCTTCAACATGTCCTTTAGGTAAATGATTCGGACACAGAATTGTCTGAAATACAGATACATATATATTAAAATAACTACATTTAACAATATCATTATTAATATATTAAAACCTGTTATTAATATATTAACCAGCAGTTGCCAGGCAAGATACGCCAACATTTTCCAAGAGATGGACAAAGAACAAGCTCAATAAAAAAAGCAATTTTTCGTACAATCAGGGGCCATAATCGATATACGTAAATATCTACAGGAACCTAGATCTTAGGATATAAACATATTTAAAGTTTCATCAAAATCAGATAAAAATTGTCAATTTTCCATCTCATCTGAACCACCAGAAATTCTTGCCAGTCTCGGCAGTCCCACAACTGGGGAAAGCACGTTGAAAAACCCTGAGGAACTCTTCTGGCCGACACTGATTGAACCAGGGATCTTCTGCTTCGCAAGCCAGCATCTTACTGACCTAGCCACCATGACAACCCTCATCTTGGAAGAACATACAACCAACATCCTGCTGCGTGAGCCAGTGACTTACCCACTGAACCACTGTGGGCCACCCCTCATTAAAATTAATTTGTATATTTTCACTGGACTTACTTTATCTTGGAAGAACATACAGCCGACATCCTGAGCACACGGCAGATGATACGAGTTAGCACATCGAACTTTAAAACAGCTCATTGTAGCTCCGACCTTTCTACATCGTGAACATTCTACCGTTAATCCCCGTTTATAGGCGATATCTACGGACATCAAGGCCCCGTTTAACGTCTCGTAAACTTCACTCGACCACAGGGAACAGTTTAAATGGGCCCATTTGTCTACATCCAGATTCAGCAATCTGCAAAATTACAAAACAATAAGAATTGAAACAAATACTTGAAGAATATGCAACTGCTTTTCAAGTCTCGGATGGCTGAAAGTTACAAAATGAAATGGGGTTGAACGTCCTACTGTTCTGCTCCGACTGGGCTAATGGAGACGGGCATAGGCCATACAGTGTACTATGAGGGAAATTTTGCCCGGGCAGCAGCACTATGGCCTACACTTATGTTGAATTTCAACTGATGAGGGATCTTTTCTGTGCATGTCAATGTATATAGCCAATGAAACGGTCTGCTCCAGCGAATTCTTGGCATGAGCTGCACGGAACTGTGGGTAACCCACTAGAAACATTAACGCTAATTGATTAATCAATGTCTGACATCATAGGGTCAAAAGCCGATTGGATGACCCCTGACACGACCTTCCACTAAAACCGGTCATATGTTCATGTAGTGTAGGCCATCGAAAGTATAAAAACATGAAACAAAATATAGATCTATATTTTAATTAGATTGTTTGTAACTTATCTTATAAATGAAATAAATAAGTTATAACAGTTGGTCAGAGCCTATAAACCATTTATAAATATCACAACTCTTCTAGATCCTAGTGTAGTAAAGACAAGTAAAATGAAATTTTGAACTATAAAAAACGAAACGAAATAGGATCTGTGTTTGAATCAGATTGACAAATGCAAGAATTTTGTTACCTGCTTGGTCCATCTGGTTCACCATCACCCACAAGACCACAGAAAGCACAGATTCGAGTATCTTCAGGCATCGGATCTGGTTTATAGGCTAAAACTAACTTCGCCCATAACTCCTCGATCTCTATAGTCGAATGTTTTTTGACTTTGATCAGACACTCGGCTGATTCCAGATCCCAATATTTCCATCGGATATCTTTCCATTTCTTCACTAAGGGCTGAAAATACGAAAATATTTATACATATCATGATGGCAAACGAGAAGTTCCCAACTTGAGAATCCCAAGAAAGAGGACTAGGTCATTTTGGGACTAACATATGGTTCAATTTTATTCTAATAATTTGTAGTATCTTTAGCAGTGGAAGCAAACCGTAGAAACCAGAGTAAACCCACAAGCTTAGACATTGCAACCCTACTCCTTGTCACATACAAGCGGGGAACCTAAACCCCACCACTTGACATAAAACAGACCTTATGATAAGAAGCAAATGCCTCGGTCCTTGTGTGTAGCAGAATAAGGTTACGATCCACAGACCGAGGCATGCCCTGGGTTTATTGACCCAGTACACACGTCCAATGCGATGTGAAAAGCCTGTACTAAGATGAGAGAGAAAAATAGGGTTTATCGTCTACTCGACACAAACTAGGTCATTTCGGGACTCACATATTGTTCAATTTTATTTCAATAATTTGCTTGCTCGTAGAGGTCTTTAGCAGTGGGAGGAAACCAGAGGACCCAGAGAAAACCCATGAGGTTGGACAGGCGTCCCCTACTCCTTGTCACGTACAACTGGAGAATTGAAAGTACGGCAGTTGACTCAATGCTCCTTGTCATAGAACAACCAGGGAATCAAAACCACCCCAGTTGACTCAATGACAGACCTTATGATACACTGTGCACGTGCTAACCATTCGGCCATCTACACCCCCTGTACTAAGTTGATTTAAATGGCCATGTGGGAAGCCTGTACTAAGATGATTTTAATGGCCATGTGGGAAGTCTGTATTAAGTTGATTTAAAAATAAAACTTACTTTTGGTGGTTCGGATGAAATACTGGACATTCTCTTCAACTTTCTGTTCATCTTCTCCTCAAGTTTGGGTTTAATCTGAGGGCTGAGAGTATTAGGGGACAGACTGTCTTTAGGAAGGGTTATATTAGGGGTTAATAATGGAGTGGTAGGCGTGGTAGGTTGGGTATGACTAGATGAACCACTAGGTGGCGTTGTATTTATCGATAAAGCAGATAAGGTGTTACGAGGAGAAGCTGTGGGCGTTGATTCCACGCTCTTGTGCTCTACGATGTTTCCGCTTTCCTTTGTTTCCATGGTTTGGTTTGATTGATGGGTGATGGAGAACTGCATGTAACAATTCATACTACAGAATGTTACATCATCCCCTTCCGATTCCTGCTCAAATAAACAAACAAAAAATTATAACTCCAATCTTTTCTTGATTTTATAAATTATAAAATGGGGTTTAACATCCCAGTTTTATGCGCCGACTGGGTTAAACATAAATTATGCAAGAGCTAAATCTGCCTATTTCAGGTCTTTCTTTAGGCCTGAAATGTTATCTAAATTATTAATTAGACATTAATTAACTTATCCAGACCATAATCAACTCTCGATGTCATCGCTAGCCTGCGATACTTAGTGGACTGGAATACATTTTTTGAAAAGTAATTAAACGTAAAAATGGATAATCAAGACTTTGTTTTTTTTATCGTACCGACTTTAGTAGTAACAATGATCGATTCTAGCCTAAAATTCAAAAGCCAATATCGCGGTTCAGAGTGGAGCAATTTGGCTGAAATTTTCTCGTACAATTAGGGAATCGAAACCACACCAGTTGACTCAATGATAGACCTTATGATGCAGAGCGCACGTGCTAACCATTCCGAACTTCAAACCTCCCTACTTGACCGATGACTTTTCGACGTTCTCTGTTCATATGGACCCTGGGTGTATTACCAAGTGTCTACATTATAAATTACGTTTAACTTTAAACAAGATAAGATTCAAACCTGCTCCTCCTTAGTTAAAACTGGTAAATCAGCTTTCTTCTTGATGATGCCAGAACTGATAACCACGACATCACAATGACGACAAAACTTAGGTTTAGCTTTTACTAGAGAATGAATACTCAGGGCTTGTTCCTTATCTATTAAAAATAAATTATTTTATAAAATATCTGATTTTGCTGTAAACATAAAACATTTGTAGAAGACAAATGGGGTTTAACGTCCACACGACACAAACTGGGTCATTTTGGGACTAACATATGGTTCAGTTTTATTTCATTAATTCGCTTGTGCGTAGGGGTCTTTAGCAGTAGGAGGGAACCCTCAAGGTTGGACAGACGACCCTACTGTTTGTCAGGTATAACCTGAGGAATCGATAACTACACCAGTCGACTCAATGACAGACCTTATGATACAACACGCATGGGCTAACCATTCGGCCACCCACCCACCCAGTATCACGTTTAAATACTTCTAATTAAGGCTTTAATTTTATGTTTTTTAAAATTATTTAACTTACGAGTCATCTGAACTTTATAGGACTCAGGCGATGGAGTTCTTCTGACTTCATACGTTGGGGGTATGGCAATCTGTAGTAGATCAGCTATCCCAGCAATCACACCTCCAATATCCTCAGCAGCAGACGCTGATAAGGTCAAGGTCACCGATACTTGTTGGTCGGTGTTAGGATCAGTGAATGGACTAACTAATCCAGAAGTTATGGGTAATTTTGTCGTGATCATTTCATCTCCTTTCGTTAGTCCTGGGCTTACTTGTGTTAGTGCCACAGAGTTTTCAACTTTTGGGTCGATCTGTTGTTCCGCCTCTTCTTTCACTTCGTCTGATTTATCTTCGAGTTTTATTCCTGGTTCGGACTTGATAGGAATCGGATGAATGAGCGGAACAAATGGTGACGTTTTCCCGTCAATTGACAAGGCAGCAGGTTCAATTGGTCGTAAAGCGGGATAGTCGCCGTCTTGTTCACCGAAACCAAACTCAGGCGACGATGAGGAGATAACTGTGTCAGGACTATCACTGAAATAAAGAACAACAAATTTTAGTACATATTTGCGATTCGTTTAAAAATGATGATACTTATAATGGGCTTTCTTCACATTTTTTAAAAAAAACTCCTGGGAATGCATTTATGAGTCAGTTATAGTGAGAGAGAGAGAGAGAGAGAGAGAGAGAGAGAGAGAGGGTTTAAGTCCCTTCGACACAAACTAGGCCATTTTATTTCAATAATTCGCTTGCGCGTAATGGTCCTTAGCAGTGGGTGGAAACCTGAGGACCCGGTTGGACAGGCGACCCTACTCCTTGTCATCAGTTGTAGTATTTAACGAGATAAGGATGGAGAACAGAAGTTGTGACACAATGACAGTAGAATGGGGTTTAACCTCCACTAAACATAATCTAGGTTATTTTGGGACTAACACATTTAGCAGGAGAGTAGGAGAAAGAAGCCACACGGTGAAGTTTGAGTGGGAGACGGTCTGTTGCGGCGAGTTCTTGGCGTGTGGTGCATGGAAAAGTGGGTATCTCACTAGGTAATGCACTAGAGACATCAGCGCTGATTGGTTAATCAAATGTCTAACGCCATAGGTAAAAAGCCACTGCTATAACCCCTGATGTGACCTTCCACTACAACCGTCAGACCTTCATGTAGTGGACGCCAATGAAAGTATAAAAACATGAAGTAAAAAATAGATCTGTATTTTAATCAGATTAGTTTGAGATGTAATTAATGCGCTGTTTGTAAAACTTACCTTTTAATATCAGCAAGTCTAGAATCTATTCTAGGATGGGGAGGTAACTCTAACTGGTTTTTAGTAAGACCATGTGATAATAGAGCACTGTGTGAAAATGGTTTATCAGGCATCAGTTGATATCTCTGTTGTTCTAATACACCTTCTATAATAAATAATTATTATAAAACATGGACACTAGTAAATAAGGAGAGAGAGAGAGAGAGAGAGAGAGAGAGTTTAACTTCCACTGGACACAAACTAGGTCATTTTGGGACTAACATATTGTTCAATTTTATTTCAATAATTTGCTTGCCCATGGGGGTCTTTAGCAGTGGGAGGAAACCGGAGGACCCTACCCTTTGTCACATACAACCCAGGAATCGAAACCACATAAGTTGACTCAATGACAGACGTCATGATATAGCGTGCACGTGCTAACCATTCGGCCATCCAACCCCTCGGAATGTGATTAAACATCTGCCATAAATTCAATCTGATCGTGGTCACTGTCTCCTGTTTCAGAAGATCAGTAACATCAGTTGCACCAAAGTTCCACGAAAAATGTCTTCAAAGTTGCAACACAGTGTCTAACACATGATACAATTATATGGAATACAAGTTACTTGAAAGATTTCAGCAATGTTACGACAAGGGTTTTTTCATCTTTATCAAGCATATAGCCAGTAATATAACACAGTGTCAAAAGCATATAACCAGTAATAAAACCCAGTGACTGCAGCATATAGCCAGTAATATAACACAGTGTCAAAAGCATATAACCAGTAATAAAACCCAGTGACTGCAGCATATAGCCAGTAATATAACACAGTATCAAAAGCATATAACCAGTAATAAAACCCAGTGACTGCAGCATATAACCAGCAAATGAAAATAGGGGCTGCCAGGCAATGAATTATACGCCCCCACAGATGATCAGACAAACAACAATATTCGACCACATTTCAATGTGGGTGCATTAAAACTGACTATATGACTTATTCCAATCTGTTCTTGTATACTGCTTGACAATGAAACATACACACACAGACATGACAGGTGACATGACATATTCAGTCAAGCTTTTTCAATGTGTGTGTATTAAGTCAAAAATATTCTTTTGTGTACAGATTTTCAGGAAACCCCGTAAAATTTTACCTGGTATGCTACTCTCTAATTCTCCTAAATATCGCCTACGTGATGTTTTCTCTAGGACGGGTAAAGTTCGTAAAGATTGTGGCGACATCTGTGATAGGATAAAATGTCCGTAGTAATCGGGTATGTTCTCCAAGACACCTCGACCATAAACACCGGTTAGCATAGGATCTACATCAATATAAAAATAGATACATATTTCATAGAAGGTAAATGTTAACGTGAATATTCATGACCATCTGTATATATAATTAGTAATGAGTTTTATGAATATTCATATGAGAAATTTATTTTGTGCTTATGTGTAATTCAATCTAATAATTACTGTCTTACCTTTAGATAACGCAGCCCCTTTAATGGGAACGATATTAAAACTAGTCTCTAGAACTGGTTCCTGGAGCTGAACCGGTGCCATGCTGCGAAGCTGCAGTAAAAATGTATCAACCAGAGATTCCATCTCATTTTCTGGTCCCACACCAGCTTTTACTTCTTTAGATAATTTTGATTTCCTTCGTTTTTTCACGACACCCGGCATGTCCATATTGCCTTCCAGTTTCTTTCTACGTTTTGGTTTCGTTTCGTTGGGTTGACCAACTTTTTTCTTGGCTTTTCGCATCTCCTCGTATTCTCGACGCTTTTGTTCGTACTCCTGTTTGCGTTTTTCTGAAATATAACAACAGGCAAATATTATCTCACTTCAATCAAGATACATGTAATAAATTAAATATCTCATTTCAATAAAAATGAAATTGAAATCGAGTTTAACGTCCTACTGTTCTGCTACGAACTGGGCTAATGAAGACGGGCGTACACCATACAGTGTGCTATGGCCTACTCTTATATCAAATTCCAACTGTCAAGGGATCTTTTATGTGCATGCGAATGTGTACACAGGACCTCAGTTTTTCGTCCCATCCGAACTACTAGACAGCTGTCCTATTGTTCTGCTCTGCTCCAACTGGGTTAATGGGAGACGTCATTTCGGGACGTAACAAATGGTTCAATTTTATTTCAATATTTCGCTTTCGCGTAGGGGTCTTTAGCAGTGGTAGGAAACCGGATGACCCAGAGAAAACACATGAGGCTAGACAGGTGACACTTCTTCTTGTCATGTACAACTGGGGAATCGAAAAAACAGTGCGCACGTGCTAACCAATCGGCCATCCACCCCCTCCTCCATATTTCATAGAAAATGAATCAATAACGGTCAAAAAACATCAAAAATCAACGCACTTGAATATTCTTGTAATAAAAACTTTAAAGAAATCAAGCAAGGTCTAAACTAAGAATAATCCATAAAATTTGTATAATTTACCCTCACCCATAAGGGTATCTTGTTCTGCAGCTGTTTTATCCGTCCAGTCTTCCATTGATCTTTCTGCTTCCTTGCACAGCGGCATTTCTTCGATCATCTGCAACTGTCGCTGTTGTTCTGGTGTCAACTCAGGTAACGCTTCATCCGTCTGTAATATAAATAGGATGGATTGCTTTAGTTTGTTGCAAAATATTAATTTACTACACCATTAATTGAAAGGTCGGATCAAAGGTCGCGATTGTCCAGTACTGGCTAATTTCATCGGCCGAAAGTGCTTTACTTTCAAGATACACGTCTTACTCCCTGATAATATACTAGTAAATGATCTTACTCCCTGATAATATACTAGTAAATGATCTTACTCCCTGATAATTTACTAGTAAATGATCTTAACCCCTGAGAATTCGCTAGTAAATGATCTAACCCCTGAGAATTTGCTACTAAATGATGTTACTCCCTGAGAATTGCTACTAAATGATCTTACTCCCTGAGAATTTGCTACTAAATGATCTTAACCCCTGAGAATTTGCAAATAAATGATCTTAACCCCCTGAGAATATGCTAGTAAATGATCTTACTCTCTGAGAATTAGCTAGTAAATTATCTACCTACCCCCCCCCCCCCACACCAAGAATTTACTAGTAAATGATCTTACTCCCTGAGAATTTGCTAGTAAATGATCTACCCCCCCCCCCCCCCTGAGAATTTACAAGTAAATGATCTACCCCCCTTGAGAATTTGTTAGTAAATGATCTAACCGCCTGAGAATTACTACCAAATGATCTTACCCCCTGAGAATTTGGTGTTTCTGATCTGGCCACCATCTGCGATAGATTATGACCACTACTTGTAGCTAGAAGTTGTTTTAATAAAACATTCTGGGTTGATCTTTGTTCACCATCCATTTCCTCTCCTGCAGCTTCTAAAATAAACAAACATGTCTTCATTAAAATCACTATATAACCCTGACCCCTCAGACATAATGATTGATATTTGAAGAGCTCTATTCCAATGGCACATCAATTTTAAACAAGTTCTTTTTAATAGCAATCACATTCGTCAGTCGTCCACTCTAGATGCAACTAACAAAATAGTTGAAATTTAATATGCTTGTTTGTCTCGCCAATATAAATAAGATATATAAAGCTTAAAAAAGATTGGATGATTAAAATATTCAGTAGAGTCTTCACAAGAAATTGTGGATGACGAACCAATGGACCGTGGACTTATTGACCAGTAGTGGTGGTCATAGTACTTACCTGCAGCTCTCAGTTCTTCTGCTAATCCTGGTTCTTGTTTGATGTTGAGGCAGCTTGGAGGAGTGCTGGAAGCTGGACTTGTCAGATGAGGACTTGGAGTGGAAGCACCGGATGACGACGTCTGATTAATAATAGCAGATGGCATATTGGCAGACGACACAAATTGTTCCAAGTTTGATACAGCTGGTGATGTGGAAGGATGAAGAGGCATGGAAGCAAAGGTGTTTGTGAGCTGGTGCGATAGTGGAGGAGGCTGTGGACCATGTTGGTAAGATACTGAACCAATAGTTGGTGACAACTGACTAGCAGCAGAGGCTCCAGGATGGTGGTAGGCCATGCTTGTATGAGGTCCAGCAACCATTCCTTGTGAATACGGTGGCATTGAAACACTGTGGGATAATGGAGGACGGGTTGAAATACCAGGATGACCAGGATTAAAATTATGGGCAGCTGAAGACATAGGATGTTTCTGAGATGCAGCATCTTGCTGTGCAAGCATCTGTCGATGAAGATCTGACATATTGGAAGGAATATTGTTCATCTGATGAGGACCACTTGCCCTTGGTGATGGATATGGTTGACGAATTTGTCCTGGCATAGACTGAGGTACAGAAGTAGCCATTTCTGAAGAAACATTTGGATGCTGATGGTGACTTGTTGCCAGATCCATGTTCATCATAGGTCTTTGCTGACCCATTCCCATTGGCTTTCCAGATGACTGGTTGTGCATCATGCGAATCATATTGGGATCCATGCCCGGATGCCTGAATTGCATTTGCTGTGGATCCATTGGGTTTCTCAACTGGTATCTTTCTTGACAATCTGGGTCTTGTCCCTGTCCTTGACTTTGGGATGGCCGCATCATCATTCTTTGTTCCATGCCTGGTCTCATCATAGATTGATCAAACCCATGGACCATTCGGGGTCGGAATTGTCGAAGGTCAATACCAGGTGGTAGCATTCCAGGTCTCATCATTCTCGGATCAAATCCATGTCGAAATTGAGAAGGGTCTTGACCAGGTCTAATCATCCTTGGATCAAAACGCATCCTCATCATTCTAGGATCCATACCACGAGGAAACATTCTTGGATTTGTCCGTGGTCCAAGAGCCGGATCCATTCCAGGAGGCATATTATGTCTCGTAGGGGAATTTCCTGGATGAGCAGAAGTAGGCACTCCAGGCCTTTGGGTCATCAACTGATTACTAACAGACCCTGGTGGAAACTGAGGAGGTGTGCCAAGATGTCCCGACGTGTGAGGATAAGGAGGTGGTGGTCCTTGTGGCATAGCAGGTGGTGTGATTGTTTGACTTGCTAAAACAGGTTTAGTGGATTCAACTGATGATACAACTGAAGTCTGACTAGAAGATGGTGTGGACTGAATAGTAGTGGACGCTTCAGTACCACTATCCACTTGAAAGGGTTGAGAGGAGATAACTGTAGCTGATGTGACAGCTGATGATGGTGTGGAAGCTACTGATGATGATAATGGAGTGGATGATGGAGTAGATGCAGTGTTTGAGACAGTAATATCTGATGTTACTTGAGAAGATAATGCAGATGACTGAGAAGATGCTGGATGAATTTCAGGAATTTTAGCTTCTTCCTTGGTTACAGTGGTGGCAGTAGAGATTACTGGTTCAGGAGTCATGGCTTTGTCAGCTTGAATATTTGTTTCGGGAGGCTTTGAATCTGGATCTGGTTTGATAGATTTAAGAGAAGCAGCAGCAATTTCTGAACTAGCTGCTGTACCCTCTTGTTTATCTTTCTTCTGAGATTCTTGAAATTCTTTCATCGGTTCACTCACTAGGCTTTCATCCATAGGTTCTATTTTAACAGTAGCTTCTCCAGGAATCTCCTTTCCATCTTCTGTAGGAGTATCTTTTAAACCTTCTGCAGTTTTCTGCTTCAGATCTTCTGTGGTCTCCGTAGTTCTTGAGGAAGAATCCTCAGACTGTTGAGGAGTGAATGTACTTATGGATGTTGTATCCTCACTGATAGTTGTTGAAGCATTTGTCTCAATTACAGTCTGAACTGTAATTTGATTTGCAGAAGTTGTCACATTTATAATTTCACCACATGAAACAGAAGCACTTGATGTAGAAATGATGCATGGCTGTGGTAATGGCAACTCCTCACTGGCACTCAGGGTAACATTTTGAAGAGTCCCTGTTACAACCGTGGCATGAGATTCATCCATTTCTAAAGATACATCAGCACTTCCAATTTCTTCTTTTATAGTTTTACTTGCTGCTTCAGCACCACCAGATGATTCAGACGATTCACCAACTTCTTTTGACTCTGTCACATCTTTAAAATTCTTCTCTTCCTCTAATGGTGTCGAAGTCGATTCTTGGACAGTTGAGGGATCAACAGCAGCTGGATGATCTGTATTCTCAGAAGTTTGTTGATCTTGTTCTGAAGGCTGATCATTTTTATCTTCCATCCCCTCATTATCATCCTCATCATCAGTACCACATCCATGTCCATCAATACATTCTTTCTTCTTAGGAGGATCTTGTGAAGTAGCTGAACCAGTTGCTTCAACAGAACTTGGTGTAGAACTAGAAACAACTTGCGTTTGTTGCTGGCCAGAACTTTCTGCTGTTGAGTCTATAAGAGCGTCTCCAGTTGTAGCACTTGGTGCCTCAGTTGGGACACTCGAGGACGATGTTTGGACAATTTCCGTTAAAGGAGACTGCAATGTGGTTTCTGATGCTGGCTTGGTTGAAAGTTGAGTTGTTGATGAAGACAAAGTAGTAACAGGTGGAGTTAATTGTGAAGATGTTGGCTGCCCTTCTGAAGGTTTTGGTTTTATCTGATCCTGTGAGACCCGACAAAGCTGCTCTGATGATGGTTCTAAATTTTGTTGGTGTGAATCCAATTGTGGTCGAGAGCTTTTCATGTCAGCTTCAGATTCTAAAACAGGTATTCCTTGTCTTACATTAACATTGGAGCCTGGTATTCTAGGTCCTAAATTTGTATGTGGACCCTGCACCATGGGATGAGGGGAAGGTACCATTTGTCCTAAATGAGGATGACGAGGATTGAACTGAGGATGATTTCCTTGAATAACATTAAAAGGAGCACCAGGTCTAAAATTAGGATGAGCCATTGGACCACCTGGTCCTTTGTTATGTTGGAAGCCTGGAGCTGTGCCGGAATGGGCTTGAGCCATGGTAGTGTGCGGGCCTGATTGAACTGATCCTTGTAACACTGAAGAACTTGTCAGTACTGGACCTGAAGATGATGCTGGTGGTTGTTGTGGTTGTTTTGGTGGTGCCTGGGTTGTGGTGGAATGAGGCCCTTGGGAAGAAGCTGGAGAAGTGGAAGTAGCTGGTTGACCAGCTGTAGACATTGTAGGTACAGATGCAGCTTCTCCTTGAGATGCTGAAGACTTTTGTTGAGCTAATGCTGCAGTATTGCTGAGAATCTCCAGAATTCTACGTTCAGTTTCTGAATGTGGTTTAACTGGAAATTCAGGTTTAGATGTTGTTGGTGTGGAACCAGGCTGATTTCCCATATGACCTGCAAAAAAATTTCACATAAACATAGTTTCAATAAACTGACTCTACTAAGACAGGATGATATATCAAGCATTGACCGAGAGACTTAGAATCATTCGTTAAACTAGAAAATTGTAAACTGAGTACTTATAAATCAGAATGTAAAAATGCTACATGATTCTCAATAATTTGTGTCTTGTTTGGACACAATCACAGAAATATAGATCTTAGGTTCAAGAAATTTGCACAGTGATGAGCTGAAACATGCACAGAGCATTTGAAAGACAAACAAAACATGCATGAAATACACAGGGTGATGCCATAATACATATTTTGTATACATTGTCGTATTTGGGCAATATAGAATAAATACATATTTAGCATATATCTATGCTCCAAAACAAAATGCCCTTTTAAAGACAATTTTATTGTTCTGATTTGGAACAAGAATTAAAGTGCACGTATCAATGTGGTTTAATTTTATTTCAATAATTCGCTTGCGCGTAGAGATCTTTAGCAGTGGGAGGAAACCGGATTACCCAGAGAAAATCCTTGAGGTTGGACAGGCAATCCTACTCCTTGTTACATACAACTGGGGATTCGAAACCACGCCAGTTGACTCAATGACAGGCATGGTCGCTCAAGGACCAGTTGGTGGTCCAAAAATTAATCTCTGGGAGAAGTAAATTCAGCTGGCCCATCACCAGTTAACAACCGACCCTAGACCACTAATTTATTGTATACAAAAGATTTACCACATCATAAATCATAGTAACACATCAGATGAAACATATAGGCCTACAGTTCAGTTTGACTCAAATCAATAAACCTTTGACCCAAATCAATAGGCCTACATTACATTTTGACCCAAATCAATAAACCTACATTTCATTTTGACCCAAATCAATAGGCCTACATTTCATTTTGACCCAAATCAATAAACCTACATTTCATTTTGACCCAAATCAATAGGCCTACATTTCATTTTGACCCAAATCAATAAACCTACATTTAATTTTGATCCAAATCAATAGGCCTGCTTCATTTACTCAAATCAATAGGCCTACATTTCATTTTGACTCAAATCAATTGGCCTACATTTCATTTTGACCTAATACTGGACTTGTTTTAGGTAAAGTCTCTCATTACAAGATTTTGTCAGACAAGATATGTTACGCATTTTTGATTAACTCCTGATGTAATAGGATACAGGGTGATTGGCAACTAAGAATAGCAAAGGTGGGACAAGCCAACAGATTTGTGTAGCTGTTGGATTTGTTTACAAAGAAATTATTATAGTTCTTCAAATGGCAAATTTCGATACCAGTTAATCTAGACCCGTGATTCTCAACCAGTGTGCCGCGAGATCTTCCTAAGTGTGCCGCGAAATTTTGTATGGCACACTAAGAAAATTGCTCACTAAATAAAGAAAGAAGCCAGCTATCTGAAATTCGAAACACTGCAATAAAGTATGTTCATAGCTGTGTTTTTCTTTATTTAGTTTGAGTCATTCTATGTGTCTATGACTAGTGTGTGTCTACGGTTGTATGCCGTCTATGACTTGCCATGTTTTTATTTTGCAAAATTCAAATATTTTTCATATATATTTAGCCAAGTGTGCCGCTATTTTTTCATGTGTTCCAAGGTGTGCCGTTGGCAAAAAAAGGTTGAGAAAAACTGATCTAGACAGACAATGGTCACAGCCTGGACATCGCTTAATCATACGATCTCTGTTAACCAGACTCGTTTCCCTTCCGTGTCACAGTTCAAGGTCATGATAAATGAGATAATCACTGGGTAGATCAAGGTGGGTTTTATATGATGCCCGTGTCACAGTTCAAGGTCATGATAAATGAGATAATCACTGGGTAGATCAGGGTGGGTATTATATGATGACGGCGAGAATTCTCTCATCATAAAGTCACAGGTTTTATTTCAAAACAACAAATTACTTCAGTTTCAACCTCTTCACTGAAGATCCAAAGAGAACGAATTTGGCAATTAACTTGAACATTACAGCAGTCTGGTTCCTACAGAATCAACTGGACATCGAAAATTGTCTCAGAAATTCCAATTAATGCTAAATTATAAATTTTTTCCAAAAATTACTTCTGGATTTTTTTGTGAAGTGAATTTTTAATTAAGATGACTTTGTTTAATTAAATCATGAATCGCCAGAAAAACAGAGCCAGAAATGAGAGCAGACTTTAGATTTTTTCATCACAATGAATTCATAGTTATATTTTAATTTCAAATTTCTTGACATGAAAGAATAAAAATATATTGAGACGTGATCCTCTAGGAACCAGTTCCTAGATTTATACATCACAATGTGTACAAAAAGATTTTTCGTTCAGTTAAAAATTTATAAATAAAAAAAACACATATTTCAGTTACCAAAAAATTGTTCGTCTTTATTTTTTGTTGTTTTTTTGTAAATTCTGCTATCATTGATGAGAGTTATTCCCCCTTGATGAAAGAATTGTAAACATGTTATTTTATACCTAACAAAGCTGCTTGATTTGGTAGCGAGGGAGGTAAAGGTTGCGATTGGGCGTTCTCCAAATCATCAGCTTTCTTTTTCTTTCGTCGCTTTTTGGTTTTTTCTTTTCCCGGTGTTGCGCCCATCTCAGGGGGAAGGGTAGCGGGAGGAATACCGAAGCCTGCAACAGCCACGTTCAATATGAAGCAAAATGATGGAACAGCCTCCAATAATTTGTAATTCAGCACAGCAATCACAGAATATAATCAACCAAGAGAATTTTAAATAAAACACTTCCGCAAAACTCTCTATCTTATAGATGCATTATGTAAGATTTAAATCTCACGATGGTTCAAATCCATTTAAACCTCGGCCATTCTATGAGAGAGAGAGAGAGAGAGAGAGAGAGAGAGGTTTAAGGTCCACTCGACACAAACTAGGTCATTTCAGGACTAACATATGGTTCAATATTATTTTAATAATTCGCTTTAGCAGTGGGAGGAAACCGGAGGACCCGGAGAAAACCCACGTGGTTGGACAGGCGACCCTACTCCTTGTCATGTACAACCGGGATGCCATCCGATGAGCTAGGGAGTTTATTATTGGCTAGTCGTGTGAATAAATGTCTAAATAATAATTTAAATAACATTTGAAGCCATAAAAAAAGACCTGCAATGGGCAGATTTAGTTCTTACATAATGCATCATAATTCAAAATATATCTCTTTTAAATCTAATTTTGATAAGGAAAAAGATCAATCAGGAAAAAAATCAAATCAAATTTTTATTTTTTTAAACAAATGAAAAAAAGAGAGTCTTTGCTGTGTTTTATTTAAATTCTATTAAAACTGTAAAAATAACTTATAGTAGCTGACTTTTAAAATTTATAGTTTTACTGTTAAATTATGATTAGAAATATCATTAGTTTCAGTTCTAACATAGAAAAGGTGTTAATTATTTCTATGCATAAAAATAAAAAGCGTGCAAAAAGAAATAAGTTAAACAAATGTAGAAATAATTAAAACTATAAATTGACTAATGATTTAAATCAGCTAGCAAGTTATCATTACAATTCTAATTCTCCAAAAAAAATAAAAAAATAAAATAATAATATAAAAATGAGCACATGCAAAAACAATGAAAATCAAACAGAATCAAATATGGTAAAACAAGCCTTGCTTTAAATAAGAAGTACGACTATATTACATCAACTAGGGAAGTCATCAGGCAATTGTCATGTAATATCTAAAATTTGAACTGCCAAGGGCTCTTTTACGCGTCTGCAAATGTGTAATCAAGTTGACCTTGGGGTTTTTTTTTGTACCATGCAAAAAAACTAAACACACTTTACTTATGAGTTTGCAGGCATCACCCATGACATGTGTTAACTGGACCAATATGGTTAAAACACAGATCCTATTTCGTTTTGTTTTTTAAAATTTCATTTTACACTAGGATCTGGAAGAGTTGTTATATAACCCAAGTGAGGGATTAGCCAATGAAACGGTCTGATACGGCAAGTTTTTGGTAACCCAATAGAAACGTCAACACTAATTGTTTAATCATATGTCTGACATCATAGAGTCAGATCTTCATGCAGTAGAGGCCATCGGAAGTATAAAAAAAAAAAAAAAAAACGAAACGAAATATAGATCTGTATATTAATCAGATTAGAACAGGAGTGGTAAAATCCCTAAAGTTCATCTGAACCCATGTGGGGATTCGAACTCAAGATATTCAAGTAAAGATATGAATCGAAGAGCGAATTTTGCCTGAGCATTTTTTTTTTTTCTACTTTTCTCGAAATGTCAAAAGCCAAGAGCTTTTACATGTGGTTCTACATCAGATAAATGGGTGTTTTATCAAATGAGAGAGAGAGAAATGGTTTAACGTCCACTCGACACAAACTAGGTCATTTTGGGGACTAACACATGGTTCAATTTTATTTCAATAATTCGCTTGCGCGTAGGAGTCATTAGCAATGGGAGAAAACCCACAAGGTTGGAAAGGCGATCCTACTCCTTGTCACGTACAACCGGGCAATCAAAACCACGCCAGTTGACTCAATGACAGACATTGTGATACAGCGTGCACGTGCTAACCGTTTGGCCATCCTTCCCACCCCCGCCCCCTTTTTCAAATGAAAAGCAAAGCTTGTTTAGCAACTGAATATGCTTAATGTGTGCAATTGTTAGTAAAATTTTGGGTCTGGAAATAAATTCATTCGGATTGTTAAATAAAGTTAACGAGGGAAGTGTATAATAATAAATATTTGCACATGTGCCAAACATAGGGAAAGGAATGCAGATAAACATTGAAGGCGATAGAAAAAAAGTTTTACATCCACTCAACACAATCTAGGCCACCTTGAGACTAACACAAGGTTCTATTATGTTTTTATTTCGGTAAACTGACTTGCGCCTAGGAGTCGTTATCAATAGGAGGGAGAAAACTGGAGAACGCAGCACGAAAACTCACAAGGACAGACCCTACTGTCACGCTACACCTGCATGCAAAAACAACATCTACTATTTTATTCAAAGACAGACTCTAAATTCTAAAGCACATGCATGTGAACTCCCAGCCTCCCAATTTATACGAAAATTATTTGAAAGCCATAAAAACTAAGCAATCAGTTGAATAAATTTGTATCCAAAGATTATCATAATTAGGGTTTATGGGGCTGGGACCATAATGGTCATATTTGATTTGGGTTCCCAAAACACATTTTACAACTAAAAGGTTGAAATAAAAAAAAAGGTAAGCCTGAATTCAACTTAAAACAATTAAACAGTAAAAAAAGAAGCTACTAAATCATGGTTAAAGCATGGCATCTGTTTAAAACCAGAACGAGGACTGGTCAGATATAATGTCACAGAGAAGAGAGAAATGGGGTTTAACGTCCACTCAACTCAAACTAGGTCATTTTGGGACTAACACATGGTTCAATTTTATTTCAATAATTCGCTTGCGGGTAGGTGTCTTTAGTAGTGGGTGGAAACCGGAGGACCCAGTGAAAACCCACGAGGATGGACAGGCAACCCTACTCACTGTCACGTACAACTGGGGAATCGAAACCCTGCCAGTTGACTCAATGACAGACCTTATGATATAGCACGCACGTGCTAACCATTCGGCCATACAATGTCACAGCATCTTAAATTCTATGCCAGTTTTAATAGATTTACGAATTATGTACTGTGAAGCTTGCTTGGTTGAGAACATATCAACTCAAAAGTAGAAAATTTCAGCAACGTCATACAAATGTTGACAATCTCATCAGCCTTTGTAACGTTACAGGATTTCAAACAGATGCCTTAGGTTACTAGTAATGACTGGCGTACACATGGCAAGTTTAGACTTTCAAACTTTTTGGAAAATATCAGACCCATGTCATAGACTGATCGTCTTCGTAGTCACGGTGATTTTCAAAGAGAAAGAGATAGAAATGGGGTTTAAAGTTCACTCGACACAAACTATGGTCATTTCGGGACTAACATATGGTTGAATTTTATTTCAATAATTCGCTTGCACATAGGAGTCTTTAGCAGTGGGAGGAAACCAGAGGACCTGGAGAAAACCCACAAGGTTGGACAGGCGACCCAACTCCTTGTCATGTACTGTCTGTTACCTGAAACAGTCCCATGAAATTTTGATATTGGTGTTTTAAAGTCTAAAATAGTCTTGTGTATGCCGGGCTTATACATTGTAGCTACTACCACTAGGGGCCGGGTATCATTCAGATTTGATGAAAAAAGGAAAGAAACTGAGCTTACCATCTATAATCTAATACACATATTCAGTTAATAGATTACCATGCAGAAAGTATTAAATACCATCAAGATTCATCAAATAACGCCCAGTTTGTGCTACCGTTTAGTTTAAGAAACACCATTTAGTTTTGACATCGGTCATCTAGTTTATGACCATTTAGTTTAGTTTTGATATTGGTCATCCAGTTTATGAACATTTAGTTTCATAAACTAGACAACCGATGTCAAACTAACAGTAGCACAAACTGGGCGGTTTTTGATGAATATTGATAGTATTTAACACTTTCTGCATGGCAATCTATTAACTGAATATGTGTATTAGATTATAGATGGTAAGCTCAGTTTCTTTCCTTTTTTCATCAAATCTGAATGATACCCGGTCCCTAGTGTACATTACAAACAAAAATTAATTTACAACACTAATGTCTACACATGGTTTTATAATAATAAAATTCAATATAATTAAAAACATATTTAATATCAATTATTGAAATTCCACAATAACTTAAACTGTGGAATAATGGTGAAGATTATTTCCCACCGTAATATAAATAATAATAATACAAGCAAAGATAACTCTATCTTACCTGGATGCATGGGATTAAAACCCTGAAATCGCGGATCTCCCATCTGAGCCCCGGGTATCCTGGGATACATAGGTCCAGGTTCGGGATACGGAGGAGGGGGAGGGGGTGGAGCCTGTCCATGTTGCTGCTGCGCTGGATCGAATGGTCGAATTATTTCGGGTACTACAACAGAACATAAATCAATAAATTTCAGTTAAATACACCTACACTCAAATAACAGTTTAATTACACCTACACTGAAATAACAGTTTAATTACACCACCTACACTCAAATAACAGTTTAAATACACCTACACTCAAATAACAGTTTAAATGCACCTACACTCAAACCACAGTTTAAATACACCTACACTCAAATAACAGTTTAAATACACCTACACTCAAATAACAGTTTAAATAAACCTACACTCAAATAACGGTTTAAATACACCTACAATACACCTACACTCAAATAACAGTTTAAATACACCTATACTCAAATAACAGTTTAATTATAAATACACCTACACTCAAACAACAGCTTAAATACACCTACACTCAAATAGGTACAGCTTGGGACACCGGTCAAATTTAAGTTGTTGGAAAACGTATCACATATATTGAGTTAGTTGCTAGGCCTTAAGGTAGGGGATTTTAAGGGCTTTTAAACACAAAATTAAACAGTTTTATTCTCCAAAATATTATCGAGATTGACCCTTTAAATACACCTCACTCAGGTACTTTCCTCAGCCCACAGCGAGACTGAACATGGAACCTCCATATTGAGAACCAATGTCTTATTCACTGAACCACCACGGCTCGTATATTTTTTTTTTTTTTTTTTTAAATGGGGTTTAACTCCACTCGACACAAACTAGGTCATTTCGGGACTAATACATGGTTTATTTTAAATTTCAATAATTCGCTTGCGCGTAGGGGTCTTTAGCAGTGGGAGGAAACCGGAGGACCCGGAGAAAACCCACGAGGTTGGACAGGCGACCCTACTCCTTGCCACGTACAACCGGGGATTCGAAACCACGCCAGTTGACTCAATGACAGACTTTATGGTACAGAGCGCACGTGCTAACCATTCAGCCACCCAACCCCCTCACGGTTCGTATAATGAATATAAATATTTGTCAGACTTACCAGTAGGAGCTTCTCCTATATTAATCTGTAACTTCTCCATGTGTTCACGTTCCTGGAACGCTTCACTGAATGGATTATTGTCCTAGTAAAATATATCATATCATATATCATCATCAGCACCAAAAGAATGGAACAAATTACCTCTGGAAGTCCAAAATAGTCCAAACTTGACTATATTTAAAGGAGCTAAATCGCTAACATTTGGGACCTAGGAATTGACAAAAGTGGGTCGCAACGCATATAATACTGTAATATAAATGTATATAAACTGATTTACATTCAATGGTTTCCGTTTTTACTCCAATTTCAAATCAGTTATGTTCGGCGAAATAAGCCAGCAGTCTCAAGCGAGTGCAAATTTCTAGCGTCTGGTTATTCCAGTCTACATACGCCGTTTCATTTAGTGCAATGTGTCTAGCCTTGTCCCTCTTGATACAACTGGGGCTGAAGCGCATTATGGTACACGAAAATGGTAAAATGTTTATTTTGTCTTAAATATTGGATATCAGAGGCCCATCTTTTCCCGGTGGGATCACAACATGAATGTTGATTTAATTTGACAAATAATTCGTGTTTTCAATGTTGAAGATTTTGAATGATATTGAGTTAGAGACTTAGCTACTTTAAATGACGTCTAAAAACCCTGTTATTTAACCAAACTTTTGAACTATAATTTAATTGTTTCACTTTCCATTTGTATATTGTAATTTGACTATTGTTTTGTATGTATTTTTATAATCATATCTACATTGTAAAGCGCCACAGAGCTTTCAGACTGACTGAATATTCAGCGCTATAGAAAACGATTATTATTATTATTATTACATCACATATCATATCATTTTTATTGAAGTATACACAGGACCTCGGTTTTTCGTCTCATCAGAATGACTAGACAGCTGTCCTTGTTAGGCCCTCAGTCCTGCACCACTGACAAGGGGAAACCACATCGGAAAATCCTTATTTACTTTCTCAGCCAATGCAGGGATCGAACACCCGACCTCCAGACTAACGCGTCAGCATCTTACCCACTTAGCCACTGTGCCCTTCCCCCCCTATGATACAACCCATGAGGTTGGACAGGCGACCCTACTCATTGTCACGTACAACCTGGGACTCCAAACCATGCCAGTTGACTCAATGACAGACCTTATGATACAGCGTGCACGTGCTAACCATTCGGCCATCCAACCACCCCATTAATAATAAGAAACGATATTTTTACAGATAGACAAAGAATTAGCTAGATGAAGTCAGGGATCAAGACAAGAAACCAAAACCAAGACGATCACGAAAGACATGATCTAATACGCTCTCACATCAATAAATCATAAAGGATGTTTTAGAGATTGAAGAGGAATAAATCTGATCAAAATACCGATCTGTTTGTTTCGTTTTCTTATATTTTCGATGGCTTACACTACATGAAGATCTGACCAGTTGTACTGGGAGATTGAGTCAGAGCTCATATGAGCGGTTTTGGACTCTATGAAGCCAGGCATTCATTAATCAATCAGTGTTGGCGTTTCTAGTGGTTTACCCACAGTTCCATGCATGGCACGTTAAAAACTCGTCATAACAGACCGTTTCATTGGCTAATTCCTCACATTAACCAGAATGCAGCTTATATAACAACTCTTTCAGATCCTAGTGTTGTGAAGACAAGTAAAACGAAATTTTGAACTTTAATAAACGAAACGAAATAGGATCTGTGTTTTAACCAGATTGAATCTGCTTGGTAATCTTTATGGACATGATCCAATATGCTATCCCTAGAATCAGGGACCAAGAGGAATAACCCTGCAAGATGGAGATGTAGTGATATAGAGAAGAAGGCAACTTACCCCGACTACAGTCATTGCAGCTGGAGGTTTAGGAATTGCGGGTATCGAAGGGTTGGGAACAGCAGGATTAGCCATACGTAACCTACTCTGCATATATACCTCATACTCTTGCCGAGCGCTGGGACTCATCCGCACAGAGTTGTTCCCTGGTCCTCGTGGAGCACGGCCCGGCTGATTCGGTCTCGGTCCTTGAAATCTTGATGGTGTCGGCATTCTAGGCGTGGCACTTATACGACCTCCAGGGGACATCTGACCCTGAGCTGGAGGTGCCATTTGAGGGGAAGCTATTGGTGTTGGGAAGTTTGGTTGCCAGTTTCTACCAAATTGTTCCTTCAAAAAAAATAAAACAATTTAATATTATAATTTGTTTCTACTAAATATCTATTTGTTCTGTTAAATATCAATTTGTTCTGCTAAATATCAAATTTGTTCCAGTAAATATTAATTTGTTCTTCTAAATATCAATTTGTTCTGCTAAATATCAAATTTGTTCTGTTAAATATCAATTTGTTCTGCTAAATATCAATTTGTTAAAGTTAAAGAGAATTATTTAAATAAAACTGGTACATATGTAAGTCCAGAAATAAACCTAGTTTGTGTCGAGTGGGTGTTAAAACACCATTTCTCTCTCGCTCACTGAACACAAACTGATCTTTCTTTATCTTAATAACTTGATTTCGTAATGGGCGTAAACTGATGACACTGGGAACCCATGTCTGGCAAGCAACCCTACAACCTCTCAATTCAATATATTAAAAAATCTGGATAACCTTGCCTACCTTTTGTTTATCACGGTAATCTTGTAAAAGTGACTGATGATTGCGTAATTGTTTACGATAACTATCCAGTTGTTTTTGTAGTCCCGATTGTTCAGTCGAAATACGTTCTAACTCCAACACATCTTGTGGGTTTAATTCATTACCAATCTTACGAGCCTAAAAGCAAAAAAAGAAAAAAGAAGATGACTAGTCATCAACATCAAGCGCCCTTGCACTTGTTTGGAAGAAATAAGGAAAAATAACTTGTTTATGCTATTGGTAATCAATATAAAAATGTATCAGATTTCGCAAACAGTGTCACTGGTCCTAATATTGTGGCCCTGTTTAGTAGATATTGCTCTCTATTTCTGAAAACAAATGACTGATTGATATTTACTAGAAGATTTGAGATAAGTTATGACATTGAGCTCTGGTTTTAAAAATTAGACATGACTACATAGAAAATAGAGATATTTTGCACAGAATTTCATACTCTGATCACAGTAGCTCGGCAAGGCACGGTCGCTACTCCCTGTAAGGTTTGCAAAACAACCTCTGCCTACCTCAATTAGCTGCTGTATGTTAAACAATAAACTTATACATCAGAAAATAAAATACTATAATAGGTTAATGTTTGTACAAAGTTTCAAAAAGATTTCTTGAACAGATAATAAAATATGCTCCAGAAACAAAATCAGGATGGAAGGCTGGATTTCAGAAAATAAAATAATGGGTAAAATTATTTTACAGGTATCTTGAACAGTCAAATGTGTTTCCATGGAAAGACATAAAATTATCAAATCTAAGAAATTCAAAATAAGTGCCATGAAAATATCTTGAACGATTTATGAGAGATGCTCCAGAAACAAATTTGTACACCAAAAACTAAGTAAAATTTGTTTCCATGGAAACACAAAAAATATAAATCTCAGAAATTCCTAAATAGCAAAAGGCACAACTACTGTAATAGGTTGATGTGTGTGCAAAGTTTCAGAAAGATATCTTGAACGTTTTATGAGATATGCTCCGGAAACAAAATTATACACCAAAAACTAAGTCAAATTTGTTTCCATGGAAACACAAAAAATATAAATCCCAGAAATTCCTAAATAGCAAAAGGCACAACTATTGTAATAGGTTGATATGTGTACAAAGTTTCAGAAATATATCTTGAACGGTTTATGAGATATGCTCCGGAAACGAAAACGGACGGACGGACCCCATTTCAATATCACTCCCTAACTTCGTTCGGCGCGGGATAAAAAAGAAATTAGGACTGTTAAAATTTTTGTACATAATCATATGAGAAAGGCCTGGCAAGGAAAACTATTTAATCATACCAATGACAGACATAGACAAACCTGCTTCAACTAAAACCGTTTTTCCTATCTTTTAACATCCCTTAAAGATACATTAGGCTGACCTTAAAAATATCTTTGTTTCGCCTAACGCGACCGACTAACTAAAACCACCCCCGACTTAAATTATTTTATTGCACTTTTCCGCGATCTTTTTATTTTATTTTGTGTGTCAACCTGAAATATATCACGAGAGTTATTTCCCTTTACTATGGCTATGGTTTGATTCATTATTGAAACTGGTTATTCAAGACGAAAGCGTCATAGGTGTCGCTTCTCAACAAAATGGTTGCAGACGAAAGCACGTCCATTCCCACGAAATGATTCTGCCTCTATGTCTGTTGGCGTCGTTTTAAACATGACGACGATATTTTCAATATCCGTTTTCGAGAAAAATAAAGGCACAACCCGCACGATCGTTAAAAACGTGTTGAGGGAGTTTCAAATGTGAGTTTGTCGCAATTTGTGTGCGAGTCGTGCATCAAGAAAAATCCCGATGTCATTGATTTGTTTGCCAATAAAAGAAGACGAATGTTTGCACCCGGAAAATTATCAAGCTGTCAAATTAGCTCTTAAAAAAAAAAATCTGAAAAAAAACCCGACCTACCGACCCTTCTCCTTGATTGTGGGTCGGGTTTGGTGAAACAAAGATATTTTTAAGGTCAGCCTTATGGGAGATTAGATAAAGAGCTGTCAGTTCTCACTATATAATAGTTAAAATCTAGATAGTGTAAAGGCAATTTGCTGAAAATTTCAGTCATATTGATCCACTCTGAATAGATAATTTAGCGATTGAAATTTCGGCCTAGCCTCGATCATCATTACTAAAGTCTGTACGATAAAAAACATAGTCTCGATTATCCATTTTATGATTAAATCATGAAAGTTGAGCAGCAAATCAGATCCTAATCCAATAAATATCGCAGACTAGCAATGAGCTAAAGAGTTGATTATGGTCTGGATAAGTTAATTAATGTCTAATTAATAATTTAGATAACTTTTCAGGCCTAAAGAAAAACCTGAAATAGGCAGATTTAGCTCTTGCATAATGTATGTTTAATTTCAGAAAGAGCACAGATTTACCGCTTGTATCTGGCTTGTAACCGCCCTAATCTCACAAAAAAGTAGAAATTTACGTATCATTGTCGATCTTGTAACCGCCATAAAGTTATAAAAGTTATAAATGAAATTTACCTGTCGTTGTCGAGCTTGTATTGATCGTTTTGCCCGTTTTTGTTTCTGTGTTTGTTGTTCAAAGAGTTTGACTTGCATCTCGAGGAATTGACCCTGTTTCAACAACCAATCTTCATAGGGTATTCTCTTCGGGTCTAATTCACCGGGCATATCACCTGTGAATAAATTCATTCAAAATCTATACAAATCCATCGGCCTTTCATGTGTAAGACACGCTTTTGCTGCTGCACCTCGACTTGATTTCAGGAGAGTCATTAAACATGAAGGACTGATCCTTTATCAAAACAAAGTCATTGAATTGGAACTGATTTCTGATAAATGACTTTTCAATTTAACTATTATTATTATCGCTTTCTCCTTGAAAATGAACAAAGGTTTATCTCGACCCCCGCTAGGGTTAGATACTGGGATATTCTAGTTCGTATAACTACCACAGACCCTTATCGTAATAATCAGGTAGAATTGATAACGGCATTGCTTCTTATCATAGAGAGAGAGAGAGAGAGAGAGGTTTAAGGTCCACTCGACACAAATCAGGTCATTTCATGACTAACTTATGGTTCAATTTTATTTCAATAATTCGCTTGCGCGTATGGGTCTTTAGCAGTGGGAGGACATTGAAGGACCCAGAGAAAACCAACGAAGTTGGACAGGTGACCCTACTCCTTGTCACGTACAACCGGGGAATCGAAACCACAAAACAGTATCATCAACTGAATGGATCCATATAGTATAGTATCCAAACAACACTTTTGAGTTGCCATGGCGAAAGGTTGCTGACATTAATGCTAAGTTAGTCTCTATTGAACTCCTGGCTGGTGTGAAATGAAATGGTGAGGAAATGGGGTTTAACGTCCTACTGTTCTGTCCCTACTGGGCTAATGAAGACGGGCATACGCCATACAGTGTGCTATGAGTGAAATTTTGCCCGGGCTGTATCAATATGACCTACTATTATATCGAATTTCAACTGCCAAGGGATATTTTACGAGCATGCCAATGTATACACACGTCCACAGTTTTTCGATCCAAAGGACTAAACAGCTGTCCTTGTCAGGCCCTCCATCCTGCACCACTGACAAGGGGAAACTATGTCCGAAAATCCCGATGAACTTTCTTGGCCAATGCAGGGATGGAACACGTGACCTCCAGGCTAGCGAGCCAGCGTCTCACCCACTAATTCCACCGTGGCTCCCCTCTGACGGCTGGTATATGACTAAAAATAAATACAGGTTAACTTACCACTAGGGGGAGTGACTGGTGGTTGCGGTGGTAACATAGCCATTGGGTTGATAGGAGATTGCTGTATGCCTGGTGACTGACCACCGAATGGTGAAGGAGTTCGAGGACTTAGTTGACTGACTGGAGGTCGAACAGGAAACTGTGAAAACTGCTGAGTCATCATATCAATTGGTTGCTGGATACCCTGATCAGGCCCTGGCATTCTAAATAAAAAAACAAAAGAGATTTTTTTAAAAATAATTTTAACAACTGGGAGTTATAAATAAATTTGATGGTTTGGATTACACGATGACACACACATCTGATGAAAACAAACAATAAATGAATTGAGGTTCTACTGTTCTTGCTTGTTCTCGCCTAATGGGAAGAGAGAGAGAGAGAGAGAGAGAAATGGAGTTTAATGTCCACCTGACACAAACCGGGTCATTTCAGGACTAACATATGGTTCAATTTTATTTCAATAATTTGATTGCACATAGGGGTCTTTAGCAGTGGGAGGAAACCGGAGGACCCAGAGAAAACCCACGAGGTTGGACAGGCTACCCTACACCTTGTCACGTACAACCGGGGAATTGAAACCACCCCAGTTGACTCAATAACAGACTTTATGATACAGTGTGCACATGCTAACCGTTCGGCCATCCAACCCTCCAACAATAAATGAAATGAAGTGAGGTTTAAGTCCTACTGTTCAGCTCGGACTGGGCTAATGAGAGAGAGAGAGAAAGAGAGAGAGAGAAAGAGAGAGAGAGAGAGAGAGAGAGAGAGAGAGAGAGCAATGGGGTTTAACATCCTACTGTTCTGCTCCCACTCAATAATTTACTTGCGCATAGGGTTCTACAGCAGTGTGAGAAAATCGGAGGACTCAAAAAAAGTCAAGCAGGGAATTGAAACCATGCAACTTGACTAGACCATTCAACCCCTCCTGGGCTAATAAAGACAGGCATACGACATACAGTGTGCTATGAAGGAAATTTTTCCTGAACAGCGGCAGTACAGCCTTTTTTTAAACTTAGTATATAAAAATGACTTTTGTTCCAAACATAGGTAACAACAAAATAAACCACACCAAGCAAATAAAAATTACCTTTGTTCCATTCTGATTGCCATGCCTGGTAAACCTGGTTGCATACCTGGGCGGGGCATTCCTGGCATCATACCTTCAGGTGTCCCAGGTATATCTCTACGGGCGATCGCTTGTTGCTCTGCTTGACGTTTCTGTTCTTTCTTCTCCTTCATCAAAAAACATTTTACTCATAATAAATATCACAATAAATATAGCTTTTTAAATTCTAATGGGAGAAAATTTGGAAGCACAAGAAAACAAAACAAGAAGGTAGATATACTACAATAGAGATGGAAAGAGAGAAATGGGGTTTAACGTCCACTCGACACAAACTAGATCATTTTGGGAATAACACATGGTTCAATTTTATTTCAATAATTCGCTTGCACGTAGGGGTCTTTAGCAGTGGGAGGAAACTGGAGGAACAGGTAAAAACCCACGAGGTTGGACAGGCAACCCTACTCCTTGTCACGTACGACCGGGGAATCGTAACCATCCCTTATGATACAGCGCGCACGGACTAACCATTCGGCCATCCAACCCCCCATACTACAATAGGCTGATATGTGTAAAATCGTTTCATAAGGATATCTTGAAAGGTTTAAGAGATATGCTCCTGAAACAAATGAATCGGAAAAAAAGGGTCCAGTTCACGACCCTCCTTTTAGTTTTATTAGAGTGAGGATGCCGCTGATTTTACACAGATGGTCCATAGGACATTGTCACAGACGTTGATCTGCTGACATTGTCCATGATGAATCTCAACCAAATACACATGCAGTTAGATCCATTTTAGGGATACATTAAGGAAACAAATGCATTATTGGGTGTATTTTTTTTTTCTTTTATTGGGTGTTGTATTCGTAAAAACTTAAAACACCTTTGATCTCTAAATGAGATGGTCGTAAATTCCCAAAATTAAAATATACAAAGATGGACTCACTTCTTCTACCAGTTCATCCAGTAGTGTTTGAGGTTGAGCTGCTCCTGGTGGAAACATGCCAGGTCTTGGCCCCCCTGTAAAACCAGGAGGACTGGAACGAGGTCTTGGTCCTACAGGTCCAGGGAATCCAGGCGACCCTGGTGCAGCTTGATGTGGTCCTTGCATCCTCATTCCAGGAGGAGGTAACCGCTGTCCTGCATTAAATCGTGGTGAACCTGGTCTCATGTGCATCATGGGTCTCATTCCTTGAGCGGCTAATTGTTGCTGAAGAGCTGCTTGTCCCATATGAGGTCTCTCTGGTCGATAGAAACCTTGGGCTTGGGAAGATGGGGGCATCCCTCCAGGTGACGTTGGACCTTTACCCATTTCCATAAGACCCTGTTGGATCTTCTGTATCATATGCTGTGGTCTTGTATCAAGGGTTGGAGATGTCATCTGTGGTTGGGTCTGACTTACATTTCCTTGAATATGAGAAAATGCTATCCTAGGATCTTGAGAAGGATCCATTCCTGGGAATGGAGATCTCATACCTGGTCCAGGTGTTCTCATGGCATGCTGAGCTGCTGCTGATTGTCCATACAGGATGCTGTTTGGAGAAGGTGTGAGTGTTCCTCCTCTTGGCGGCATGTAGGGTTGTCCATATGTTCCCTGAGTGTATTGATTGGTTGGGGTGATAGTCGCTCGTGATGCGTGCTGCATCGGGAATGTTTGACCTGGTGTGGTGGGCTGCGAGACAGAATGCGAAGGAGATCCATAGGGTACTTGTCCAGGCCCTGGATGGCCGAACTGAGGTTGAGAGACGTTGGGTCCAATTTGAGGGAATGGTGAGTGAGGACCTGAGGTAGTTGATGCAAACGGTGAGAGCGGACAAGATGATACTGGAGGACTGAATGGTGAATGAGCTGAACCTGCTGGGAAGGGAGACAACTGTTGGTCTGGGTTCATGGGTTGACTCATCGGAGATAGAACTGGTCCCAGCATGGGACCAAATGGACTGTGCATCCCTGGTGTTCGTGGAGATGGCTGACCACTTCTGGGAAGAACTTTAGGAGAATGTAATCCACTGGCATCTGGGTTGGACAGTGGTATTCCAATACTGGGAGACTGATGGGGGCTGGCAACATGATGTAAAGGTGAAGCCATTCCAGGGCCAAAATGAGGCCTTTGACCAATCAGATCTTGTTTGCTTGCCTCTTGACGACGTGCCTCCATATCTTTCCGTAATGCTTCAACAGTTCCTGCTAAATTCTGAATCTCCTGTTTTTCAGCTTCATCCATTCTATTCTCTACAGGTTTAGTGCCTTGTAGCAGAGCTGCAATATGACTCACACCAACAGGACCTTTACTTTTGTCGCTGGATTTAGATGTCCCTGCTTTCACTTCCTCTCCATCTTTTCTCTTCTGGCTAAATTCTAAAAATTTGGACTGGAAATCTTTAGATTCTGTTTTATCGTCTTCTGTTTTAACAGTTGAGGCCTCTTCAGTCTCTGCTGGTTTCTTCTCTTCTTCTTTAACTTCAGTTTTCGGTTCATCTTCTTCTCTCGGTTCATCTCTAGTAGGTGGTTTTTGTTCGTCCATGAAATCTAAATTTTCGTCTAACAGATTACTCTCTTCCTCTCCAAGTATTTTATCCAACTCGGGATCAGTGAATCTCAGAATATCAAAAGTTCCATCCGCACCTAAAAATTCAAATAACATCAGCATATAATTATAATACAGAGAGAGAGAGAGAGAGAAATGGGGTTTAACGTCCACTCGACACAAAGTCATTTTGGGACTAACACATGGTTCAATTTTATTTCAATAATTTACTTGCGCGTAGAGGTCTTTAGCAGTGGGAGGAAACAGGAGGACCCGGAGAAAACCCATGCGGTTAGACAGGCGACCCTACTCCTTGTCACGTACAACCGGGAAATCGAAAAACACCGCCAGTTGACTAAATGACAGACCTTATGATACAGCGTGCACGTGCTAACCATTCAACCATCCACGTACCCTCATTGACAGACAGTCTGGTGATCACTAGTCCAGGGCTTGGACTTCAAACTTTTGCTTACTGATCAATTTTTAATGCATCTTAAGTACCTCTGATAAGCAAGATATTTCTAAGATTATGCCAATTTCTAACATTACACGTTATTACAACATATTTTTAAGTGCATTTACACATAAAAACTGTAAATAGAACTGTATATATTATGTTATAAGGTTCAGTAATTTGTAAATCAAGGGATCTCTGACGTGCATGTCAAAATGTCCAAGGAACTTGTGAACAACAAGCAGTCGTTTCTTGTCCCATAACACTGAGAACAAACTGGTTACTGAGTCAAAGCCACGTGGCTCCCCTGGAAACAATGTAAACACTTTTACTCACTCAGTAAATCATCGTCAATTAGTTCATGTTTATCATCCTCCGATGATTGAGATGGTTTTGAAACTTTGGGATCAATATCAGGTAGATTTATCTCCCCTTCTGGTGGTACCACAGGCGTCACAGGAGCTGCCGATTTTAACACAGGGTTTGAAATCATAGCTCCGGCACCGGCTGGTCGGAAAACATCGTCATCAGAGTTAGTTCCTTCTGATGTGGGAGGGAATGGTATGCCAGGACCCTGAGGAGGAGGAGGAGGACCTGGTGGTCTGAATACTTCTCCTTGTGGTTGGGGTCCTGGTAGACCAGGTGGAAGCTGACCAGCTTGCTGGGCTTTTTGTCTCATCTGTAAATATTGGGCTCTACGTTCAGCTATCATTTCCTGAAAACAATGAAGACATGTATATAGAGAGAGAGAGAAATGAAATGGGGTTTAACGTCCTACTGTTCTGCCCAACTGGGCTTATGAAGACGGACATAATCCATACAGTGTGCTATGCGGGAAATTTTGCCCGGACAGCGGCACTTCGGCCTACTCTTATATCGAATTCCAACTGTCAAGGGAACTTTTACGTGCAAAGAAAATGTGTACACAGGAAATCAGTTTTCCATCCCATCCGACGACTAGACAGCCGTCCTTGTCAGGCCCTCTATCCTACATCACTGACACGGCGGATGTAGAAAGAGAGAGTAATTGAGATTAACGTCCACAAGATACAAACTAGGTCATCACGGGACTAACATGTGGTACAATTTTATTTCAATAAATTGCTAGTGCTAAGGGGCTTTTTTTTAGGAGTGGTAGGAAATTGAAGTCACTCAACTTGACTCAATGACAGTGTATATGACCTGAAGTGTTGGTATTTGATCACTTGAAAGATATGTGAACTGTACTACTGAGAGAGAGAGAGAGAGAGAGAGAGAGAGAGAGAAGGTTTAACGTCCACTCAACACAAACTAGGTCATTTCAGCACAAACATGGATCAATTTTATTTCAATAATTTGCTTGCACATAGGGGTCTTTAGCAATGGGAGGAAACTGGAGGACCCTACTCCTTGTGACGTACAACCGGGGAATATAAACCACGCCAGTTGACTCAATGACAGACCTTATGATACAGCGCGCAAATGCTAACCATTTGGCCATCCAACCCCCCTTTAAAAAGAATGAGTGAGTGTGATATAATACAATACCTGTGTCATGGTTATCTGAGGTGACGCAGGCCTTGTAAATCCAGGGTTACTGCCATCTGGTGATGGAAATGGTCTTGGGGGCATCCCTCCTGGACCTGGGGGTCGCATCCTCATTCCTGGTGGAAACCCTTGCCGTACACCATCTCCAAACTGTCCTGGGGTTCTCGGATGGAAACCCTCACCATCTACAAATACAAATATTGTTAAATATACTAGCCTTATTCTAAAAAACATAAACTTAACCTCATATATAGATAGAACTCAATGAGTGTATCACTGCGCAAGTATTCCACTGTTAGATTATCTCAAAAAAAAAAAAAAAATCATCATCAACAATGACGTCAAAATCCATCATAGGTTCCGCCCCTTTTTGCGACAGTATTTTGTAAAAAATTGTCTGGATAGTCCAACAGCAGTATAGCCTACTTTTATTTCAATGAAATGAAATGGGGTTTAACATCCTACTCCGACTGGGCTAATGAAGATGGGACTATGCCATATAGTGTGCTATGTGGGAAATTTTGCCTGGGCAACAGGACTATGGTGTACTCTTATAACAAATTCTAACTGCCACGGGATCTTTAATGTGCACACCAATTTATACATGGGACCTTAGTTTATCATCCCATCCGAAAGACTATACTATATGTTGTCCATTGTCAGGCCCTCTGTACGCACAACCGATAAGAGCAAACCACACTGAAAAATCCTGATGAACCTTCGCAGCCAACACTAGGATCGAACCAGGACCCCCCGGTTAGCGAGGCAATGTCTTACCGAGTCACATGATAGATAAAAGAACAAACCTGGCGTAAATTGTCCTGGTTGTGGTGGTCGAACCAGACGCTGTCCCACTGGCCATTGTTCATGCTGCAGTGTCATGGTTGAACCCTCGGTAAACGGTGGTCTAGGGCCTCGTTCTGGACCCATCCCATAACCTGGCATTCTTGGCATACCTGACAACATATATTTTATAGATATATTCTCCTGGCAACTTTATTATTATTCAATTAAGATAATTAGGAGATCCAAGACGGCGGGACAAGTTAACTTCTTACGAAATGGAAGAATTTCTATACTGTACTGGAATAATCCAATATCGCCTGGAAATAAGGCACCTGTCACAGACAATGTCAGGCACAGATTCAGGCTCTGTCAGGCACTAAACCTCTGGTGCCTGACATTTTGTCCGTCACTGATTTGTCTTTTTTATTAATATTATTAATACATGTCCGGCACTAAGATGAAAATGTCAGGTACTATTTCATTAGTGTCTGAAATTTTGTCAGGTACATCTAAATCCATTATTTCCAGGCCTGAATATCAGTGAAACGCTTGGGGATCCAAGGAAAATTATGGAAAGGTAACATAAAAAAAATGAAATGGGGTTTAATATCCTACTGTTCAGCTCCGACTGGGGTAATGAAGACGGGCATACGCCGCACAGTGTGCTATGAAAAAATTTTGCCCAGACAGCGGCAAATTCCAAATGTAAATGGTTCTATTACCGTTATACAACTTCTCGGCCCACACAGGGACAGGCGACTGGACCACCTTTTACCGTGCCACTGTTCAGTTAGAGACTCAATTTGAAGATATTTTAGCATGCATTAAGTTATGGAAGGTCAAATTTTGTCCGATGAGCTAAATTAATTGCTTGCCTAAAAGATAGGTTGCTAGGCAACGAAACATACGCCCACAGCAGATAAATCGTCCAGGCAGTCAACAAGTGTGGTCGCATATTTTTACTTCTTTCGGTAATGAAACATTTATAATACACTAACAACTCATGAAGTAATTATCAGAAAACCATTAGAATTTGTTTGGTTTTTATAAAGTTCTGCCCCATGCTAACGTTTTGTATACAAAACTTTTAATACTGTATCATGGATTTAGCTGTTCCAAGTCATAAAAATTCATTGAAAATCAATATACTTGTTCGCCTCAAGATCTTAAACTCTGTGTATCAATCTGAAGTCAATCGGATATTAACTTTGGCCTCTAGAATGTCTACATGATTTTTCAAGGTGATCAAGGGCCATAACTTTGGCAGTAATTATCAGAAATCTTTGAAAATCAATAGGATTCTTCGCCTCGTGACCTCAAACACTGTGTATAAATTTAAAGTCAATCGGATATTAACTTTAGCTTGTGGACGCCGGACCGCCGGCCGGCCAGACGGACGGGGGCGACAACAATATACGACCACATTTCAATGTGGGGGTATAAAAATAGAGGCTTCTAATAAATACCTGGATGTCGTGGCGATCCATCAGGTGTCCAGCCAACAGGTCAATTGGATATTAACTTTAGCCTAAAGAACGTCCACAAGCAATTGTGGACGCCGGACCGCCGGCCGGCCAGACGGACGGGGGCGACAACAATATACGACCACATTTCAATGTGGGGGTATAAATATAGAGGCTTCTAAAAAATACCTGGATGTCGTGGCGATCCATCAGGTGGCCAGACGGACGGGGGCGACAACAATATACGACCACATTTCAATGTGGGGGTATAAATATAGAGGCTTCTAAAAAATACCTGGATGTCGTGGCGATCCATCAGGTGTCCAGCCAACAGGTGGCGCACCAGGCATCTGCATCATTTTTTCACGATCTTCCAGCTGTTTCCTCATCTGGCGTTTTTTGGTCTGATGTGCGAGAATTTCACGTAATTGTTGAGGAGTTGTTGCCCCTGGGGTAACTCTGTCCATGTCCATTCCTTCCATACCCTGAACAAAAATATCAAATAAATGTGATACTTCGTCATTTTATAACCATGTGACAAAATAATCTCATAACTTAACTTTTACCCACAATACCCTCCAATTGTACCAATTTCTATCAGAGAGAGAGAGAGAGAGGGATTAACCCCCACCCACTCGACACAATCTGGGTAATTTCAGGACTAACATATGGTTCAATTTTATTTCAATAATTCGATTGCACGTAGGGGTCTTTAGCAGTGGGAGGAAACAGGAGGACCCGTAGAAACCCCATGAGGTTGTATGTGACAAGGAGTAGGGTCACCTGTCCAAAGGCTTGGGTTTACTCCCACTGCTAAAGACCCCTCTGCGCAAACACATTATTGAAATAAAGTTGAACACGTGTTAGTCCTGAAATGACCTAGTTTGTGTTGAGTGGACATTAAACCACATTCCTCTCTCTATCTCTGTTGGATTCTCAATGTCATAAGGATTGAATTCCAGAACGGTCAATTGAGTATTTTCTGTGTGTATATATATATGATATAATATAGTTGTATAATATAATAAGGAAGGGGTTCTGGGGGACATGACAATGATATAATACAAGGGGAGGTGGGTGGATTATTTATATCTTTATATCAGTTATAACACATACCGAACCGTGCATTATATCAATATATCACATATCTCTATCAGGTTTCTACTTTTTCTGCACCAACTGGACTAATAAATACCCCAATACCCACCCAATCTCAGACTATATCCCCAATTACCCGAGTATGAGGGTCCCGACCCCATTTTCCAGACAGACTGACAATCCAGACCACCCTCTCTGCTCCCTTCCACCCCAATATGACTAGAGATGAAGACCATTCACCATCCAACTTATCTACTATCCATATACAACTCCATGTGTCAGTCTGTATTACAACTGTTTCCCTTCAATCTAATTAAAATACAAATCTATATTTTGTTTCGTTTCTTTTTTAATACTTTCACTGTCCTACACAACATGAAGACCTGACTGGTTGTAGTGGAAGGTAGTGCCAGGGGGTCATACAAGTGGCTTTTGACCCTATGACATCAAAAAATTGATTAACCAATCAGCGTTGATATTTTTAGTGGTTTACCCACAGTTCCGTGCACCTCACGCCAATCACTCACATCATCCAGAACGCGGGTTATATAACAACTCTTCCGGATCCTAGTGTAGTCAAGACCCGTAAAACAAAATTTTAAAAACGAAACGAAATAGACTCTGTGTTTTAATCAGATGGAAACACCCATCAGTAATAAAGCAGTGCTTACAACATCTACCACATTACAATATATATATAACAAACAACATCAAATCTTCAAAATACCTGGCAAGGTTAATGTCCCACTATCACGACCCGTGCTACAATTAAAATCGTGGTTTTAATCGTGGAGTAACCGTGGTGATCCTATCAGGTCTTATCCTATATTGAGGTGAGTCAATGCGCCACCCATCGATATTCAACGAGCCACTGCACCACCCACAGGTATTGGCACTCGATTCGTTTTGTCTTAACTTAAATTTTGGGTATCTGTTCATGGTAAGATAACGACATCAATGTTGCAATGCCAAAGACTGTGGATGATACTGAGTTAGTGACGACTTTCCTCCTTTAAACTCCATTCCATAAACCTATATTTATTTTTTTTATGTTGATATTTGAAAGAACGGGCTGCGTGGGTGATGCAGGACGTGGGAGCACGTGCCCAGTTAACATTGATCGTTAGATTTACGTTAAGTTTACGTCATTTTGGTTAGCGTCCAATAATGGTAAAGGTATTGTAAAGATTTGGATGTTATTTGCTACGTTACATGTAAATAAAGCTGTCAACACCAGACTAATAGAGTTAGCTACATCGGTACACACAGAAAACTCATCAAATATAGTAGATGATGAAGGATTGTAAATATCACGAGTAGGTGATCAAGGAACACTTTTCAGTTCTAAATATCGCTAATATTAAAAAACATAAAAGAAATACTGGTAGGTTCTCTAGAAAAAATCTTCATAATTACCCCAAACTATCAAAAATATTTTTATCTATTTTAATAATTTTTCAACAGAGAAAAGCATCCACTCCAAAATTGATGGTATTAATTCAAGACCTTTTCTCCAAAGATTACAAGCATCTTTAACATTACTCTAATTCAATATAAATTTAATCAAATTGATTGATAGGTAAGCTTTCCAACCATCCAATTTTACTCCCAGACAGTAAACAAGAGCCCTAATCTCATTTTTGACTAAATATTATTCAACTAAATATAAACTTAAACATACATTATGCAAGAGCTAAATCTGCCTATTGCAGATCTTTCTTTAGGCCTGAAATGTTATATAAATTATTAATTAGACATTAATTAACTTATTCAGACCATAATCAACTCTCGATGGCATCGATTTGCTATTCGACTTCCATTCATAATTAAATCATGAAATGGATAACCGAGACTATGTTTTTCATCCTACCGACTATAGTAATGATGATCAAGGCTAGGCCAAAAACTCAATCGCTAAAATCTTGGTTCATAGTGGATCAATTTGACAGAAATTTTCAGCAAATTGCCTTTACATTATCTATTTTTTAACTATTATAGTGAGAACTGCCAGCTCTTTATCTAATCTCCCATAATGTATCTTTAACTAAATTGACAGGTAAATAAATGCAAGTTCTCAAGCTGGTCATTTTTACTGCCAGACAGTCAAGACCAGTAAATATCACTCAAACAAAAGCCCCCTAATCATCATGGCATTTTTTAACTAAATATTTTGGGAAAGTTTTATTTTCAAGTTGAAAACAATCAACACCAATAATGTTTTCCAAATAATGAAAAGACAAGTTTCAAATATTTTGGTTAATCAAATCTGTTTTTTGTTTTTTTCTGTGTGTACCAACGTGTGACTTACGACTAAGTAATGGTTATGAGAAAGAGGCCAGACTCCGCCAGGATAATAAGATTCCCTTCTGTCAATCAACTGCTGTAACTAGTAGCAACGAAAAATAAAATAAAAACAACTACAAAAAAAATAAAGTAAAATCTACTAGACGTGTAACCATAATCAAACTTCTCTTCTTTCACATGTCACAAGATTGTCAACACTACACATTGTCCATCCTGCTCTTCCAGGATTCCAAACAGGACACCAATTTTAAATGGATGAAATGAAATTGGGATGTCCACTCATTTTTGGGACTAACATAAGGTTCAATTTTATTTCAATAATTCGCTTGTGCGTAGGGAGGAAACCGGAGGACCCGGAGAAAACCCACAAGGTTGGACAGGTTACCCTACTCCTTGTCCCGTACAACCGGGCGATTTTAAATGAATGAAATGGAATTAGGGTTTCATGTCTGCACCAATCGGGCTGATGAAAACAGTAAAGAGTTTAACAAAATTCATGGCTCACTACATGTATAAAAAAGATGAGAATACGCCATTCAGTTTGCCATGAGGGAAATCATACCCAATAAGCAGCGATACAGCCTTTTCTCATTTTTTTTTCTCCAGATAAATAGGGTTGGGAAAACCCAAAGAACATTCTCGGCCAATACCAGGGACCTTCGAGTTTGTGAGTCAGCCAGTGCCAATTAACTTATTACAGTAATTAAATGCGATCCAAAGGCAACTTTAGGGAATGTGATCGTGATCCAAGATAACTCTCAGACTCTTCACAAAATGTGATCGTGATCCAAGATAACTTTCTGACACTTCACAGAATGTGATCGTGATCGAAGATAACTCTCAGACACTTAACAGAATGTGATCGTGATCGAAGATAACTCTCAGACACTTAACAGAATGTGATCGTGATCGAAGATAACTCTCAGACTCTTCACAGACAGAATGCGATCATGATCCAAGATAACTATCAGACTCTTCACAGAATGCGATCATGATCCAAGATAACTATCAGAGTCTTCACAGAATATGATTGTGATCGAAGATAACTCTCAGAATGTGATTGTGATCGAAGATAAGTTTGACTAAAGTTAAACATAATTTATTTAATCTATTCTACAATTAATATCACTGTTGTTAATAACACATGTATCTATATCTACTTGTATTAATTCTATATTTTAAAACAGTAATCCACAACCACACAGAGATAATTAAATAATATATTGTGATTTAAAGCAACCACAGTTTACGGGAGAACCTTACAGAATCCCTAATAATGTAATAGGAGCCTTGTTATACATATATAATGATGTCTAAATTAAACAAGTCTAAGAGAGATTGTTAATGAAATTGGGGATTAACATGTTACCGGGGTAATGAAGAGGGCAAAATGAAATGGGGTTTAACGTCCTACTGTTCTGCTACAACTGGGCTGATGAAGACGGGCATATGCTATACAGTGTGCTATGAAGGAAATTTTGCCCGTGCAAATGGCCTACTCGTGTATCGAATTCCAACTGCCAAGGGATCTTTTACTTGTACACGGGACTTCGAATAATAGAACGCATAAGTTTTTCTTGACATAGTTTCACATCGAGGGTGCTCAAATCAGATTGTATGCTAAATCTTAGATCAATTGATCAACCCCCTATCTCTGGGATATAGACCTTTAAATGTTTAATCTACAAGGATGGACCAAGTAAGACACTGCGTAATATTTTGATACATCACTCAGGCTAATACCCTCGTGCCATATCAATATATCAATACATGGCATGTCCATTCATATTATTCCATTATTATTTCTTTTTTAAAGCTTCTTAAAATTATAAACGATGCTAAAAAGCGTGTGACCTATTTCTACACAGAAAGCTTCATGGTGCAGAACTAATCAGCATGCGTAAAAAAATAATTAATCTACACACACAAACTTACCATGGCTGATTCGGGATAATTAACACCTGGTCTACCTACAGGACGATATTGAGGCATTCCACCTTCACTACCACCAACACTAACTGGTCTAGACATGGGTGATCCCATTCCAGGATGAGGGGTACCTGGTTGATGACTGTATGGATCTGGTTGACTTTGTGATCGAACTAATGGATGACGGAACTGACCTGGTGGCCCCTGTATTTGGGAAGGGTCTGGATGCCGAAGAGGTCCA